GTATTACCCACATGGCTTGTAATTTATACTTTAAACAGTGTATTTATCAAATTAGAAAACTAGTTATACATTGAAAAAGGTGGGACTTTGTCAAGGCATGAAGGAATAAAAGGATATTTTAGGAATACTTCAATAAGAGACCAACTCATTTGTTAACACAATCAAAAGACCAGATAACTTGCATCTTCTCTAGCCAATGGTTTAGATCCATTCCCCTTGAAGATAAGGGCACCAGATTGTAACCCTTGGCTAACGAAGATGGATATCCACAAGACCAAATTATTATGGGCATCAGTCTGGAAACATCATACAGGGTGCAAAAATGTTAATGTTCATCTAGCTAAGAGGTCCTTAACACTGAACAAAAACTAACAAAACAATGTCAATAGGAATAAACAGCAGCTTGTAAGTCATTGAAATAAACAGCAGCTTGTAAGTCATTGAAATAAACAGCAGCTTGTAAGTCATTGAAATAAACAGCAGCTTGTAAGTCATTGAAATAAACAGCAGCTTGTAAGTCATTGAAATAAACAGCAGCTTGTAAGTCATTGAAATAAACAGCAGCTTGTAAGTCATTGAAATAAACAGCAGCTTGTAAGTCATTGAAATAAACAGCAGCTTGTAAGTCATTGAAATAAACAGCAGCTTGTAAGTCATTGAAATAAAAAGATGTGGGTTAAATATCAATGATACAAAAACCATAAAGACAGATGGAGGTCAACATACATTCCTAAATGATAGACTATAAGTCAAGCTTTTAATCAGGTCAAGTTTAGAAACATTCCTAAACGATAGACAGTAAGTCAAGCTCTTAATCAGGCCAAGTTTAGAAACATTCTTAAACGATAGACTGTAAGTCAATCTTAATCAGGCCAAGTTTAGAAACATTCTTAAACGATAGACTGTAAGTCAAACTCTTAATCAGGCCAAGTTTAGAAACATTCTTAAACGATAAACTGTAAGTCAAGCTCTTAATCAGGCCAAGTTTAGAAACATTCTTAAACGATAGACTGTAAGTCAAGCTCTTAATCAGGCCAAGTTTAGAAACATTCTTAAACGATAGACTGTTAGTCAAGCTCTTAATCAGACCAAGTTTAGAAACATTCTTAAACTATAGACTGTAAGTCAAGCTCTTAATCAGGCCAAGTTTAGAAACATTCTTACACAATAGACTGTAAGTCAAGCTCTTAATCAGGCCTAGTTTAGAAAAGTTACGAACAGATTGAACTGGCACTATCAAAGATCAATACTAAATTACCTAAATGAGTTGTCAGTTTTCCTGTTGAAATAGCTTTAAGTAATCTATTGTATTGCTTGCCTAATGTCCAGTGGCAGATAGTTGATACATATTCCTGTCAAGAACTTTTTTAATAACAAATTTTATAATGAGTATGGCAAATTTATCTTGCATTGAGTCACCTACAGACCTCTCAAATAAGTGTTGCAATATTCTCCAAACAGTGGGCATCAGATTAAGCATCCCAGTCCAAACAGGATGAATCTCATTAGTAGTCTAGTGGTAGCATGTTCACCTGGAGTGTGTTAGATTGAGGGTTTTGGTACACCAGCTGGGTCAAACCAAAAACTGTAAAATTGGTATTTGCAGCTCAGCATGTCAGTCTAGTACAAAGCAGGGTTCATATTCATATCTCATTAACATGTTCTTGTCCTGAATATGCATTTAATTTGCCATTGGACGTTATACAGCCATCCATCCATCCAAACCAGATGTACATTTAAGAAATGAAATGACATGTTGGAATCATGGAAGGTTTTTAGCATTTGCAAAGTTTCTAGTACCCTAAATTTAAAGATACCATTTAAGTTCTAAGGCTTCTGCTTTAATACCAACAGGTGGCAATATAATCTTTACTTTTCTTTGTTATTAACTTCAATATTTTATAGTTGAAAGTCCAACGTGTCAAACTTATTTGTTCGCGTTTTTTAATGCCAATCAGAATGTTTTTGTTGTTAAAAAGTCTTGAGAAATTAAACAAACATGGTTTCATACTTCAATAAGATGTGTCACTTTAAAGAAAAATGACTAGTTAAATTTAATCCTAGTGATTAAAATATTCAATACACAGAAGATTATTTCTAGACTTGTACCTATTTGATTTATAAACATTTTAACACTACATTAGTAAAATCAATTCTAAAAACTCATTTCTTGTAGGTAAGTTTATTTTTTTATTTTTTTCAAACATATTTTTGAATCTATATTAGCTGAAATGATTATATATTGATTTTATTTTTCAATCATTTTTTGACAATGCAAAACTTTTAATAATGGAAATTCATATATATATTGAAAAAAAGCGTATACCTGTCTTGTAGTATGAAAGATACCAATTACGTTTATCTTGGACTATTCTCTTTCAGATTTTCTTTTTCCCTTTTTTTTTTTCGTTAATTTAACAGTATACAATTCTTACAACCTAAAAAATAAAGACCTTGCTTCCATAATCTCCGGTCTTAATTAGCCATATGCTAAAAGTTCTGTGTGTAAAAATGTTCTCTAGAAGTTGATATAGTGTTCAAACAAGTGTAACTATAAGATCATAGGTAAGATTCCAGAAACAGTTCTTTCTAGACAAATATTTCCAAGCAATTATCGTGTCACAGTGTATTTTGTCAAATATGGGTCTTATGTTAGATTTGTTGGTTAATTAACCTATGATATATAAAAGCTGCAAGAATAAAGTTTTCTGGGATATTTCATAACGAAACAGTGCTTTTTGTCAATAAAATTTAGAAAACATGCAAATATTAAGCTAATAAACCATATATCATGATTTCCTTGTAGGACAACTTGACACTTTTAATCCAACCACCTTGTGTAAAGAGTGGTAAAAATACATAGATTTCACACATTATCTAACTGCTAGATAATTCTGTTATAAATTACATTTTAATGCAAGCATAAATTATAAAACATCTTAAAGTATTTGGATAGATCTGATATGTGATTGGCTTATCCAAGGTAAATGAATAATCAACTGTTACATTAAATTCCCTTTTTAGTTGGTATTAATGCTGCCATCGTTATATGTGCCCTTTTGGCAAGTTTGAATATACTGCAGTATATATAAGCAATGATCAGCATACTTTTATCAGTTAATGGTTGTTTCACTTACGCAGCAGGCCATCTATTCTTTATTCTATGTTTTTGCTGTCACCCTCAAAAAGGCATAAGAAGTTTAAATTATACTTTTTAGATCACCTGGTCCAAAGTGCAAGTGTGAGCTTTTAAAATCACTTGGTGTCTGTTGTTCTTATCTGCTGTCTGTTAACGTTTACAAAAATCCTTGTTTCTGAAACAATTCAGGCATATTTAACCAAATTTGACCACAATCATTATTGGGGTATCTTAATTTAAAAATGTGTCTGATGACCCTGTCTGCATACCAACATGGCAAAAAATAGAACATAGGGGGTAAAATACTAATTGACAGTAGGTAGATCTCATCATTTTGAACATTTTTGCCCATTAAATTTTCTCTATCTATAGTGGTTTTAAAGATAATAGACAAAACTTGCTTCTAGTTTCCTCTTAAAATAAATAATTTCATAACTGTAAATATCACATACTGAACCAAGTTTTAGAAATAAAAGTCTGATAGAAACTTTTAATAACTTTATTGATATATTTGACAAACACTTCCAAAAATCAACAAATGTTTGGTTTCTAATATTGAAGATTGAAATTTTAAAAAGTTCAAGTATTAGATCAACAAAATAAGGAAATAAAATAAATATATGCAACTTTTCTTGTTTGATTTAAGGGTGACACAGACTGTCAAGTGTCTGTTAAAGTGATAGTTTCAGTAGATGTTTTTGCATAAGAGACACCTCAGTATAAAACATTAGAGTATATTGTTTAAATTATATTTCACTATCAGTGGTTGCCTAGAATGGTTTTTAGTGTTTTGTTTATAGTTAGTAAATCAAATATTACAACAGAGGATTTTAAAAATTAAATATTTTATTAGGAGTAATTTGAATATTCCCAATTTTATCTCTATCATGACATTGGTGTTTGTAAGAATCTTAAGATTATACATTATTCATGTAGAATGACAATGAAAAGAGCTTGTCATGCTTGTAGGCATTATGGAATGTGTAAATCAAATCTTCAGTAGATTTTGTTATGTGTATATTGCTTTAGTACTGAAAAAGCTATTCGAAATAGTATTAGTACAGAGAATGCTGTAGTTCACAATGTTCTTGTTTATGTTACATGTGTAGAGACATCTTTAAAAAATCTATATTTATATTTCTATGGCGAAAGTTTTAACTCAACTGTCAGTGAAATTATTCAAGCGACTTTTTAGAAAAAGATCATTAAAGTCTTGACTGCCAGTGAAAATGATACACATTGTAGGATCACTATACCAGTTTTTTATGCATTTTGTTGATACTTCTGAATATGTTTCTTCAAAAACATATCAATGAATTAAAAGAGTACTGATGAAATTGTTGTAATGGTACTGTCTTTCTGAAAGGTGTTAGCTGTTTAATTCATCACTGAAGACTTTCCAACAACTCTCATGCTAAAGAACAGCAATTAAAGCACTGTTACTTTAATACATTGGTTATTTATAGAATGTCATCGGTTGTTGTGTTTTATACATGAGTTTGTGCATGGGGTTTATAGAGTAGAGATTGATGGTGTGCTAAAATATAGAATATTGGTCAAAATACATAAACTATAGAGAAAAACAACCTAAAAAATAAAGACTACAGAAGTTAAGGTCTCCATCCAGACCCCATCAGGCCTGAAGAAATAAAGATCCCCCAATCAGAACCTCATACAGCACCTAATATCACTTTTTTCAACATATGAGCTACAACTGATCATGACACGTACATAAATAACAATTATTACAATATGTATGTTTATTATGGGGTATTTATGATATACTTAGCATTATACTCTCAAATGTATGCAGCCCTGTATATAATAAAATGTTATCATGATATACCTATGTTATTTTCAGACAGGAGAGCCAAATGAGAAAAGAATCCTACAAGCAGCCAACAATAATTACTTTAATCTAAGTAACCAAGGTCTAAGATTACAAAGAGAATGGACTAGTTTATCTAACACACGGTCAATGAAGAGGGCTTCAGAGGTAAGCTTAAATTTGAGCATAAAATGGGTAATTATGAGTAAGAATCAGCATTTCAACTGAAATTAATTCAAATATGGTTTAAAGTAGCTTCAAGTATCAAATTTTTTTTTTTTTTAATGCAGTTCTGTTTTATCAGTTTTACATTGATTTTTCCCTTACTAACTGGCCATCAATGGTGATCTCCCTAAAGTGATCAATTTACCAGTCTGTCCAGAAAATCATGTCTATTTTATATCTTAAATAACCCTAGCAAGTAATTGATGATACTAAGCATGAGTGTTCACCTCTACAAGAAGGCATGTCATGAAAAGGATTTAAAGTTCAAGGTAATAAACTTAATTGAAAGTTGTTCACCCTTGGTCCATATGTAGATCTCTATATCTTGAGTACAAGGTAGAGTTAATTGAGATGGTGTTTTGCACAAAGATTTCTTTATGTAATAAGATTTGCCAGTTGAAAAAATCATAACAGATCCATCTCTACCATTGAAATACGCAGTTCTAGTATCCTAAAGGGACTATATATATAAATATTTTAGGCATACTTTCTGAAAAAAAATCTGTGGAATGAGATTGATAATGCATAGGTGAGGGTATCATAATAGCCAGAAAATGATTTGTGCAGTGCGCATCTTTTTTTTTTTTTTTTAGAAATTTTCAAAAAAATATAAAGAACCTCTTACCATTTAGAGTTGATACCTAAGTGTAAGATTATGTTAATTGGGACAAGTAGAGATAGTGACCTTTCTGTGAGAATGAATGATTAACTTATTAATTGATTCCCTTTCAATAATTCACTGCACTAATTATCAATGTGAGTTATTTCCCTTTACAAAAAAATGCACAAGTAGTAACTTTGATGAGTTGTCTCCCTTTACACTACAAACATTCTTTTGAGCTGTTTTACTTTGCAGATCGTGAACCACAGAGTGGACAGAATGTATTTTATGAATGGTAATTCCATAAAGCTAAAACCAAAGTATGATGTTGATGAGGAAGAATTAAGTAAATTGAAAGAAGAGGCACACAAAAGGTACGATTTTATTTTCACATAAAACTAGATAAATAATGTACACATATTCTAGTCACAATCGTTAATAATAATCATAGTTCTATATCTCTACTATCTTCAATACAGTAACAGATTATTTTATCTTTTTTCAACTGAAGTCTGACAGACCTCTTCCTTTAAGTCAAATTATTGAATGAAAATGAATAAAGCAACACATTTATTGTGTTACACAAAGTTTTATTCTGACTTTCATACCAAAGTAGGGATTAAATCAATCTACAGAGAAATAAATTTAACTCTTGCATAGGTCTTTGCACATTGATGATATGATTTCATTTAAATAAAGGAACCATTTTTTCCTAAATATATATTATACCCAGGTTACTGAAGTGGTTGTTCATTGTGACCACTGTGTTTATTCATCTGTCAGTTGTTCAAATCATCAACTTACTCTATATCTGCAACTCTCCTAAACAAGAGACATTTTATTTTTTATCCAATTAATTTTGGGGGTTTTCCATGCCATGTCAAAACATGAACTTCGCCATATCTACAAAAGAGGTATACATCCTATATCCCATCACTTATCTTTAACCAATGACCTTCTTTCATTGAAACTTTATTAGAATCTTTCTTACCAAATACCATTGTGCATCTATTCTATTTTCTATCAGAATAATCTAAAGCGTAATATATAGCAAAACTTAGCCATATCTATACAAATGGGGCAGCTAGCTCGAAAGGGTGCTTAATGTCCTACACAGAAACTTATTGCTATTAGTTAGAAAACAGCAGTGGTATGAATTTGTGAGTTCCAAGTCTTTATTCTGTTTATTACTCTAGATATACTTTTATGTTTTCGTATTTATTTTTTTTTAATTTCTATTTACCTTTCATTTAGATATCTGCCCTATCTTCATTTCTTACTTCTTTCCTTCTATTTTCTATTTCTATCTTGTTCATTAAGTATTCACATCGAAGAAGGCACCTTCAAAAGTCACATAACCATGCAGCCAAAGGGAGATAATCCAGATTCTAATTGTATGATTGAGGAGACTGACAGTCATGAGATAGAGGATATTTGTAAAATAAGTCATGAGATAAAGGTAAATTTTTATCATATGACAGAAGATGATGAAAATTGTATAGATGATGAACATGAAGAGGAAAGACCCAATTCTCAGTGCAGAATGGATGAACATGAAAAGGAAAGAACCCAATCTCAATGCAGAATAGATGAACATGAAGAGGAAAGACCCAAATCTCAGTGCAGAATGGATGAACATGAAAAGGAAAGAACCCAATCTAAGTGCAGAATGGATGAACATGAAGAGGAAAGACCCAAATCTCAGTGCAGAATAGATGAACATGAAGAAGAAAGACCCAAATCTCAGTGCAGAATAGATGAACATGAAGAGGAAAGACCCAAATCTCAGTGCAGAATAGATGAACATGAAGAGGAAAGACCCAAATCTCAGTGCAGAATAGATGAACATGAAGAGGAAAGACCCAAATCTCAGTGCATAATATGTGACCATATGGTAGATGTCCGTCATACTGTCAGTATAGAGACAGGGATCCCCGACAGAGATTTTATAAATGAGGAACTGAATTATTACTTTGATGACATTGAAATTGATCATGACCATTGTGTTAATTTTGTTGATGGTCCACTTAACTTTGTAGATATACTTTCACATGAAGACCAACATGCTTTTGGGAAATGCATGATTGAGTTAATGACAAATTATTCAAATGAGAAACAGGAAACTAAATTTCAGAAAAAGAAACCTAAATTTATGTCTTCTGGTCTAAAGAAAAGCAGAAAACGACCAAAGAAGTCTGCACAAAAGCGTCAGTTAAATTATGATGCATTTTATGCCAAATATCCTAATGTGAACAGTTTTCCACAGTTGAAACAAGCAAAAACAAAGCTAATGCAAAAACCAGTTGACTGTCAATGTAGACAATTTTGGGAACCTGCATCTCCTTGCTTAACCATTACTGGACAACAGCCTCCTGCTTATTATTATAGCGTGTGGATGAGAGAGGCGTCTGTTGCTGAAGATGGATAACAAAACTTAACAGTACATATCGTTTGAAGTCCAGGGAGGTAACTCTGCATATAACAACTACAAGATGAAGTTGGAATAAAGAAAAGGAACAAGGCACCATTGATAAAACTTCCAAACTGCTTTAATTTATCTCTCCTGCTCATGAGATGAAATTTTTCTCCATACCAATGTTTTGCAGAAACTTTGTAGAAATTAAAGAGGGAACAACATAACAAGCAGCTCTGACTGTTAATCCATTTAAAGTGTCTTTTTCTTTGCTTTAAAGACAGAACAACATAACAAACAGCTCTGACAATTAATCCATTTAAAGTTGCTTTTCCTTTGTTTAACTATGCTACAGACCTTTTCAAAATTCATACTTTATTCTGTAGCACCAAACATTTTAGTAAAGTCTGCAGTTTGTCATTCTTATTATTAAGTATTCTTCGGATTGCTATATTGAATAAGATAATCAAGATTTCATTTCTTTGCTTGCTATCATTTTCTGACATTTGAGGATATCTAATTTTATGGTTTTTATCATTTTTAATTCTGTAAATAAATAAGAAACTTTTTGCAATGTTTTATTATTTAAAATTTCAAAGGGATAATAAGTGTAGCAAATACAATTACTTGCATTATAAATTTTGATAGCATTAAGCAACAATTCCTGAATAAAAGCATGCAAAATTTCTGAATTTATAGTACTTGAATTTCTGGTTTAACAGTCATGTAATCCAGCATGCATGATGCCTTGGTGGTCACCAAAGTATTAAGTTGACATTGAAATATACATATATGTGTACTGTAGTTGAAATTAGAGATCAGTTCTGAGTATTCCCTATTTGTGGTTCATTATATTTAATTCTATGAATGACAAGGGTTATTGGGAATATGCCAATGAGATAGCAACCCAGATTTTTAGAATACCAATAGTTTATATTCTTTCTTGTATTATTACATAGTTTGACTTTCCCAAGCAAAAAAAAAAAAAATGGAGATTTCTATATGTTTGAAGGATTTCTTTATCTTACTGAGTGCTTCACCATGAATATTTTATGCTGATGCAGCATGATTCCCAGTACAATTCTTATGACGTACTGGCTATGATAGATTCCATAGCATTTTTAAACATGTAAATCTCGTTTCTGTCAAACCTCATGCTGCTTTCTGTTTGCATTACTATCTTCAAAGGGAGATAATTTGTGAATAAAAAAATTACCTGCATAGTGGGGATCATCATTGTTTATTATCAGCCAACAAAAAAAAGGAGAAAAAACAGAAAAGAATAAAAATTAGTTTGGGAATACCCATTAAATTTATTGACTACTATATTGCAATATTGGTCTTACTAACTACTCACCATTGAACAAACAAAACAATGAGAAAAAGAATTATTGCTTTTAAATAACCTGGCCCAAATGGCCATGTGAGCTATTACCATCACTCGGTGTCAACCAACATAAACTATTTTGTCTTTTTTGTCTCCACGAACCCAACCAAAATGGTGACCAGGGCTAAAAAAAGAACATAAGGATAATGCAAGTAAAAGGGAAGCGAAATATACCAAAGAGACATTTAAACTCTGAAGTCCAAACACAAACTGACAATGCCATGACAAAAAACGATAAAACGACCAAAAGACAAACAATTGCAAACAAAACACAACATAGAAAACTATAGACTGAGCAAAACGAACCCCACCAAAAACTATGGTTGATCTCAGGTGCTCCAATGGGTAATTAATTGTCTATTATCTTGAAACTGGTTAGATAGCCAAAATCTGACAGGGCAGAAAAGCTCAAAAAGTCAACATCTAGTCACTTTCCATGTCTACCAAAATGTTCAGATGACTTCTAATACAAGTTATTGCCCAAAAATGACATTTTTATATACATATTTTTTTGTTTTTGGTAATAATCTTGAAAAATACTGTAGATTAAGAAAACCTGTAAACAGCAATTTAAAATCTGATTGAAATACCGATCATGTGTTCAAGTTCTACTAACATGGATCTGACACCACTCCATTCTACTTTCTGTTCTGTTAATTATTACAGCAGCCTATCAAATTCAGCCTTCAATTTTTCTAAGGTGTGTATCATTACAATAAAACCAGGGGGTCCTGAAAGGTCTTTAAAACAAAAAGTAGAACAGAGTGCTGTGGGATCCTTGTAAGCCAAGCATGGACACAGGATCTGTATTAGATTGAGCATAATAAGGTCTACTAATAAGTAAGCATGACTGAAATGGTCATTGTATTCTTTTTTAGGAGTTATTGCTCTTACATTGATAATTAAATGTTATTTGTTAGATATCAGAATTATACATTGACATTAAAAGTTTATCTACTTATATTAGAATTTGATTAATGTATTTCAACATTAAAACAGAATCATACAAGATATTTGTAATAGGTGCAATTTATTCATAATTAATGCATTAATCATGTTAATAATTTTATGAAGTTTTTATTCAGACACTAATTGAATTTATATTTTTCTTTTTTATTTGCCTCCTCTCCATTCTTCATGTCTTAAATTTATTTTATATTGCTATGATATATTGAAATATAAAATGGAAACTGTTTCCCTATTATCTTTCCTTCTCTTCTGCCACTCTAAACTGTATACAGGGGCAGCAGGACTTCCAGTAGAAATTCAATGAAATCTGGACCCAAAAAAGTAAGTAATACATTTATAAATGATTTTTAAAGGAATCTGTACAATCGTTAGCAAAGAACAAAATGTAAAATTCAACTTTGGTTAGAGTTGGTTTCTTTAAAAACTCTATTTTTATGTTTTTGGTTTGCATGGTAATGTCAAAGATTCAAGAAATAACCTAATATTACAATGATTTCAATATGGAACGGTAACCTGAGTACCTTAACTAGACAATAATGATCACAATGATGATGTTGTATGTGATCCCAATGGACAGGGAGTCAGGCTTTTAACATACCTTTATTTGTTTTGTTCAATGTACATTGTACCATAACCCATATTTTATTGGTAACCCATATGTAAACAAGGAATTATTTGAATCTGGAATAATTTTGAATTCTGGAAAATTGATTAGAAATGTATGATGAAAACTAACCCAACTAAATAGGGTTAGCCATGCGTGCATGGCTAAGGTTAATTTTACTTTCACTATCATTTCAGTATGAACTAACTAACCCACCTTAGCCATGCACGCATGGCTCACCCTATTTAGTTGGGTTAGTTTTCATCATATATTTCTCATCAATTTTCCAGAATTCAAAATTATTCCAGATTCAAATAATTCCTTGTTTGTACATGAGGGTAGGAATGCCCTTTACCGTCAGGCGTCAAACGGTAATTTTTGGCCACCGTTATCGTCAAATTGGTTAAAATTTTACCATGATTCGTCAAAATATCCTTATCGTGATTTGTCAGAGGTCTCAAATTATTATCGTTACTGTTATTTTTAGAAAAAATTTAACGTGATTCGTCAAAATCAGTTGACTTTTTTATCGTCTTAAAGAATGTGTACATTTTATCGTCATGCACCAAAAATTATAGTTAACCTCATTTGGCAAGATTTTTTACTGTTATTCGTCATGAAGGTATTCCCATTACGAACCTCGTATATAGGGATTTTTGTAGTGTTTAAAATAAAAATTGATGTAAAGGATATATTTTTTTGTGAAATTTGCAGTTCAGAACTCATTGTTATAATTTTATTTTCTCGGTTTTAAGATCAATTGAAGTTTACATTATTTTCCCTTTTGATATGTAAGATTTATATTCAGTATTATTGAATAATTTTGTAATGCACTTTATTTGAAAGAGAAGAATTAATTGTAATTTTCAGAAAGACCCAATAGATTTGAAAAAGACCATTGGAAATGCTGGTAAGTTTATGTAAAATATTACATTTTCTGTTGGGGGCCTCATTGGCTGAGTGGTTTAAGTAGTGGAACTACTGTATCACTAGCCTATCAACACTGAGGTTGTTAATTTGAATCCTGCATGGGGCAGCTGCACTTGACTCCAATCTTTAAAATTGACTAGGATTGTCAGTTTTCCTAACGAAGGTCGGTTGTTTTCTCCAGGCACTGTGGCTTCCTCCACCAATAAAAACTGACTGCTACCAAAAAGCACAATAGTGCTGAAAGTGACGTTTAACACCAATCAATCACTCAATACATTTTTGGCTCATGTGTTGTATGAAATACATTAATTGTGGGGTATAAACGAAGAAATAACAACCAAATGATGCAAAAAAACAGAAGACATCTAGAATTCCACATGCAGTCTACAACAGTACACAGTTGTTTGTTATACATGAATATGTCAAGCTCGAAAGTCCTGAAATTTTGTGAATAATATCGGCTATCCAAACAAAATAATCAAGCATTAATTTTTTGTGTCTGCCAAATAATTTTATTTCACAAGTTATCATTTTGGGGTTTTGAATAAATCAGGATAATGCTATCTTGTTTGGCTTATATACATTTGTTTGAATAAAAAAATCATTTGAATGTTAAAAACATGGTTGTACAATAAATCTTCCTGAAAATATTTGTCGATTGGACAGTCCAGTCTTTCAGTAAATCTCATCTTCAAATGTTTTCAGAATCAGAAGGAGGAACTGGGGATGTGACCGTAAGTTTATTTATTTTAATTTTGTATTCTATTACATGTATAACAAAACATGATAATTGAAAAAAAACATGTTTTCTTAAAAAACAAATAGAAAGTATAAGTGATTGACACTTGTGCGACATGAAATATAAGAATCACAAGGTATAATTATAGAGAAAATGGAGCGTCACACGATTGTATGTAAATAAGTCTTCTGTAAATGTATACTGTAAATTAGATTTTTATTATTGCGAATAATGCGACTGGATGAGTCTAGCAATAATAAGAACTCACTATTCACATTCTGATATCTGATACATAAATCTGTATGCATATTTTCCTAAAATTGCAATAATTAATCTTGCATTTTAGTTCATTCTTCAAAATCGCAATGACAAATGCACGCAATAATTTCTGAATTTACAGTATTGTATATTTGTATTAGCTGTTAGTCAAAACATTATATATTTTTGTTTATTACAACTCAAAAGGTTCATTATGGATGGAGAAGCTGATATTTTACATTATTTATGATATAATCTTTAATGCTTCTAAGAATCAAATTGTGGCATTTCTTTGTTTAGCTATGCAGTTTGTTAATACAATGTAGTATAAATGTAATTTAGTTTAGTAAAATAATCTGTCAAAAAAGAGACATCAAATTATCAGTAATGTCATCGAGAATGTTGAATCCAAGAATAAATGTCTTGCATCAATAATCCTGGGCAACAAAGATATGAATCAGGGGCTCTTTTTACAAAAAAAATAATCATAATTTATACTTAAATGTTCATGACTTACTAGAATTTTTTCTTGTAGACTTACTAGAATTTTTTCTTGTAGACTTACTAGATGTTTTTCTTGTAAGATATTTGTGAAATGACTGACATAGCTAGCTGTATGGTGTAAGCAAAAGTAATACAATGCTACATATCAGGTCTTCAGCAATGAGTGATAATCAATATAACTAAGCCTAAAACTAAAGAAAACTGCAGCCATGCATAAAATCACAACAATGAACCACATTGATTTAGGTAGATAAAAATCTAATTAACACAACAAAAAAAAACACACTAAACCTACTCAAAGTTTACTTTGAATCATACAAAATATATAACTTCCTATTTGTATGGGAGAACCAAATTGTTAACAAAAATTAAATCAGATCATCAATAAATGTTTATTCCTGAAGCAATCTTACATCCTCCTAAAGACAGCATTTCTTTCTAAACTGTAATCAAACAACTTCACAAGTATAATGATAAGAGCCTTTCAGAGGAACTTGGGCACTTGCTTAAGGTAATATCAAGACTAAATCCATGATATTTTCTATGGCATTCTTTTGCAGACAAGTAGTGAAATAAATTTAAAGAAACCAAATGGAAGATTAAGTCCAATAAATGGATGGGAAGGCAAGGAAAAAGTTGTAGAAGAAGAAAGTGACTTAATACGACAAAAATCATTGCATGCAGAGTGCAATGATGTAGAAAAAACAGTAGAAAATGGTGATACATCTGAAAACAAAGAAGAGGAAAGTGATGGGTTGCAAGGAATGAGACCTGATGGAAGAATTGACAGTAGTGCCTTAAATAATGATACTGAAAATGGTGAGGAATTAAAGGAAAATGATGTGCCTGTTAATGGCAAAGAGGAGACAACTCAAGAGGCTGATGAACAGCAGGGGGAGACAAATGATGAAAATGTTGCTCAAGAAAACACATAATGAATTGAATTTTATGTAATATTTAGAACCCTGTGATAGATCTATTATCATAATTACCTATCTGTGATATATATGTTGCCATAGAATCTGTGATCAATTCCTTATGAACTGTGATAAAATGAATCAATTTAAAAATTTTAATATTTATAGAAGATTTTTCATTAAGAAACACAACTGGGTTATGAATCCTCATTTAACATTTTGATCAGCACTTTAATAGACAATGAATCTGTTTATGGGCACTCTAGTTTTATGAAGTCTATCTACGATGATGGTTTAGCTGTTTTGTATGTTAGTCAATAGTGATAATCCCTAAAGTATATTATAACATATGCTAATTTATGGCAGTATCTGTCATTAGTTTAGAATTATCCTTAACACCTTAAAGTTTATGCTTTCTATGATTGTCCTATATTCCTTTTAGATAATATTGCAAAAAATGGTTTTGTCTTGATATTTCTTGGATGCAAATTAATTCTTCTTTAAACATTTGCACTTATTGCATATTTTTTCATCGTATATTTTCTTCAATTGCCTTAAATTTTATTTGACGATGAGTTGAAAGAATATTTTACCAAAATCATGTGCATTTGTACTGTGAAAAAGTAGACAGGAAACTATTAAATTTTTTTATGTTTCGCATTGAAAAGGAATATTATATCCATATATGGTTTGCCAAAAATAAATCATCCATGACATAGCCTTTTCAGATATCATTAAAAGTAATTCAGACATAACAAGGATAGAATGTTGATTCGTAAGCATTTAATTCAATGTACAAAGCATAATTATTTTTTTCAGTTTCTTAGAAGCATAAAGTTCAATATTTCAAGAAGATCTGAAAATTTTAAATTTGTTATTGGTCACAACAAGAGAAATAGAATTTGAAGAATGAATATGTTATATATTTATGAATTTACAATATATTCAGGTTAAACTTCAAATCTATCTCCATAAGATGAACTGAAAATTTGTTGACAACCTTTTGTACGCTTTTAAAAAGAAAAGATTGTAATTATATGCATTGAATCATGTGATTCCAACAGATACCAGTGATAAAAAAGTGCATGTCTTCATACAATGTTTGGAATATTATTTTTATGTAAAAGACTACATAAGAATACTTTTTTTACCTCATTACTGCAATGATCCATGACATACAGAACATTTGTTAAGAGGATTTATTCGTCTTTATTTTGGTAATTTTTGTTTTTGCTAGAATTCCAAAATTTCATGATATAATCCATTACAGATTTTTTTAGAATACATTACTCCCCCCTTTTATGATGGGAGTATAGACAAAAAATGATTATTGAAAAGCCACTTCCCTGTTCTTATTGAAGTGTCTCGATAAGGGCACCAATTAGTGAAATTTTAAATACAGTACTAAATTGGGTTCTTTTTTTTTTTTAAATTAGATTGTAACCCACGATTTTTTCTATATCAAGTATGGAAAATGCACAAGTTTTGTAGTTTCATGTTGTATAACATCATTTTGTGATTTTGTAATACATGTACTGTGGATTCATTTATTTTCAAGGGTATCAATTTTCGAATAGAGAAAAAAAGACGTTTCGTGGTATAAGTAAATTCGTGGATCGCTGATTACAAAAAGAAAAAAAAAATTCAGATACGTAATTTGTGGATTTCTTTTTAATTTAGGAGATCATATAACCTCCTTGGTTTGATCAATAATAAAACAAACTAAAAAGAAGGAATTCATTGAAAAAGTTTTGAATTGTCAAAATCCTCGCTTGGTTATTCTAAGTTAAAGTGTTCATTGAAAACTTCTATTACAATAATGGACAGAGACAACTAATTACTTGTTTGTTTTACAATTTATATATTCTTGTCGGAATTTTATAAGGCATTCAAAACTCTTTGATTGAAAGCTCATTTCCCTAATCACGATATAATAAACAGTCATATAAGTAAAAGGTGTGAAAATAAATGTTCCTGTCATAAACAATATTACCTACAGGCAATATCCACGTACTTAATCCAATTGATTTTTAATCACCAGTAAACCACACTATGACACGGTAATTAACAACTTGCAGTTATTTTCCATGAACAGTTTTATTAAATTTTAAAAAGTAAATTATCACTGATATTCGATATATTTATTATTGAATTAATCAAAATTCTTGTATCTTCTTTCAATAAAAAAACATGTGTTATGTTACAATGTTTATCGCTAGTCAACACTATACTAGAACTGCATAACATAAATGGAAATAAACATCCGACTCCATACACATTTCTCGAGATTATTCTTTGTTGAATTCTTAAATTCGTGGTTCACTGTGACCCACGAAACCCACGAAAATTGGTATACCACGAATAAAAATGAATCCACAGTATACAAATATTGTTATTGTCTGTATGATATGGTAGTTAAATGTTCACACAGTGATAACTGTAAAAATCATCAGATCTTTGTGTTTTTGGTATGGATAATGGGCATGTCTGCTTATATTGGCATTTTAGAAGTTATATCTTTTACTGAAGTCTCTTTATACAATCCTTAGTCTAATGGAAAGGATACAAATAGTTCCTTATACTTGTGCAATTCCAAGAAATTATAGGTTACAATTAAATTTTGTAAGTTTGAGAGCCTTACAAGTCTGTGAACTGCATTGAAATACAAATGTGAGGCATAGTCTTTGAACATATTGAGACGTAACCCAGCAGTCTCATGTGAGGCATAGTCTTTGAACATATTGAGACGTAACCCAGCAGTCCCATGTGATAGATGTTTTAAAGGAATAATACATGAATACTGTGAAAACCTAAAAGAAATTTAATGATGGAAGAAATTTTTTTCTTCAAACTTTTTTTTTGTATGGATGGCTATTTATTTATTTATTTCAATATTCATTGTGTCTAAAACAATTGACAAGAGACAAGTTGTTTTGAAGAAAGTCCTGGCTTTTGTTGTGTCAACCTTGGAAATTGTCCTGTTAGTGTGAAGTTTTTCACCAGAATGGACTTGAACATACAAAATAAATTCGGACATTTTTTTTCTCCCATTCAATAGACAGAACTTTAATCTTACACTTTGGAAAAGTCTGACAAATTTAAAAAAAACCAAACAAAGATAGACACATGGAAAGAAAGATAAATATCTTTACACCTTTCATATCAATAATGTGTAGCATCAAAAAGACAACACATAATATATGTCATGATCAACAATCAGAATCAATTTTTTTATAATTTTCATATATATAATAAATGTTAAAAAAGCCAATGCAACGTACTGCAATTTTTTTATCGAAAAATATTTTTTGCACACAAGTGACGTGTTCATCATTCAGTTTTCATATTTCCTAGCACATGAGTTTTGATGGATATGTAGCACATTAGAGAGATAGTTTTGATAGTAGATATACATTCCATTTATTTATTATATTATCATGTTATTCATTTTAATGTGAATTAAATCATTATAATTTAACAATGTTTTCATTAGAATTTTCATATAAGAGTTGTTCTGTTCACTTCAAAGTGGATTAAACATTTTATCAAACAGATCCATATATATTTTTGATAGTATACCCCCATTAATCACCTTAAGGTGGTACATAACACTACAGGGAGGTAACTCTGTAAAAATCAGCTGAACGTTTTAATCACGTTCTATTGTTAAGGCAATATTAAGCTTCTTAATGATCAAAATTAGTGTTTGTCAAACTGCTATATTTCCAATGAAATTTTTCCGATAAAGTGTGTGGTTCAAGTTTTTTGAAATTTTTATATTTTTGTCAAAGGGTCAAAGTAAATATTTTGTCAAAATTTTATGAAAATTAAACGAGCCAAATTAATTTTAGGCAAGGTGTATAGTACCACCTTAAGATAAAATGGGAGTATAATCAGTCAAGGATTTAGATTTAGAGGGGGGGCGCAAACTTAAAATTGAAATTTGGGGGGGGGGGGGGGGGGGGGGGGGGGGCACGTCAGGGGGGTTAAGGTCAGATGAAACTTGCCAGAAAAACATGTACACCTTACAATCATTCCATAGACCAAATATAGTGGCCCTATCTATACTACTAAAATAACGAGGTCCAATTTGTTAGCCAGCATGAAGTAAAAACGGTGAATCAAAGAATTCAACTTTATATGTAACTAATATAGGACAATGGTGTTGATTTAAATTTGCACAATTCCAGGCCCTTTTGTTTTCCAAATAATTATTATTACCAAAAATTAGCAAGTTCCGGGTCGAATCTGATACCGATACCAATAGTACCAGTTACCTAATCTGTACATTCCGTGTCCTGCGCACCACCAAACGGTGTTTTTTGGATTTGCTATATACACAGGTCATAATTATGCCTGAACTTCATCATTATACAGGGATTGATACTACTAAATTCAATCATTGACCAAAAAAATATATCTAAAAGTAGTTTCTGGTTTTAATTGTAGTAAGAAAACCAGGACGGATTCAAACAGAAAAATTTTGCAAGCAGAGTCGAAAACTGTGCACCTTATTATCAGCATGACTTTATCAAATGACAATACGAATACGAAAAATCCAGGCTGAAAATAAGGCCTAGATACTTTAATTGTCAAGGACCTGCTGGTGTGTTATATTTGCTTCTAAAAAATAGACCAAACCGGAGAACTTAACATTGTCCAGTGAACCATGAAAAAAAGGTTAAGGTCAAATGAAACCTACCAGACAAACAGGTACAACGTACAATTATTCCTTACACCAAATATAGTGGCTGCATTGCTTATGGTACCTGGAAATCAGACCAAACCACAAAACTTAACATTGACCAATTGCAATGAACCATGAAAAAAGTCCGTCATATGAACCCTGCCAGTGCAACATGTACATATTACAATCATTCCATACACCAAATATAGTTGACCTATTGCTTATAGTATCTGATAAACTGACAAAACCATGAAAAGTTAACATTGACCAATGAACAATGAAGACCAATGAACAATGAAATTGAGGTCAAGGTTATGTGTAACCGCCAGACACGTATTTACACATTACAGTCATTCCATACACCAAATATAGTGGCCATATTGCTTATAGAATCTGAGAAATAAGACCAAACCACTAAAACTAAACATTGTCCAATGAACAATGAAAATGAGGTCAAGGTAAGATGAAACCTGCCAGTCAGACATGTATGCCTTACTATCATTCCTTACACCAAATATAGACGACCTATTGCTTATAGTATCTAAGATACTGAATTGACCAAGAAAACTTAACATTGAAATGAGGTTGAGGTCAGGTGACGAACATGTATACCTTGCAAGGATCCTGTATACCAAATATAGTTACCCTATTACTCATGATAATTTAGTATTTCACATGACAATAAAAATAAACAAATTTCCAGCAGTCATCACTAAACCATGAAAATGAGGTCAAAGGTATCTGCATCCAGGTCTTCAACCTTCTGAAATATAAAGCTTTATAGAAATGGTTTATGCCGCTGCAGCTGGATGTAATCCTTATGTTTGGCAACTTTAGACTCGTCGCAAGCGAGACAGAAATTATCAACAAGAAGAACTGCATCAGTGAACTTGTGGTAGTATACCTGCTTCGATCCCAGACCTTGTCAAGTCAGACTTTTAAATGGGTCTTTGCTGCTTCTCCACCAAGCACCCGACATTTATTAGGAGCAAAAACTTGAAAGCTCCAAGTCAGAATATGTGTCCAGGTAGGGTAATGTCTTTCTATGTAACCTTGTTATCTAGCCATTAAAATCGAAATCAGTGTTTGTCTACTACAAAACAAAGTTTTTTCACATTACATTTATAAGTAATCTATTTGTCACTGGACACTGAGCAGCTATCAAGAAAGAGGTAAATGATATCCGATGATAGTATTTTCTTTATGTCCTTGTCCACAGCTAGGAGTTTTCATTGATGTTTTGTGTTTGTTTTAAATGAACTTGTTTACTTTGACCATTCATCAGTTCTCTTCAACTGTTTAAACATTTATTTATTGTGACTATGTAGAGGTTGCAAGGTATGGGTTAAGTTGGAGGCAGTTCCATCATTTAAGAATGTTATCCTTTTTCACCCCCAAAGGATAATTGGTAGGAAGATTTGACATCATATGATCTTAATTTTATAAAATACAAACAGATGGACTAGCACAAGCACATGATTTATCAATAAGTTGTTACAAAATCTAATGCATTCTGGGTAATATTTCAAAAGTGTACATTAACACATCGATTGGTCAAAAACAAACAATGAAATTACCCATAGTCCTTTAGATTCTGAAACGGTCAATTGAACCACATTGCTCTCACACAAGTTTGAAATATCTCTTGTATGGTTTTCATATAATAAAGCAACACCCTCGTCTTCAAAATCTTTTCTCTTATCAGTCTTTACAATACTAAACATTCTGGTATTGTGAATACCACTTGGTGGTAAATGATCAAATTTACACCCAGTTTTTATGTATGGGTAATGTACAATATTTTTCTTGTAAGATCATCATGCTTTCTGTACTGTACTTTACCAAGATTGATTGATTGGTGCTCAATGCTACTTTCAGCATCATATCTATTTTGTGGAAGGCAGTTTATATTGGTGGAGAAAATAGCATGCCAAGAGAGAACCACCAACCTTCTGCAGGAAAGCTGACAATCCTAGTCAATTCAGATTAGAGCCGAGTGCACCTACTACGTGCAGGATTTGAAATCACAGCCTCAATGTTGACAGGCTAAAGATACTGTCGTTGGACTACTTAGACCACTTGCCACCAAGGCCTCTACTTGACCAAGAAGACAAACCAGAAACCATGTAAGCAGTTGGTCATCACATATTTATGTTCAATGTGAATGGTTGAAAAATCAACAAAAACTGTGATAAGCATTTCAATCAAAGTTATCATAAAATACAGATAAAACTTTTAACAAAAACACAGAAATAATTTATTTATATACAAAAGAGATACAAATATTATACAGTACAGACAGACAAGACACACACACACACAAAGAAAAATGAACAACTCTGACAATTACATTACCATTCAATAGGAATTTTAAATGTTATGAAATAAACTTTCCAAGATAATAAATTCTTTGGAGGCCAAATATTCTCTTGTTTGCCTGAAATAGCATTCTATCGGATCCTTTGTCTAAAACATCTAAGGAAACAATTTTCTCCATTATATAAATTGTTTTTTAAGTTTTTAAGCCAATTGTTTCAATAACAGGTACTTACTTTGTAAAATATCTTTAAAATGATATAAAATTTATGCAATGTGATTTGTTTGAAATTGGACAAGTTTTCACAGTCCATTAAACTGACTTTATCTCTCCTTTCTACTTTCCAATGGACAAGAATGCTCTTAATCTCCTATTTCATATAAATATACATTTTTTTATATTTAAAACTCATAAAAAATTGTTGTAGTTTCTGTTTACAGTATTAGAAATAAAAACATTAATAAAGTTAAAACATTAAATAATAAACAAAAAATTTTATTGCCCCAAATTTTTTAAAAAGTTTTTTAAATTTACAAGCAGATAACACTGTTAATTAACAATTCTGATTTTGAGAACTTATTATTGTGTTCAGCCTTAAACTGTGTATTGTACTTGATTTACAGAATCCAATAAAGTTACCAATATAGTCAACAACAGAAATACATTTGAAAATACAAATTACAAACCAATATCTTAAATTGTCAATGATTGTCATTATTTTCTAATAAATTCTTATAAAATAGTTTGGTTTATATATAAAAAAAAATATCTGACCATGCCCATTTGCAAGTTTTCAATGGTAACAATATATTTCACCGGTCAAAACAATCAAAAATTATAAATTAAAGATTTTAAAGTTGAGTAGTGTTGTTGCATAAAAGTGCAGAGGTGGTTCTAGTAAACAGATAAAGATTGCAAAAATTTAATCTATAGTGAAACCTGAATCAGGAAAAAGAAAAATAAGAAGATAAACCTAAGAGAACAGGAAATTATGAATTTAAACTCAGTGAAAATAAACCTCTTTACAGTTTACACTGACCCTTATGAAAATATCCATAAGAAACATGTAGCTAGTTCATTAGTTCACCTTAGTATACAGTGTACACATTATCTATGATTAGTAATTCACAAACATATTGCACATTAAGACATAATAGATCAACATGTCTAGGACTGTTTTTTCGTCACTTCCTGGTCGTATTTTTCCAGTAACACTTTCTTGTAACCTTCCTGGTTCTTCCATAGGTCTGCTGCTTGTACATTCAATGGACTGTCTATATTTGGTTCTGAAAATATAAACCATATAACTGTTTTAGTGGGTAAAAAATTACTCTCTTTTATCATAAATAATCTTTTGGTTATCTCAAAAATTCGTAAGGGTTCCACGGAACCCAGTGTCTCGCCTACTTTTGGTGTTAATCGCAGGCTCAACAAAAATGAGGAAAAAAATTAATAAAAATATTCCCCTCTATACTATGTTTTGATTGTAAGTAGCTTCTGTCCAAGTTTGGTAAAAATCCAGGATAATTTATGAATCTAATAAATGTTTTAAAAACTTAAACTGCAGAATGTATGTAATGTTGACTGGAAGAAAAACTAAGTCCATTTATAAGTAAAATACGGAAAAAATGGAACAAAATTTTATCAAAATTTCCTTCTAGATACTAGCTTTTGATCATAAACAAGCTTCTGTCCAAGTGTGGTAGAAATCCAGGATAGTTTAAGAAGTTATTAAAATTTTAAAAACTTTAACCACAGAGTGAATGTAATGTTTCCTGGCAGAAAAACTAAGTCCATTTATAAGTAAAGTACGGAAAAATGGAATTTTTTTTTAACAAAATTTACTTCTGGATACTATCTTATGATCATAAACAAGCTTCTTTCCAAGTTTGGTATAAATCCAGGATAGTTTAAGAAAGTTATTAAAATTTCAAAAACTTTAACCACAGAGTGAATGTAATTTTTCCTGGCAGAAAAACTAAGTCCATTTATAAGTAAAATACGGAAAAATGAATTTTTTTTTTACAAAATTTACATCTGGATACTATCTTACGATCATAAACAAGCTTCTTTCCAAGTTTGGTAGAAATCCAGGATAGTTGAAGAAAGTTATTAAAATTTTAAAAACTTTAACCACAGAGTGAATGTAATGTTAACTGGCAGAAAAACTAAGTCCACTTATAAGTAAAATACGGAAAAAATGGAATTTTTTTTTACAAAATTTACTTTTGAATATAATCTTATGATCATAAACAAGCTTCTGTCCAAGTTTGGTAGAAATCCAGGATAGTTTAAGAAAGTTATTAAAATTTCAAAAACTTTAACCACAGAGTGAATATTTGTGGACGCCGCCGACGACGACGACGCCGACGGAATGTAGGATCGCTATGTCTCGCTTTTTCGACAAAAGTCGAAGGCTCGACAAAAATGAGTTATGCACCTACTTTGAACCCCATAAACATGCACTATGAACCATAATATGATTATCCATCATATTGACCTGGGTTGTATGCTAAACCCAGGCTCAAAAAGGGAAAATGTTTCACAAAAATAATCATGCAGTACCGAAATTCTTTAAGGGAATAGAGGAAACAATTCAACAACATATTGCACTAGATATTGGTAAATTAAAACGCCCCCTGTATGTGATTGACCTCTTCCCATTTTCAGTAATAGTAGAGGCAATATTTGATTGAATCTGGTGTTATCAAACCTGATTCCAAAAGTGCTGAGGGCTAGTAATTTATTTACAAGTTTAAATAGCAATTTATTCTTTGGAAGATTTGTTCATTTCTTTCCTTCTCAAATTTTGCATTTTTAGTATGATGTCAGCCATTTATGGCAGAAAACATTGAGTTAAGTTCATTTACTATATCTTTTAAGGATCAATAAATGTCACCAAACAATTGGCAAATAATATAACTGTTACACTTTAAGTTTGGTAGAAACTTGTCCTTCACATTTTGTTAACTTCTGTATTGAATGTTGGGTTCATGAACCATATAACATAATTTTGAAAGAAGACCATATCTCCTGCCAGTAGGATGGAAAAGATTTTTTTATGGTTGGTTGGTTCGCAGGGGGAGTTGGGGGCGGGGGCTGTTTCTCATTAAACAATTTTTATAGAATGAACATGTATTAATTTGATAGGTGACTTGCACCACTAATAATTAGCCTCTGAAGCACACTGGCATATAAGAAAAACTTGGATCCTAATTATAAAATGGACAGGTGAGCACAAGTTGCTTAAAGGTCCATGCCAAAAGATGATAACCAATGATGTCTGCAATCTCAAAGGTTGACAAAGATACTGGTAAATGGCTGAATACAAAGTGCATAGCACACCATATGGGTAAGCCTTAAATTTCTACCTGTTTCTAAGCTTTTATGATTCTTAACAGATGAGCAGAGACAATGTAATTTTGTATAGTTAGTCATAAGTGCACATATGAAGGCTGATGGATTGCAAATATCTGAAAAATCCCTGACCAACAGGGCTCACACTACTTCAGAATCATAGGGAGAAGTGACTTCTCTTTTTGAAACTGAGAGGGAGAAGTGCTCGTTCGCTCGCGGCGCTACAATGTTTGGTTTTTACTATAATACAAAAGGCCATATGTCATGTATGTATCTTATTTTTTTTATATTGTTCAATATGTACCTGGGTATACAATTAAAGTAACAGTTCAAATTCAAAGTTGTTTAATATTATCATATCTAGTTGCACATTCATATTAGTCCTCTTGTCAGAAAAAAACAATTAAAAGATTTTTTTTTTATATCAAAAAGGAAAAGAAAGTTGTTATATCAATTAAAATTCAATTATTACTACTCTGTTATCATGTTTATGAAATTAAGTATTTCTCATTAAAAAGAAATATAAATTTAACAGTTTTATTTAACCAGTTATAGGACAAACGCCTGATTTTGAGTTTCTTCAGCAAAATAGCCAGAACATTAACCAATTAACAGCATATTGATAAATCATTTATTCAAACACTTGTTTATTTGTCTTCACAGCAGGAAATCTTCTAATTACCACAATATTTTAGATGACTGACCAGAAATGACCACATGTGTACAATGTATTGTAAAAGTGCTGTTCCACATAAATAGATTGTTATCAGAATCAGCTAGTTGCAAAATCTTCTGACTTTTGAATTTTATATACACAAGACCCTTCCCCCCTTTTTTTTTGAAAAAAAAGTTTTGGCAATGCAAACATTTGAAAACAGAGTATTTGTGTTTTGTATTTTATTTTTATATTTAGGCGTATAACTAAATCTACAATATAAATATGAATAAGAAATGACTGATTTTGTAAAAGAATTTTTGTATACTGGAATGAAACTGGAGAAATTATCGAATTTAATGTTCTCGTACCAAAGGCACACTTTGAAAATAGTTTCTCTGAATAATGGTGTCAAAAATCCAACACAAGTTTTAAAGATTTAAGAAAGTAGTTCAAAATTCATTACAAATATGTCTTTCACCAAAAAAAATCTTGACATTTTTAATATTTCCAATTTTACAATTTGCTATTTGTCTAGCCTGCAATTAAAATCGCCAAATCTAGACATACCAATTCCCAATGGGGAACATATTTATATAAGTTCTTCTTGTTTCCAAATCCCTGTATTTCTATTGTATAATTGTAATTTGTGCACTTTTGAAAATAAAATATTGATTTGAAACTAAACTAATCCTTCTCTAGTCGTGTCATCAACATTTAGATTCATCCTTTGGTTATATTCTTTTTTAAAACGTCAACATTATTGTTATTAAATCTTCACAGAATTTATTTAACTGACAGAAGTATCTTCTATACAATGACAGCATCCAGATAATTCTTGTTTTTCTTTTTTCAATATTTGACTGTTATAAGCTTTTTTTTGCACTAATGTTATCATAAATTAACTGTTTACAATCTAAATACTAAGGATTTTTAATTTCGTGAAAACATTACCTTAGCTGTATTTTGGAAAACCTTTCGGAATTTTGGGTCCCCAATACTCTTCAACTTCGTACTTGAAATATTTGTATCAATTTTCCTTACTTTACTGATAAAAGGCTTTTTTGAAATTAGTATTTAGATTTAGTCTGGGGTTAAGGTTTCCAAATATCAATAACTTTATGGAATTTTATGATCAGGGACAGAATTTTCATTATGACCAAAAAATGGCAACTTAAGAAAAAAGTTTTTGTTTTTATGCCCCCGCAACTGAAGTTGGGGGCATATTGTTTTACCCCTGTCCGTCCATATGTCCTTCCATCCGTCTGTCAATGCCATTATTGGTATACAGATATTCCAGATAACTTTTCCTACAGTTTGAATGCTAGGAAGTTTTCACTTTGCTGGCTGTTATATTGAAGGTGTGCATATGGTCAGGGTTTTGATTTTTATTAATATTCCCACTTTTCGGAGATAGATTAACTTTGTCATTTTTTGGAGTATTTACTTGGATAAGAGGTGCATAGCATTCTGGATAACTCCTCATACAGTTTGAATGCTAGGCAGTTTTCACTTTGCTGGCTGTTTGTACATATATTGGAGGTGTGCATGTGGTCAGGGTTTTGATTTTTATCAAAATTTGCTCTTTTGGTGGATAGTTGAACTTTGTCATTTTTGGAGTATATAGTGCATACCGTTTCCGGATAACTCCTCCTAAGTAAACCTATGTGCTCCCATGCTCAACTTTTTTGTATTTTAAAATAACACTTTGCACCTGCGGGGGCATCATTTGTGTCTCCCAGACACAATCATATCTCTTAAGTCATACATTGACTTTGTTATAATACAGTTACTTCAGAGTGGAGTGCGGGGGCATCACTTTGTCTACTTTTTATTTTTAACTTTTCTGTATTTTGCTGATGATTAGAACTATTTTTGTTTAATAAATATTTAGATACAGTCTAGGGTTTAAGTTAACAAATATCGATAACCTTTCTCAGACCTTCATTTTCAGGAAAGTTTTAAAGCAGATTCTTCATACTCAACAAATACCTGACACATGTGACATGTAGAGTAAAATTTTGAATTTGCCACCCATTCTTTCGTCATTAACAAATAAATTGTTTTTTGGCAATCAACTTTTTAGGTATAGTCTCTTGTGAATAGATTTTGAATAACTTTGCCAAACCTTCATGGAATTTTACAAAACTTTGATAGAAGCTTCTACATAATGAAGAGATTAAACCCTGAGCTTTTTTGATAATTTTGAATTATTTTTTAAATAAAGATATTAATAAAAAATGTTTTCCAATAATTTTAACTCAAAACTTAAACAGGGTCATATTCAGATGTAGATACACCTAACAGTGCCTTGGTGCCTCCCCTTTTCAAAATCCTTGAATCGCAATTGATATGCTTGTGTCACTATTAATTTAGTAATTCATTTCTGTAACTAATTATTTCAAATATATATACAAAGAACTGTTTTAAATATATATATATATATTTATATATTATACACATATGTTGTATTCCTGGACCAGATTTCACTCTATAAGGTCCTATAAAATAGTGTTTGTCTACAAATTCTGAATTATACACTAATATATTGTTTCTGATTTAATCTATTTGTCTCTATGGTCAGTGATCTGATTACCATGGTCACAGATAAAAGTTTCACACCCATTCATCTGACTTTCTAATCTCTACCAGCAGGGAGTCTGATAAGAGGTTGTAATATGTTGAATGGATTAATTAACATCAATGAATTGTGCAATTTGATATCTCCTAAATTTTAGGATGAAATTTGGCGTTTGTCCTATAACTGTAACACGGTTATAGTCCCAGAGTTGAGCAACTTTAATTTATAAATTGAAACAATGCATATACATTAATCAAGTAGATCTAACCAAACGTATGTTAATGCGTGTGGAATGCGTAATTTTTCCTTTTGGGATCAATTTTCTTCTGTCAGCTTTGCAATTCATGCGTCTGTAGTCATTATCGTAAGAATCTGGATTTCGGTCATAGCTGGTCCATTTCCGATGAATCCCGACTCCGATCCGTAGTTGTACAATAATTTGTCCAATCATTTCAATGGCGGATGAAGAAAATTTACTAAACGATGTTTGACAAGCTTTTTGGAAAGGAATATGACGTTTTTAATGCAATATATGGATAACAATTTTACTTCAGGCAAATTTCATCATGTTCTAATGATGTAACAAAGTTATTTTGCCAAAAGTTAGAATGATTTGATATACGCTCTCGAGTAACAAGTACCGGAAGTGATAAAAAATTGTCTTTATGAAAATAACATGCAACCAACTTTAAAATCAATGCTTTAACCTGTTTTCTAACGAAAATAAATCGTTTATGTCTTTGAATTTCTTTACTTTTAAATGAAAAATTGCTATTTCATCGACTTGGTAAATATTGAATATTGCTGATGACGAAAGTGACTGAAAGCGAGTATCGTGAACAACAGGGTGACTAGATTTCGCTTTTGACGGCCAGACTTTGTCGCCCCTGTTGCCTGCTAGCGTGAGCCCTGCTGACCAATAGTGACCATCCACCTAGATCTCTAGGACACCAAGATACCTTTAGTATATATATTATTACCTCCCAGTAAACTCTGTAATGACAACAATATTGTCCTGACATCATACAGCGCTGACCATTTCTCCTTTAGGATGTCCAGACAAATATTTCCATGTTTGTCTACATTAGGATGGTAGCATGGTGACTCAAATCTGACTGTAGGAGCTTGGTAAGGATATCCACTTGGGAAGTCTAAGGTCAACTTGTATCGCAGTCCATCATATACCTGAAAGTACAAAACAACTTCATGATTAGGCAGATGTGTTACTTGTGCATTTCATTACATATTTAAGTAATTTTTGCATTTTTCAATTCTATTCTAAAGACAAATTAAGAGGATAAAACATGCTTTTCCAAAAATAATAATCGAACATAGATCCTATGTCTCCTGCGTTTGTCTGCACATATTTTATTTGTCCAAGGCAATAACTTAAAAAAAAAATTTTTGTTCTATAAAATTTTTATAAGTATCTTACGAGAAATGAAGGCTTCAGAGCAAATGCAATGCAATTTCCAAATGAAGGCTTCAGTACCAAAACAGTTGCAAATTTTTTGTAAAACATGAAAATTAAATCAAAAGTACCAAAATTACTGATCATGATTGCTGTAAAATGAAAGCTTGTTTCATAATATCATATTACTTCAATTATATAATATATAGACTTACTGTTCCTTTGGCACCATTTACTGTCGCTATCCATTTAAACAAATTATCATTATCTGGGAAAGCTGAGATACCCGGATCACCAGATGTCTAAAATTATAGAACAAATTATCAACAACTGTTGAACTGGAAAAGCTCATATAACTGGATACACCAGATGTCTAAAATACAGTAGACATTTCACAAAAAAATTATGATAAAATTCACTCATTAGTCATAACATTCAGTATAACTATTATGAGAGGTTACCATATGTGAAACCAGCTACAGAACAAATTATCAATATCTCTGATAATGAACCTAAAATACACAGAAAATCAATATAGTGAAAAATTATTTACATTTTTGTACCAGAACACTTTTGTATTCGTTACTTTTTAAAAGCTTATTTTTGAAAAAAAAAATTGTGTTGAGAACTTAACTTATACATGTATTCAAAAGGCCTGAGAGGTGAACTGAAACTGACCATAATTTTGAAGTCTGCTTGTTACCTATATTGTTACCTATATTCAGTTCATTCGGAAAAGGATTCACAAATCTTATTCATTTATGATTTAAACTTGTGAAAAAAATTATAAACATATAAACATGATAAATACAGAAACATTTTGCAGACAAGTTGCAATCTTTGAACTTTTACTGACAAACAGAAAATGTTGACATACACGTAGTAAAGCTACTTACAAGTAAAGTCATCAATTCTTGCTGTAACCTAAAAAATAAAATAAAATATTGGATTACTTAGACTACATATATATATCTACCTTAATATGATTGGATTACATTTTTTGTACAACCAGAAGAAAATTAATTTTATTTTGGCTGCTCTCATCATACTTAAAAAAATTACCGACTTGTTTAATCACATATTAACTTTCTTATTTCACCATGATTTATTAATCATGTTAATAAGAGCAATTAATAAATTTCTTCATTGTGGCCTGTGTCATAATAAATAATAAATGATCCTCTTTCAGTAAGTGTAAGTCATTAAGTTAAATGAATACCATGAATACTAACATGATTAAAGTATTTTTCACCATGTTCAAGGATTGCAGTTCTTACTCATCACAAAATTATTTTCTCACAATGCATGCATTTTAAAGCTGGGACTATAATTTACCACATGTTTTTCTGAAATTGAATTCTTGTCTGATGGATCCTATATTGAACAATTACATCCAGAAGGTAGCAAGACACTTATAAGGCACCAAAACATTCCGGCACACTGTTCAAACTTCAAATAAAAATTTTGCACATTTTGGACTTTTTAGGACCAAGGCAAATCAGCACCTGGTTTTTACTATGAAGATGTGTCAACAATCACTTCTGATCTGTAGACTAATAGCAATTAGATGTATAACGATTGGCCACTTCCATGCCTAAATCATTGCAAATTGAATCAAATAATATGGTGCTGGTTGGTAATTTCGTCCCTCCTATAAAGTATTCCATTCATTAAACGTTAAGTAAATGAAATGGACAGACTTACTTGACGGATGAAAATACCAACATGTACATCTGCATACATGTACATGAATCTAATAATGTAGTAAGCTTCATGTTGACATGATAAACCAAGAAAGTGTTGAGATGACAAGATTGGTTCTTTCAAAATTACTAAGTTGAGAGCGAATAACACAGTTCATTATTTTTCATTTTTTTGGTCAAAAATTTACTTTATATTGAAAGGTTTGCTCTTTCTGTTTTTTTATTTTATTTATAACTTGATTTGCCTTTTTCTGCTTCATTTTGGTCAATTAATTAGTTAGTTATGAAAATTACAATTCTGATGACAATAATAAAGGTGGAACTGTCAACCAGTTTATCTTGTTTTGGCCAATACCCAATGTTGCAATAAATCATGTATCCGAAAGACCATTTATGTCAGTAAAAAACAATCAGACAATAAAATGGGCACAACACATTAAAGTGGTGGACCTGATGAAATTTGGCTTGCAGGACTGACAGTTCAAAAGTTTTTTCCAAAACTCTTGGACAAGTAACAAAAACTCAATGGACCAGAAAGTCCTACCCAAATGCACATCTACTATCTACATATTAGGACAAAACGTACAAAGTTTCATGTAGATGGAATAAACCATGTAGGAGGAGTTGCAATGGCAAGGTTGCAGTCTTCACGCTTAACCACAGGCCCAGCAGCCAAGGCTTGTAAAATTGCTTTAGGGCCAACTGACTAAAATTTTCCAAAAATTGAGCTCAGTGCCTGTAGATTTAAAAGTTTATTGTGAAGACTGAGATTGGTCCTGAAGAGAGTCGAAATTTCTATGGTGAAAGGAGCAAATTCCTTGATAAATTAAACTAAAACTGAATAAAATTTCCTTCAAATGGTGATTTTTGCATATCATGATCTTTTATTCAACAAAGTTTGAACAGGTTAAGAACAACAAAATGAGGGATATTCCTTAAATAAGGGGCTGTCCCTAAGACAAGGGGTTATTTTGCTGTTGTAGAAAAGAAAAAGAAAAAAAAAGAGCCTTTTTAACTAAACCCTCTTGCTACCGCTAATTGAATATTGTTACATTCTGTGAACCACAAAATAAGGCAGCTGCATGCCCAATCGTAATGTTACACTGGAGACCCATTGAAGAGAAATTATTTCACTGTATACATGTACCATAATCTTCGATGTTTTGTTTGAAAGAGAAACCGTAATGACAGATGCTTGCATAAATTATATATATGGACATATGAGTCCCTCCGGCACATCCAGTGAGGACACATGTGTCCCTCAAGCAGCAAGAGGGTTAAAACTAAAAAGGGGGAAAATTCATTTTATTTGGAATAACTTTTATAAAAGGTTGGTCCTCATATTTTCAATAATTTTTTTTCAAAATACAAAAAAGTTTAAATTTATCACTTGAAATTTACCTCTCATAAAAGGGATAGTCATAAATTTATTTACCTTGAGGGGTTATCCCTTATTTTAGATTTCGTTCCGCAGCTAGTTCCAATTTCCAAACCTGTTGAAGCAAGGATTTGTATAGTATACAAATCCTTGGTTGAAGTTAACAAAAGGAAAAAGAAGTTGGCGCGGATAGACAGATAGGCTGATCCCTAATTACCTGTATTATCCCTCCCCCTTTTTGGGCAAACGAAGTTTGCGAGGATTTAATAAAGATTAAGTCCTCTGACACAGGTAACACCTGCCTGTTATAAATTATTTGTTGATGGATGATAAGGAAACCGAGGATGGAAGACTCCTCGACATATCGGAGGACACACTTTTCATCATAAGTACCTTTTGCTGACTGAATGGTTATCTTTTGAAGATGACCCGTGTCCCTTAACATCTTTACTCCTAGGGGACGCACTGACCGGGTTTGTGTTTTGAGAATGAGATGCCATCGTTGTTGTTTCTTGGGTTTTGAATATTGTGCGACTTGCTTCAAATTGACCAATGGGAATAAAGCTTTTTTACAATCATGTCATTTAAGCGCTTTCTTGTTGACATTAAGCGCCTCAAAGAAAAATAATAAAGCTTTGCACAAACACGGTGATAAGATATCCGGAATGATATTTTACTGCATTTTACCATTAAAACATTGCTGCAACATAGTAATTACAACTTGAAAATTTTAAATTGTACTTCATATTGTGAAATTTGAAAAAAATAGGCAGGACAGGAGTTTTGAGTAAAAAAAAAAAAGGCAGGATGAGACACTTTGCAAAAAAAAAAGGCAGGATGACAATTTTAATATGTAAAAAAAAGTCAGGATAAACTTAAAAAAAAAAAGGCAGGACCGAATAGAGTGAAAAATAAAAAGGCAGGACAGAGATTACAACTAAAAAAAAATGCCGGACAAAATTTTTCATCCTAGCCCCCCATAAAAATCAAATGGCAGCTCCCTTAGGCCTAACCTCAATCCATGCAAGTCACAAGACGTCCATACTGCCATGACGTCCATACCTTGAAAAGATGTATCGGCCATAGGACAACATCTTCCATACTTTGTTAAGACGCGTCGTCCATGGTTTTCTTTTCGGAAATGAATTTTATTTATAAAGTATTGGGTTATATACATGTAGATTCACTAGATGCCGTTATTATAACTGGTAAATGTATTATGCTTTACATTATTTGTCATGTTTTTATATGTTATACACTTGGAATACGCATTATATATATCATATATAAATGTGCTTTTAGCCTTTATCCAGGGACTTTCTATACTAACTTAGTATAGACTGTCCTAGCTTTATCTAATAAAATATTTATATCATTTTCTAAATGGATTTTTAATATCTTGCGTAAAACAAACTGAAATAAATGTGGATAGTGTCCACATGTGGACACAGATGATGCCCCCGCTTGCATAGCATAATAGTTATAAAGGGACATAGCTGAAGAACGGTAAAAGTGACGCTACCCAAATTTGAACTTGATCCGAGTTTTGTGGTAATAAGCATTGTGTGTAAGTCTCATAACATTTGGTTGAGGCTAACTTAAGTAGAGAACAGAAACTAAAAATTCAGCAATTTTTCTATTTGTAAACACGCATAACTCTAGAACGGTTGTGTATAAGTTTTATAACATTTGGTTAAGACAAACTAAAGTTAGAGAACGGAAACGAAAAATTCAGCAATTTTTATGTTTATAAAGGGACATTACTCAAGAATGGTAAAAGTGTCGCCACCAAATTTCATACTTAATCTGTAAGCATTGTGTATAAGTTTCATAACATTTGGTTGAGGCAAACTAAAGTTAGAAAACGGAAACAAAAAAATTGTACTTGATCTTAGTTTTGTGGTAATGAATATTGTGTATAGGTTTCATAATGTTTGGTTTGGGCAAACTTAAGTTACAGAATGGAAACTAAAAATTTTGCAATCTTTCGATTTATAAAGGGGCATAACTCAATAATGGTTAAAGTGACACTACCCAAATTCAACTTGACCTGTGTTTTATCAGTGGAAGTCAAAATTAAACATTGCATTGTATAAAGCATTGATTGTAGTTGATTCAACTATAATCATGGACAAAGGAAGATAACCCCAATTTTAAAAATTACTTGATATTTAGAAGAAAATAAAATTTTTGCAATTTTTCCATTTATAAAGGGGCATAACTCTAGAACGGTTAAAGTGACACCACCAAAATTCAAACTTGATCTGTGTTTTGTGGTAATAAGCATTGTGCATAAGTTTCATAACATTTGGTTGAGGCAAACTTAAGTTGAAGAACGGAAACTAAAATTTTGCAATTTTTCCATTTATAAAGGGGCATAACTCTAGAACGCTTAAAGTGACGCCACCAAAATTCAAACTTGATCTGTGTTTTGTGGTAATAAGCATTGCGTATAAGTTTCATAACATTTGGTTGAGGCAAACTCAAGTTAGAGAACAGAAACCAATTTTGGGACGTACGGACGGACAAGGGTAAAACTTAATGCCCCCTGACCGCTACAGCGAGGGCATAAAAATAAAACAAATAAAATGAATATCCAAAATAGGAGTACTTGTTGTATTATCATATTTTATGTTATAAACACAATGGAATAAATACTTAAAGTATGGACGATACGTCTTTACAAGGTATGGACGATACATCCTATGGACGATGTGGCGGTATGGCCGACACATCCTATGGACGACGTGGAAGTATGGCCGTCGCGTCGCGAAAGCACCTCAATTTGTGTGGAGTTAATTTCCATTTTATTTTTGATGATTTTTTTTACTGTTCAGATACAGTAATATGTCTTTTTTCATGTTTTCAAATGCAATTTGTAATTTTTTTTAATTTTTTTTTCTGGTTTTTAATTTATATACCAGAGGTGGATTAGGGCTCTTCAACTTTTTACAAGTATCACTGCAAACATTGGCTTGTAAGAGGACCCTTCCCTTTTTTCAAAATCCTGGATCAGCACCTGTATACTATATAAACACATGCAGTCTTTAAATATTGAAGGCCACAGAAGATGCTAAAAAATATGTGTCAGCAACAATAGATACCAAGTGATTGGTACAAATTTAGCAAGACGTTTCATGGAAGATTTTTGCAAAAAAAGTCTGTGTTCATGGAGTGATCAAACATATATATAACAAGTGGATTCCTTGGGGATATCTGAAAAAAGTTTGTGAATACAAATACATTCATACTATTAGCAAAGGATACACATTTGTTACGTGCTCTTGTGGCAGATTACTTTAAATAAAAAAGTAAAAATACTCTGTATTGAAAAAAACTTTAGTAAGAGGGTTCATGGGAGATTCCTAAAAAAGTATGTGATAAAACGCATGTGAGTCATTAAGTGATGCAGTACAAGATTACCAGTTAAATTTATACAAGTGGTTTCATGGGAGATTCCTGAAAAGTTTATCATAGACACTTACTGATGGGAACAAAGTTAGCGAGTAGGTTTCATAGATATTGGAGATTTCTGAAAAGAAATTTATATTACTTGTACTAAGTGATGGCACAATTTTTAGCAAGTGAAATTTTGCGAGAGATTTCATTAAAATAAAGTGGATAGTAGGGGCTGGCTTTAGTCAGACTGATAAAACATCGACTGCTGTACAAAACCTCATGGTCTGCACAATCAGTGCACAACCCCTACCTTTGAAAACTACTATGGGTCATTGTTCCTTTTATGATAATTATTTGTAATAAGGTTGGTGATGTTTGCTCTAGGAATTTAGTTTGTATAGTGTTGACAACTTATATCTACAGGTACAGATGAATAGAAACACTCACAGATGCACAGAACCATTACTAAATCCCCTTCTGCAATTAAAATTAGAATAATTTTTTGAAACATTTAATTTTTCTTACATTTTCACTTTTTGATTGTTCTAATCAAAAGTCCTCTTTTCCTAATTGTGTGGAAGTCAATGCATACTTGTGTTTTTGTGTTTAAGTTTGGATATAAAAATTGTATAACACAACTGCCATTTGTGCATTATTATGATTCACTACAGAGTTTCAATCCATTAGAGAACAAATCCTTCAATAAAACTAAAAATATTGCTATAACTGGAGAGTCATAGTTGCTAAAATTAAATAAAAAGTGATTGTTCTTGCAAAAGAGGGACGAAAGATACCAGAGGGACAGTCAAACTCATAGATCGAAAACAAACTGACAACGCCATGGCCAAAAATAAAAAGACAAACAGACAAATAATAGTACAGATGACACAACATAGAAAACTAAAGACTAAGCAACACGAACCCCACCAAAAACTGGGGTGATCTCAGGTGCTTTGGAAGTTTAAGCAGATCCTGCTCCACATGTGGCACCCGTCGTGTTGTTTATGTTATTACAAATCCGGTAAATAGTCTAATTCAGTAGGTCACATTCGTGAAAAGGGAAGGGTATTGTAGTTACAACATAAGGAACATATCCGATATCATCTGTGAAACGGTTATTCCATAACGGTCAACCAACTCGTGATGGCGTCCGTAAAATTTACGAAGGGATGATTTCAACTTCACCATTTGGAACTCTTGGTTTAATAGCTTCCTTGTGAGCAACAATCCTCTATCAAGGAAATCATGATAGGAAATACAAGCCCGGAAATATCGTATCAATTGGGAGATATATACTCCGTATGCAGGCGCTGCTGGAATGTTGCTACATAGAAATGGAAAGTTCACAATTGGGAAGCTGAAATCATCTCTTTTGTCGTAAAGTTTTGTTTTCAACCGACCCTCATTGTCAATTTCTAGATGTAAGTCAAGATATGAGGCAGACTTAACTGTATCTGTAGAATCCTTTATCTCTAGTTCGATGGGATAGATTCGTTCAACATAGTCACCAAATTTTCTATTAAAGTTATCTATATAGCGGAACGTAAAGTTAAAGGATATTGCTAACTTCTTATCTTTCTTCCTAAGAAGTTCCTGTATGAAGTCAGCCTCATAATAATAAAGAAACAAGTCGGCAAGAAGAGGGGCACAATTGGTTCCCATTGGAATTCCGACAGTCTGTTGAAAAACATGTCCTCCAAACGTAACAAATATGTTGTCAATCAAGAAATCAAGCATCTTGATAATGTCAGTTTCAGAGAATTTTTTGTTTGAATCAGAGTGATTCTTTACAAAGTAGGATATATCCCTCCCCAAGACAAGATACTTGTATCTACGTTCGCCATTCTTTTTAATGAAACAAAGTAATACCAACTCTTTCAATTTGTCTTTTAGTTTGGAATGGGGAATACTTGTGTAAAGTGTAGAAAAGTCAAATGTTTTAATACTATTGCAAGATGAGAGAGTCTTAGATTGTATGTACTCTAAAAGATCTTTGGAATTTTTTTGTATCCACATCTGATTCAAGCCACCTCTATAATAGGCAGTTTCACAATACCTTTGGAGCCCAGTTTTGATTGCTGCAAGACAGTTTTGTGGATATCCCTTTTCAGGTTGTTATGTATGACCTAATTCTAGAAATCTCAATCAATTTCTAAGGTACTACTTTAACGGGTATAACCAATAATAATTTTCATCCTTCATGAAATTTCAATTTCTAGCATTTGCAGAATTATATCTGAGTAGGCTAGCATTTATTGATATCTTTTCAGAACTGATAAAGCTAGAAATAAAACAATCTTTTCTTTTTTTTTTATATTTTTATTTATGCTTCACAAATCACATTTTGTACCAACAATATCCTTTTTTTCTTAACCAAATGACAATGTCATTTGTGTAATTTTTTCACAACAGAAACATTTCTGGTTGATAAAATATAACTGATCTGATAAATGAATTTCTAATTTCTCATAATCTATTAAGGGGAGATAACCAAACAAGTTCCACAGTAAAAAAAAGAAAATGCATTCATTTGATTGTAACTCTTTTAAATAATCAACCAATACATCTTTAAAGTAGAAGTACATTGAAAAAGAAGCCTACTTTCTTATATGCACTTTTCATACCTTAATTTTTCCCTGATACATTCAATAGTAAAATTCAAAGTGGGCATAGTGATAAAAACTTTTTCTTTTAAATCATTTAAAAAATATCATTTTATAATCAAATAATCTTCAAGTAAAAATATAAAACTAAAAATATTAATAAAAAATAGTTTCTAGTTATATTGGACGGAGTTGATGTCTATAAAAATAAAAAACCTTATATTATGATTTATTCTTGAAAAATATGACCTTTAACACTGAATTAAGTGTAAACAAACATTTAAATAATTGAAAATGAGTGTGTAAACAAATTAAACTGGATATTTTCTGTTTGCTTTCTTTTCAGTAAACTTAATTCGATTAAGAATTCAAAAAGCCCTTCAGTACAAACAATCTATACTTCTGATATACTGGTAAATAGCTGCTTACTAATTTGAATAATAACTATTCATAATATTACTAATACAACTAAAACATACAACAATAAACAATGATATCACAGTTTGGCAAATTGCTGTAAAATGCAATATGATTAATATTTTCTAATTCACATAATAAATAATAGCTAATATATACATATTCATGAGATGCTTTTCACTTGACAGTTGTAGCACAAGACTACATTTGATTTGCAAAAAAAACCCCTCTTTTTACTCATATTTTAATCCATGCTATTCTCTTCACTAAAATATCATAACACGAGATAATTTTAACAATTGTACATCCAAATTTCCTGTTTGAATAGCTGTTCAAAAGTACTGGTGAGGAGTGTACACAGCCAAGTTGTCTAATGGTTACTTCAAGCGACTGGCTATTTCTCACTTATCATTGACAATCATACAATATATTTGTCTGTTTTTTATTGTCTAATTGTTCTATTTTTAGAATGTGCCATCAATTTGCATCTCTTTCTCCACAGCTTCTAAAGCTGACAGGCATTGGACAGTGACATTCAGTGAGCCTATTTCCTCCTTTTCATTGTTAGCATCAAATACTGAAAATATAAAGTAAGATGTCTCATTTATAGTTGTTTGCATAGCCTCCAGTGGCTGATGTTGTACAATTTAGCTATAATATAAAGTATTACCAAAAATGTATGTTTCCATGACATTTTTTTTTCGTTTATACAATTCATAAAGACAAGAGTGCACACTGAAACGTTTCGCCTACGTAACTGATTATGATTGAATTTAATGTTGAAAGTCTTTAAAGTCAAAGTCTTAATGCAGGTATATCAGAAACTTAACAATAACAATGATCCATGAAAGTCATATAAACCCTGTCAGGAAGACAAGTACACCTTACAATGATCCATGAAAGTCATATAAACCCTGTCAGGAAGACAAGTACACCTTACAATCATCCATGAAAGTCATATAAACCCTGTCAGGAAGACAAGTACACCTTACAATGATCCATGAAAATCATATAAACCCTGTCAGGAAGACAAGTACACCTTACAATGATCCATGAAAGTCATATAAACCCTGTCAGGAAGACAAGTACACCTTAAAATCATCCATGAAAGTCATATAAACCCTGTCAGGAAGACAAGTACACCTTACAATGATCCATGAAAATCATATAAACCCTGTCAGGAAGACAAGTACACCTTACAATCATCCATGAAAATCATATAAACTCTGTCGGGAAGACAAGTACACCTTACAATCATCCATGAAAATCATATAAACCCTGTCAGGAAGACAAGTACACCTTACAATCATCCATGAAAGTCATATAAACCCTGTTTGGAAGACAAGTACACCTTACCATCATCCATGAAAGCCATATAAACCCTGTTAGGAAGACAAGTACACCTAACAATGATCCATGAAAATCATATAAACCCTGTCAGGAAGACAAGTACACCTTACAATCATCCATGAAAGTCATATAAACCCTGTCAGGAAGACAAGTACACCTTAAAATCATCCATGAAAGTCATATAAACCCTGTCAGGAAGACAAGTACACCTTACAATCATCCATGAAAGTCATATTAACCCTGTCAGGAAGACAAGTACACCTTACAATGATCCATGAAAGTCATATAAACCCTGTCAGGAAGACAAGTACACCTTACAATGATCCATGAAAGTCATATAAACCCTGTCAGGAAGACAAGTACACCTAACAATGATCCATGACAGTCATATAAACCCTGTCAGGAAGACAAGTACACCTAACAATGATCCATGAAAGTCATATAAACCCTGTCAGGAAGACAAGTACACCTAACAATGATCCATGACAGTCATATATATAAGTACACCTTACAACCATTATATGTACTAAATATAGTTTAACTGTTGCTGATAGGAATTTAGAAAAGACCTAATCACAAAATCTTTAGGTGTGTGACCAATGACCAATGAACATGAAGTCAAGGTTAGAAAAACACCATCAGGCGACATGTACACCTTACAATCATTCTGTGCACCCAACATAGTTATACTGTTAGGAATTATAACTGAGAAACAGACCTAATAACCAAAATTTCCTCATGGCACATTAACTGTGCTTATTCTTTTTCATCTTTCACATTTAATACTGAGTACATAACTAGACAAATAGTATGTTGCTGGAATATCCAGATCTATGTCCAGTGTTCTCCCTAGAAATTTCGGATAGCATCACATTTGGCGTAAATAGAAAAGTTTTTTTTTCCAATGTCATTTGTCGTGTCGCGACAAAGCTGTCCTTTCTTTTTTTTTCTATATGTCTATATTAAGAATAAAATTGAAACAAATTGTAAGTTCTTTATACTTTAATAATAATAATTATAAACACATGGTCACAGGGCTCAGAATACTTCAGAATCATAGGTAGAGGTGAATTCTCTTTTTGAAACTGATAGGCAGAAGTGGTGAGATTCAAAAGAGAAGTGCTTGTTTGCTCACGGCGCTACAATGTTTGGTTTTTAAAATAATATAAAGGGCCATATCCTATTCATTTAATTATTCTTTATATTGTTCAATTCATACCTGAAAATACAATTAAAGTAGCAAATGTTTCAGTTTATGTTTTAAAGGGAAACTTCGCAAAAAAATGAAAAATTCATATTATGTTCATTATGTATAAAAAAGCACAAATTCATAGATATTAAAGTTTTATTCTGCAAGTTAAGAGATCAACATCGATTTTAAATTTAGAGTATCAATTCTCCGCATGCGGCCATTTTGACATCCTCCCCGAATATTGACCACGATATATCTATAAACCACAAAGGACCAAAACAAGCAGTAACCTAACGTAGCCGTAATTGAGTGTCGATATCTTGTCAAGCGTACGGTTGTTTTATCCGACAAGGAAAGCATAAACAGTTTCCCAGGTCACAAAAAAGATTATGATAGACATGGTTGTGCAACCTCTCCTAACTAACTTGATACGGAAAATGTAATTTTATATATATTATTTTTTAAATAACTAGTACTAATAGTATGGTCTGTCGTTTTGAAACTGTTTTGTTTACGAAGTATTTAAAACAAGAAATTGAAATTAGTTAAAAAGTCAAAGTTATAAATAAGTGTTCCGTGTAAAATTGTTTTTGAAAATCTAGTTTGTTCATAATTGTTTTATCAGAGACATGTGTATATATGTCTCTGGTTTTATGTAATAAACTTTTTAAAATAAATTCGGACCTTCCCTTATCTGATCACCAGAATGGCTAAAGGAATTGTTCCCAGAGGTATTGTGAGGTGACACGTACAGGTATTCAAACGATTTCCTGTCGGGCTTTAAAACTGTTATTACACAATTACATAAAACAAGTTCGTGCATCACTTCTTTTCTGGGGGTATTGATCAGTGTACACGGCCGATAACATGTAACTTCCATTTTGAATCTATCAGGTGTAATATACAACTTTGTATAGCGTATCCGATAGTGATATACTAGTCATTGCTAAACTCATACGCTTGTTTATAAATAAAATTTGTGGTGTAAAGAATGATATTTATGAAAATTTAAATAATTAAAAAGAAAAAAGATTTGATGAAATAAAAATCTATTTACACATTTTCCAAGGGTAAATTGGGGAAAATGTAAGTATATACTCGTTGTCAATAATTATGGACATTTTGAAACATACAAATATTGATTTAACAAAATGTGCGGCACTTGTCGATCATTGGTTTATACGCCTAGATGGAAGGTTTAATACGGAACTATGGATAGTCGCAATATAGAACTAATATCATACAAGTATATTGAATATACGAGAGAAACATCCAGAACCAATCTGATTTAAATACAGGTCGATATCTAACTTGCTTTGGTTCATCGAAGCTATAGACATAGTAAAATCACAGATTTATATTTCGATAAGATTATTTCGAACAGTTTAAGAAATTCGTCATCATCACATTTTCCTGGTCCGACATGCATGTTATATATATATGCCACTGGACGTGCACTAATGATCCCCAAAAGCCTATTTGAAGAAATAAAGAAACTTCACTCCGGATAGACTGATGGCAGTTGTGTTAACGTCTGGTCAGCTAGAGGGTTGATTTATTTATTTAGTTAGCTTGTAGGGGATTTAACCACTCTTAATATTGCACTTATGCATTAGATATTAAATGACAGTACCGGTAATATAAGAGAAAATATAAATACGAAAAGTCGCATATCTGATAGAAAAGGAATCACCATGAACTATAGGATTGTACGTACGATTGTCATTCTAAATCGCATAACGGACAGTCATTTAAATGCATGCATGTACGCTGTGATAAAAAGGGGTGTCGCAGTTGCAAAGTATTCATCATAAATCTATTTCAAGTTTATTATTTCCTGTTATTTTTATAAGTTAACGCAGAGACATGTATACACTAGATCTCTATTTAACGACAAGCAACTATATAAATATCTGAATCTGATGTGACTTACCGTTCATCTCTTTCTTTTTTCTCATTTTATTTTTATTTTTGCAGGAATATACACATTGTAAGATATACTGTTCCTCGATTTGGGGGTGGGGGGGTGGGGGGGGGGGGGGGGGGTGGGGGGGGGGGGGGGGGGGGTGGGGGTGGGGGTGGTCTGAGGTCATGTCTATCTATTTATGATTAACTTTGACATTTCCGGTTATAACAGAGCTACTTGTATACTACCTGAATGTGGTTAGGTGACGTCCCATGAGGTCTTACGTATACATGTTCATATTTATAATGGTTTCTGATATAACAATTAGGTTTTATAACATTCACACTTCTGCATGTTCTGTATACCAAATTCGTATCTTTTTTCAGACCGAATGAGGATGTGAATATTTTCCAGGATCAAATTCATTTCGGGATTTTTTTTATTTCTTTGTATTAAATCTCAGAAATTTACAGAATATACTGCTTGCCCGCTTTAGGAGTTTTCTTGTCAGTTTAAACAGACGTATATATGTCTCTGGTTTAGAGTGGGTTTATGAATGAATGATAAGTCTTACAAAGGTACATTGAAAATTGATTTCAACGTTCTGTCTCCATTTAAAAAAGGAAAGTTGACGTTAGATTGATTCTGTTAATTTTTTTAAACATCTTTGGTCAAATAGCTTAAGAATTATATAAATACGTTGTCATTCCTGATTAGGTAAATGAAGATCGCTTTGGACGACAAAACCATATTTTTGTAACTGATAATTTTCTCTGCACATTTAAATATTCAAGGTTACCGATGATAATTTAAAATAGTACTGTTTTGATTTATACGCTCGTTTTCGTGGGCCATTTATAATATTTATATAATTATTTTATTAAAAGTGATTCAGAATTTCGATGTTACAACAAAATACTCACCTATTTATTTAAAAACTGAGCAAATGCAAAATGTTAAAAATATATATATATAACGGCGATTAAGGTATTTTGCCACCATATTCCTCCCTTTATAATTAAAAAAAATCTGTCTCATACCTGCAACGGTGAACCCTTGAGGACAAACACCACTCTAGTGAAGATCAAAGGATTAAAATTACATAATGCTAATCTTTTAATTACCGTGAATTTAACCACGCCTTTACCAGGTGGTGTCAGCATAATACACATGCATTGTATTTACACAGTACTAGACTGAAGCAAGGATTTGTATAGTAAGACAAATCCTCGACTGAAGCAGAGACATATATACACATGTGTATATATGTCTCTGACTGAAGTAATAGGGGAGAATAAAAACGTGAATTTCTATTAAACTATCAGTTATATGTGTTGTTCAAAATATCCGTCGAAAAAAAAATCATAAAAAAATTCTATTGTATGATTTGCTTTTATTGCTATAATCATATCAGAAATCCTTAAAATATAAATCGTAAATTTTAATTTAAAAAAATGCACGGCTGATCACTTTTCTTTCTGAATTGTTAGTTGGTTAATAGCTACACCAAAAGTCGTTGATGCGCTTTAAATCGCATTATTAGATGATTAACGAACAAGACTTTAAATGAGATTAATCCACTCCCGGCATGCAAAAAGACTTAAACTACGTCACATAAGTCAGGAAGTTTGAATAAATAGAATTAATAATTCCCAATTTTCTTCTTTATTAGTTTTCATATCCAGATAAAACTTGGTGAATATGTTTTTAATGGTATTATGAACATAATAAGATGATAGGTAAAAAATCGCGAATTTTCCCTTTAAATATTCATTTATAGTTACACAATTATATTTTTTCTCTTGTCAGTAGCTACCAACTGAATATCTAGTACAAAAAAGAACTTTTTTTTATATCAAAAAGGAAAAGAAAGTATCATATATCAATAATAAAATGCTCCGCAGGGCGCAGCTTGATACGACCGCAGAGGTCGAACCCTGAACAGTTGGGGCAAGTATGGACACAACATTCAAGCTTGATACAGCTCTGAATTTGGATTGTGATTAAATATTTGACACAGCATAGGTTTCTGACACAGAATGAATGTGGTCTAAGAACTTAAAAATTTTAAATTGGACATTCACCTATTATGGTCCAATATCCAAAATCTAAATACATGGTTAGATTCAGCATATCAAAGAACCCCAAGAATTCAATTTTTGATGAAATCAAACAAAGTTTAATTTTGGACCCTTTTGACCTCAATGTGGACAAAGTTAATAACGGGGTTCAAAAATCAAAAATCTAAATACTTGGTTAGATTCAGCATATCAAAGAACCCCATATATTCAATTTTTGTTTAAATCAAACAAAGTTTAATTTTGGACCCCGATTTGGACCAACTTGAATACTGGGCCCATAATCAAAAATCTAAATACATGTTTAGATTCAGCATATCAAAGAACCCTAAAAATTCAATTTTTGTTAAAATCAAACTAAGTTTAATTTTGGACCCTTTGGACCTTAATGTAGACCAATTTGAAAACGGAACCAAAAATTAAGAATCTAAATACACGGTTAGATTCGGCATATCAAAGAACCCCAATAATTCAATTTTTGATGAAATCAAACAAAGTTAAATTTTGGACCCTTTGGACCTTAATGTGGACCAATTTAATAACGGGGCCCAAAATCCAAAAACTTAATACACGGTTAGATTCAGCATATTAAAGAACCCCAAGAATTCAAGAATAAAACCCCATTGAAATTGATCAAGAAATAAGCAATTTATACGTAGTATCTTCTTTTGCACAATACTGTGCAATTGAATATTTCTTGCTATTGCACAATACTGTACAATTGACAATTTCTTGCTATTGCGCAATATTGTGCTATTGGATATTTCTTGCTATTGCGCAATACTGTGCAATTGAAGATTTCTTGCTATTGTGCAATACTGTGCAATTGAAAATTTCTTGCTATTGCACAATACTTATTATATAATAATTTACACATCCTGTTTGGTGTGCATCTCCTACCATATCATTATTATTTGCTTTTAAATATAAATCAGAAATAACCAACTTAAAATGGAAAATTTTAAAAGAAAAAAAAAATGAAAAAAAGAAAAAAAAAAAGAAAAAAAAAAAAATCCCCCCCCCCCAAATTTTTTGAACCCCTTATGATTCATCACCCCCAAACTCAATCCCAGCCTTCCCTTTGTGGTATGGTACCTTGCAGTACAATTTCAGAGAGATCCATACACTTGAACACAAGTTATTGTCTGGAAACTAGAAAATATGCTTATTTTTGGCCCCTTTTTGGCCCCCAATTCCTAAACGTTTCGAGCAATTACCCCCAAACTCAATTCCAGCTTTCCCTTTGTGATATGGAACCTTGTAGTACAATTTCAGAAATATCCAAACACTTACACACAAGTTATTGTCATGAAACTAGAAAAATGCTTGTTTTTTGCCCCTTTTTTGGCCCCTAATTCCTAAAATTTTGAGGCAATTACCCCCAAAATCAATTACAGCCTTCCTTTTGTGATATGGAACCTTGTGGTACAATGTCAGAGAGATTCATACACTTACACACAAGTTATTGTCTGGAAGTTACAAAAATGCTGATTTTGGCCCCTTTTTGGCCCCCAATTCCTTAACTGTTGGTACCATAACCCCCAAAATCAATCCCAACCTTCCTTTCGTGGTATTGAACCTTATGGTAAAATTTCATGGAGATCCTTTCACTTAAACTAAAGTTAGAGTGCGAAAACCAATGTGTCTTCGGACGACGCCGGACAACGACGACACCAACGTCATACCAATATACGACGAAAATTTTTTTAATTTTTGCGGTCGTATAAAAATTCAATTAAAAGACTATTCTGTGTATCATGTTTATGACATTCATTGTTTCCTGGGACTCAACGTATTATCCGTAGTTTGTTCAAATATTTCAATAGTGGTCGAAGAAAAATTAAGGAAATAAAAAATGTTTGACAAGCGATTTGGAAAGGAATATGATGCTTTTAATGCAATAAATGGATGAAATATTAACTAAAGGCAATTTTCATCATGATCTAATGAAGTAACTTATTTTGCCGAAAATCAGAATGTTTATATGTACGCTCTCGAGTAACAAGTACCGGAAGTGAAAGAAAATACTTCATAAAAAGTTGTTAGTTTGAAATAACATATGACCAATCTGTAAATTAAATGCTTTCACCTCTTTTCTAAAGAAATAAATCATTTATGTCTTTGAATTTCTTTACTTAGAAATGAAAAATTGCTGTTTCCTAGACTTTGCGTAATTGTACAACTTGGTTTGGTCAGCCATTTTGTCAACATCTAGGTACCCTGCGTAGTTTTTCTTCTCTTAGGAGACGGTTTTGCCATGATGGCAACGTATATTTCGAATTGTTTATGGTTTCCATTTTCCCGAAGTCCAATTTATTTACATATTGGCTTGGATCACACTTGGACCATGTGTTATTAGTCATGTAATAAGTGTCAGCTTGGTGTATTCATATCCAAACAGTCATCAAACAGTTATCACCCAAAGGGCAATTAACACCTATTTAATCAATCTTAATTGCCTATATTGTCCGACTTGAAAGGATTACAATTAAAGGTGATATAATTTTTATGATCATAAGTGGTAATTAGATGAAAGTTCAAAAACTAGGACAACGATCAATTTTGCGGTAATGTATAGAGACAAGAATCTTCAAAATAATTATGGCGTCACAGAAAAAAAAATGTCGCTGTGCTGCAACGTTTAAAGAGATTGGGGAAGATCACTGATGTTATTTTTCATACATGAGTTATCCCAGGCAAATGAACTGTACTTACTTGGAATATCAAGGTCTATGACATCTTTATGGTTAATGAGTATATCTCGGACACTGACAAATGCAATACCAATATCTTCACATTCACCCTCATCATCATCATCTGGGGGCTCACTAACAACGGTGAAACGAATCCTGAAAAATAAAAATTAGTACTTTATCTATTATTTGAGGCTCACTGAAACATGAGAAACAGTTCCTGAAATATATTCAATTAAAGTTACCATTTGGAGGCAAATTAACTAACAACAAAGAAACAGATTCTGTTAATATAAGTGTATCATTTTACCATCTTGTCACTAAAACTGTAAAACAGATTCTTAAAAAATATGTGTAAATAAAAGCATTATCTAGCTATTATCTAACAACTTTGAAGTGTTTAAAATGTACAGAAGTACTCATGTCAGTACATTGAAGTTATTATGTCACTAAGAACAGACCTTTGTGTAAACATCAGGCCTTTCAGTCATAAAACAGTACTCAGTACTTGGAATACAAATTTTGTGCTTGAAACACAAAATCCAGTATTTTGATTGGTTGATTTCTGAATCTGAGTACAATTTTCATACTCGAATGTTTTATGACTGTAAACCCTGGTAGGGAATGATATGAAAAATTACTTCCAGTACCTTCCCTAAATGTTTGCCCACATAGCTGTTAAGTAAATGTTCTAATGATGGACACATATGGAGTGCTGAACTGATATGACTGTTATAGCTAGATTGACCAAGACTGAGGGGGCAAGGCCAAATAATCTCCATGAAAACGAGGTGTCCAAATGCTTATATAACTACATATCAAGTTGAAACAGTATATAGGGTACAAACCTGCCACCATCAGGGTCATCAGGTAACAACATTCCAGCTAGGTATTGTCTCTTAGGGTAATTCTTAGCCATGTCTACATGGAATGCTGCAAAACAAAATAAAATGTATAAAATCAACAGGGTCATTAAATACCAAGGTCCTAGTTTAGTACTCTATATTAATTCTTTTCAATTAATGTCAAGTATGGAAAGCTATACAAGGTGCCATAATTCTTAAACGCAATGCTTCTTTTTTCATACAAAATGCCATATTTTTTTCACAAATTCATCATTATATGTGGAGCTCCTTTAAATTTTCAATGCATATTATGTACAACTTTCAACAAAACAACCCCCTTTGTAGTATGAAGTCACTTTTATGTTATTTACAACAAAAACCATTTTCAGATTAGCAAAAATTATAAGATGCATAATTCAAGCCGGTACTAAAAACTCTAAAACTTGTAAAATGTAAAATTTATAAAATTCTAAAGGGAGCTTACATCAATACATACAAACAATTCACCAAAGTTTCATCAGAATTGCTGAAAGCATTTTTGAAATTTGTCCGAAAACTGGAAAATCCCCGCTTTTTTTATGAATAAAACCCTGTAACTCGGAAACGTAAAATCTAAAATTTATAAAAATTGAAAGGGAGCTCATGTCAATAGATATATACAATTCACCACAATTTCTTGCAAGTTGGTGAAAGCATTCTTGACTTATTGTCCGAAAACTGGAAAATCCCCCTTTTTTCAATGTATAAAACCCCATAACTCGGAAACGTAAAATCTAAATTTGATAAAAAACGAAAGGGAGCTCACATCAATAGATATAAACAATTCACCAAAGTTTTATGAAAATTGGTTAAAGTATTTTTGAGTTAATGTCCGACATGTTGACGACGGACAGAGGTATACCATAATACGTCCCGTAAATGGGCGTATAAAAAGGGTTGCATATAATGTATGTCTGTTTAGTTTTTGTAGTCTTTTTTTCAGGTCTAAAATATGACAAAGCTGAAACCAGGTGAAATTAGGAGGAAAAATTTTTTGTAGCATAATCCTGTTTATTAGTTTTGATAAAAAGAATTTGCAAATTTTAAATTCAGAGACTTAACTACAAATAACATTAGTTTTGAGCTGCTTGACCTAATTATACTTGCAAAACAATCGCCTTTACTTAGTGGCATCAAATGTGACCTGTTATGATGCTAAAAAAATATCTGAAGACATTTTCTTTTCTTCAATTGCAGACAAAATAAATAATTGGTTAATACTTACTTTTGCTGAAGTTAAAAGTGATCTGTTGTTCTGCCTTTGGTTTAGGTAGAGAAAATGGAGTTTCTAGTTCATCAGCCTTGATTCCAAGGAAGTTGTATGAGACAAACAGCTGTCGTATACTCTCGTTATCTAGTACAGCTGCACCAGTAGATAGCACTAAGTGGGTTATGGTCACTGTTACAAGATTACTCTGAAATTTAAATATTTGTGTATTGAAGTAAGATAACATTTCATTTTTCATCAACTGTCATTCCTTATATTTCAGAAATAAAAGTTCAATTTTAGGCCAAGCGGAATAATTAAATAATGTTTAGATAGAATATGGGAACCATGTCATATAATAATGTAGCAGGTATATAACATAATCTAACAAAAGGTTTGTGTTTTTATGTGTGTATATGTATAAGTTCTGATTCATAAGATATATGTAATTTGTCTTTATTTATAAGTGTGTTTCATATGTTCAACATTGAAGAAAAAACTTTCAAACTCTCATTTTCTGACCTAACTAGAAGTATGAACAACTATAAAGTCCTAAATACCAGAGTCAAACAGATTTTTTTTTCTGGTTCTTGTGTTTGTGTCTGTATGTTGACTTACAGGTTTATTACTTTCTTTATATTTTTTCTTTGCAGTGGGAGAAGCTACAACCATAACACCCTCACTGTCAGACTCTACAGGGGGTCTGTCTGATTCCGACTCTTCCTCTATAGGTGGAGGTAGAGATCTGAGGGTTCCTCCATCAGAGGGTGTGGCAATTGGTGTTATATCTTCTGATATTTCCTCAGTGATCTCATCCTCATCTGGATCAGCAAACATTGTGTCAGACATCTTTGTTCCTTCCTACAATATCATGAGTTAAATCAAATGAAAGATTTAATGAAGACCATGGCAGAAATATTCAGGTTGAGATAACTCTTGAGATTAATTATTTAATACTTCCAACAAATTTTGAAATCTGCATCTTTTTTCCTACTTTTCCTCCCTTTCTATAATTAGAAATGATTGACAAGCAAGTATGAGTTTTTTTTATTGTAAAAAGTTTTTTCACATTTCCACATCTTAGCATATTTTTTATCTTTAATTCTTTAACTTTGATTGAAGATCTTAGAATTATCTGTTCTAAATATATTGCTTTATAGTAATTTTTCTTGTGGGTAAAGGATGTTTTTTTTTTTTTTGTGGGACATTTATGCATATTACTCTTTCATACATTTTTGATTGTAAAAGGATGGAATCAATTCTTGCAATTTGAGAAAAAAGCAACTTTCTTCTTGTTGTATGAAATTGCTTCTTTCCTCTCTAAAATTCCTTTTTTTAAAGACCTTTGGAAAAACTGATTTATCTAAATCTTACCATTGAAGTGAGTGAGGCCTTTCCTTCATCTACAAAAAAAGAGATGCTTTGAAACTACAAATAAATTTCTTTTCAATGGATAGCATAAAGACAGATGTATCAATACTATCATGACCTGCTTCAATAAAAAGTTATTTGATTTTATCAATGAAATGGATTGTGTTATCAAATATTCTAAGAAAAGGTTAGTTGATGGAAGCTTTTGAAGAAAAAAACAATACAATGATAATTAAATGCACCAAGAATGAATGATTATCTTAAACTGGTACAAGAAATACAAATTATGACAGTGATCGTCAATATAGCTTTAATAAATTACAAAAGGACTATTCCTTCAATAACGTTAATCAATTTATCATTTTCAAAAACACAAACTAGCAAATAAATTTCAGTAAAAACAATGCATTTGTTCTGATGTTAATGATTTTATCAAAATAGACATAGGGGTAAATGACTCAAATGATTAAATTATGTAATACTTTCCATATATATCAGGTCTGATGTTATTTAAAAACTTCAAAATGAAAAAAATGAAAAATTGAAATGGGTCATAGTCAAGTTATTTCTGTCAGATTGAAACGTAATCCCTAAAGTAAAATTATTTTATGGATAAAACAAGTTAACCTGAGATATTGATCAGTTATGATATCCTTGCTATATGTTTTCAGAAAATAGGAAGTTGATGAGTAATGGATGTGAAAACACATCACACTGTGAAGCATGCTAACAATAATGTTGATACCAAATTTCAGTGTGCTCAGATTCATAGTTCCTGAGAATGTTGTGATGAAAATTGCATACATGGTAATTATGTGTAATACTATATAAGTATTTGAAGCTTATGAGCAATAAATGAGAAATTGCATCACACTGTATAGCATGTTCACATGAAGCCTGATAACATATTTCAGTAAGGTCTGAGATATAGTTCCTAAGAAAAACGCAATGAAAATATCATACATGGCCATTTTGTGTAAGAATTATTAGTATTTGGAAAACAGGATGTAGATGAGCTATTAATGTATCACATTGTTCTGATATGTAATTTCCAAAAAAATGCTTCAAACATGGCCATTACATGTAAGAATAGTAAAACTGGAATATGATGAGAAGAATACATGTAAAATGCATCACACAGTGTAGCATGTTCATTTGAAGCCTCATAACAAATTTCAGGAAGCTTTAATTTGCAGTTACCTTGAGAATGCAATAAATTTCATTAATAGCCATTATGTGTAATAATATTTAAGTATTCAGAAAACAGGGAGTGGATGAGTAATCAATCTTAAACTGCATCACACAGTTTAGCATGCAGAAACTCTGATTTGCAGTTCCTCAGCAAATGTGACCATAATTCTACGGGACAGTCAGACATAAATAAGTAAACTCTCCTTCCTTTTTGAGATGGGGTTTATATTATATTGTTAAACTATTACATACACAAACTGTAAACTAACCTTATACCAAATACTAAAGGCCTATCTATAAATTAACCACGAAATTAGATTAAGGTAAGGTGACCCATGCCATTCAGACATGTGCACTAAAATATAATTATTCCACATGCCAAGTATAGGGTGACTAATTATTTATAGTAACTGAGAAACTGACCTTATCACAAAATAATATACCATTAATAAAGAAGAACCAGATAAATCCCTCATTTAAGTGTTCAAAAAGTTGGATGTTTTTTGTTGTTGACTTCAATGAAAATTTCTCAAATCAGCAGTGACTTTCATGATATGACAAATATAATAACAAATGTATCAAATGATTTCACAACAGTTCATCTTAAAAATTCCAAGTTTATAATGTGTTTTCACATGCATACTGATATTTAGTTAATATAATGCTAATATGCTTATTTTGATGCGATTATGCTTAATAAAGACATAGCTCATGAGCAAGCAATTTATTAACAAAAAAATACTTTCACTAGACATGCAATTCAAATCACAAATTCTAATTTCATCCAAATAAAAGATTCTGACTTTGATTAATCAGTATACTTAGAATAATCATAGAGATTTAATCAAATTGGAGTCAATTACATGACTAACTGATTGATTGCTTAATATTTAGTGGCAAAGGTCAATAAAACAATTTCATGGATCAAAAAAATTTGATTAGTACTACCAAATTTTTAAAATGTTCCAATAAAACATGCAGGAAACTATACAATATTCCATACCAGATGATAACTATTTGAAGTAACTTATATCTATATACTATAATGCATAACAAAGGGACACAAATTTCCATGGAACAGTGCAACCCTTACCTCTTGTTGAAATTTAGATAAATATATTACCAATCAATACTAATCTTTTCTGTTTATCAATCATCCTGTCAATTTTTTGGGCCAAAGAAAAAAAATATTGTGTTTCCAGTACCAATGTTTTTTTTTATCATTATTTCACCATCTGTTATAGATCTTCCAGAACAGAATCTGCTGAGATACACTGTACAATTTTCCTTTCAATAAATGTCCCAACTTTTGGTTTACTTCAAAACATTGTGTTTGGTCTATTTCGTTTAATGCCACTTGATTTATAGAATTAATTATTTTTTTTCTGAATAATCATCAACAGGAAAAGCACCCAAAGTTCAAACTGAATCCCTTAGATTTTGATATGTATATTCCATACTTCTACTCAAGTTCAGTTCATATAAAAAAATTAATTTGACTGAATGACCCTATACATTCAGAGGTTTGAGACTGGAAATACAACACATTTTTTCTTGGCCTCATTTGTAATATTTCTTTGATAAAAAGATTTTTAAAATTTTAAAACAATAGCAATCTATTCAAATAATATGAGACAAACAATATATTAAATAATTTCTTCCAAATAATATTGTAAGAGTTGCAGACGACACCTAGCACCAATCTCATTCACACCAAGCCTGTTACCTAATCTCTTCCTGGATTTGGGAACTGGTTTAGTTCCCCTTTTTGTACCTGAATGATTAATGATAAGGGTACAGTTTAAAATCATCACACTGAATAAGAATTGGATTAGTTTCTCCCTTTCGTACCTAAATAATTCATGATATGCTTAAAACTGCACAACAAATGATAAGTTTTTTCCCAAATGATAAATGACAAGGTTAATATTTAGGATGACCACATACTGATTTAGAAAATTATTTAGTTCTGTTTTTTTTTTCACTTAAATTCTAAATATTAAAAATAAGTACAAAAATTGATTTCATTGCGATAATCCGCCAAACACTCTTCAAAGTTTTCTAACAGTCAAAACCAATGCATTATTTCAGACAAAAATCTTTAAACGAATGTGTACTTGTATTAGACCAGAAACACGTAAATACAAGAAAGCAGTACATGAGGCTTTATTGAATTTCTGTCTAATATTCAATCCCATATAAATTATATAAATTTTCAAACATATATATATACTAGAAAATAGGCCTGCTACATTCAAAGTTCCTAGGCAAATATTGCAATAGTATTAATTTCTAAGTTGTACTCATTTATGCTATTTTAGCAGTAAATATAAATCCATGGAAACAGTAAACTCAAAAGCCTGTATTCATAAAAGAAAATATAACCCTGAAACTTAAAAACTTAATACTTGCAACAGAAAAAAAACAAAACTGCATAAGATAATATTTTAACAGCATATTAAAAAATAAAAGTTTGATACCAGCTTTATTTACACATAACATATTTGTAGCAACAAAAAGGGGCCAAACAGTTAACCTTTTGGAATTATACACAATGAAACCACACAGGTTAATGAAATCAAATAATGATTATAATGAGTAAATGATAACTTTAAAAATAATGAAACCACACATGTTAATGAAATCAAATAGTGATTAATATGAGTTAATGATGACAAAATGATACCAGATTTATCTCCCTTGTCAGTATTAGACTTATTTCCCTTTAGAGGAGCTTTGGGAGGAAGAGATGATGTTTTAGATTTTTCTGAAGCTAAAATATAAATATTATGATCAATATATGTTGGGATTAAAAATGAATTGACAAAAATATAATTTAAAGAAAAACATATGCTAAATTCAGTTATTTTATGATGAATAAATTCCATGTTGTATGTAATATGTCATTTGGACTCTGGTGGAGTGTTGTCTCGTGGGCAATTATACCACATCTTATTATTTTTATGCATGAAAATATTACTAACCTGAAAACATATTCCCACTTCCTTATCACTGATCTAGTGTAAAATTGCAATAGTATAATGCTCTATCTCTCCCTTTCTTTATATGATGATGAAAATGTGAAGGGAGTAAACTCTTTGAAAAAGTTATTAATATCATAAGCACACCATTACCTTGCAAATTATCTCCCTTTGAAGTTGTGTTTGTTTCACCTGTACATGATTAATGACAATGATAATGAATGGAAGATGAATGACCATATAAAAGTTAACATAAATAAAATACATTTTATGTACACATATTTTCTTTTTGGTATTTAAAGTAATAAACCACTGATGACTATTATTATGATATATTCTATTCTTACTTTACAAAAATGAGGTACATTTGCTTAATTCCATTAAATGGACTTGTGAATATTTATGCAAAGATTTGTTGTATTATAATAAAACAATTATGTTAAGTCAGCACTCACACTAAATGCAAACAGCTGAAAAGATGGTCAAATGTTATACATAAAAAAAGTTTAAAGTGATAAGCGCTGTGTTTCCATTATCAGTGAATATTAAATGTATTAATTTTTTTTAGTTATAAAAAAAAAGAAAGAAGAAGAATTAGGATACATTGAGGAATGTTTTTTTTATTCAAGAGACAATGTGTAAATAGTACAGGGTATAGAAATCAGAACTGGTTAGCAAAGAACAGCCAGAACTAAATAGAGAATGAAATAGAATTAGGTTCAGTGTGGGGATCTTCTGTGCAGTGACAACAAATAAACACAGTGCAGGAAAGCTACCTGGTTCTGAAACTTGTTCAGGTGTATGTGGCTCAGAAACTTGCACAGGTGTGTGTGGTGGACTTGCTGATTTTTTACTTCGTGGAGTGGCTGATTTTGAACTACGAGGGGTGTAAACTTCTTCAACTAATAAATCAAATGATAATGAACATGAAAATTTATAAAATAATGGCAATAAAAAATTGTAGATTATTTTTTTCTTATTATGAATATAAAATTATCAATATATATAAATCCCAGGACTTTTTCTATGTGTAATAGTTAATGTTATAGTTCCTTGATATAACTATGTTCTCTTCATTGGACAATCCTAAAAATAATTTTTCATGTTGTCTTCATCTGTACCTTATAAACATGCACAATTTTTGAATGAGTTAAAACACGAACCAGATCTTTTGGAAATGAAATGACTAACTTGGATGGTAAATATATATATAAATCTTCTGAAAGCACTGCCTTGATCTGTTGTTCAATATGACAAACACTTTAGGTCAAATGTCAGTGGAATGTCATATCAGTCATTCCTTAGAGAATTGACTTTCTATGTGACCCTGACATTGAAGGACAAATGCCAAGGTTATTACTATACATCAATGTTGATCATACCTTGTTCTTCTGATGTTCTTCGAGACCCTGATCTTGTTGAAGGACGTGGACTATCATCTGGTGCTGTGGAATTAAGTGGCAACATTCTTAGTGCAAAGTTATTCATGTTAGGATGAAATAGTGTGAAATTTTTCTGTTTTGGTGTATTTGTGTCTAGATACTATTGGAATTCTATCCCCTCTTTCAAGATCTAAGATACTCATTACTACATTACAATAAGTTTCAGTGTTCAGGACTTTAAAATTTGATTATTTTGTATTTCCAGATTCTGATAATGTAAACACAGTCATGACTAGTTTATCAGCATGTAATTTTCCTGTGTTATTTTTTTTTTTTAAACCACCTGTGCACAAACAGCAATTTTTAAATTATTCTGCAGAATAGTGATTGCTTAGGTAAATAGTTAATGTGTATCTCACACAACTTCTGTGTATTTATATTAAGTAGAACATTAACAAACACACATTACAGCAAAATTCAGTTAGACCAATTTCAGACAGTGGTCATCAATTTATGATATGCAATAAAAGGATGATCTTATATCACTTCAATTTAATACCAAAAATATGTTGCAATATACAAATGTTTTTTTTTGGTAAAAAGATACAAGAATACTAAAAAATTCGTAAGGGTTCCGCGGAACCCAGTGTCTCGCCTACTTTTGCTGTTAATCGCAGGCTCAACAAAATGAGGGAAAAAATTAATAAAAATATTCCTCTCTATACTATCTTTTGATTGTAAGTAGCTTCTGTCCAAGTTTGTTAAAAATCCAGGATAGTTTATGAATCTAATAAATGTTTTAAAAACTTAAACTGCAGACTGTATGTAATGTTAACCCGAAGAAAAACTAAGTCCATTTATAAGTAAAATACGGAAAAAATGGAACAAGATACTAGCTTTTAATCATAAACAAGCTACTGTCCAAGTTTGGTACAAATCCAGGATAGTTTAAGAAAGTTGTTAAAATTTAAAAAAACTTTAACCACAAGGTGAATGTAATGTTTCCTGGTAGAAAAACTAAGTCCATTTATAAGTAAAATACGGAAAAAATGGATTTTTTTTTTTACAAAATTTACTTTTGAATATTATCTTATGATCATAAACAAGCTTCTTTCCAAGTTTGGTAGAAATCCAGGATAATTTAAGAAAGTTATTAAAATTTCAAAAACTTTAACCACAGAGTGAATGTAATGTTTTCTGGTAGAAAAACTAAGTCCATTTATAAGTAAAATACGGAAAAAATGGATTTTTTTTTTTACAAAATTTACTTTTGAATATTATCTTATGATCATAAACAAGCTTCTGTCCAAGTTTGGTAAAAATCCAGGATAATTTAAGAAAGTTATTTAAATTTCAAAAACTTTAACCACAGAGTGAATGTAATGTTTTCTGGTAGAAAAACTAAGTCCATTTATAAGTAAAATACGGAAAAAATGGATTTTTTTTTTTACAAAATTTACTTTTGAATATTATCTTATGATCATAAACAAGCTTCTGTCCAAGTTTGGTAAAAATCCAGGATAGTTTAAGAAAGTTATTAAAATTTCAAAAACTTTAACCACAGAGTGAATATTTGTGGACGCCGCCAACGACAACGACGACGCCGACGGAATGTAGGATCGCTATGTCTCGCTTTTTCGACAAAAGTCGAAGGCTCGACAAAAACCATTGTATATATAGACATAATAATTGACATCATTATTTTGTTATTTTAAAAGAGTTTTCATAAGTGAGGTAGCTTAAACTTAAACATGCACAATCTGAATGGAAAAACAATTCTAAATTAACTTGTACTAAAAAAATACTGAGCTCATAACCAAGCAATATATTTTGTTTATATGTAAAGCATATTCACACTATAACCTTCTACCATTAAAAACACATTAAATCAGCACTATACCATGATGAAAACATTAACATCCAACACTATACCAACCTGGAAGTGTTTCTGATTGGATAGTATCAGACATGCTCGGTAGCATGCTAGAGACTGCATCTGATACAGCAGCGTTAACAGTTGGTTGTTCTGCTGAGTCCTCCAAACGTCTGGAAACCTTTTTCTGTTTAAAATATTTCTAATATCAACATCATGCAAAAAATAATAACTTCAAAATAAAGATGAAATTCTAGTTTATAATATACATTGACAACTCCTTTTGGTTTATACAGGTTAAATATCAACCTGTAAACATTGGTTCAAAATGTAATGGTCATAATCAATGTTTCTGAATTTCAGCTTCTTTTTGAAAAAACACAAAAGTAATAATAAATTAAAACAAAATAAAATAAAATAAACAAAATTTCAATATTGTTACCTTCTATAAACTCATCCCATTTCATAGCAAAGATAGGCCAATCTTTTCCTTTAATCTGAACAAAGTTGTAACAATTATCAAATATTTCTAAGAAAATGGCTTTACATTGATTTCTTTACACTGAACATTTTTAAAGAATGAAGCAGTACACAGACAAATCTAAGAATCTGAATGATGTTATCAATACACAAATGTGCTCTCTGTCTTTACCAATCAGCAATCATTGTCAGTAATTAAACAATCTTAATTGAATGCTTATTATATATTGTCAGGGGATTAAAAACTTTATGAAATTTATGTATTTAAAAGGAGACATCTCTTTCAGTAGCTGAATTTATGCTACAACTTACCCTGGGTTTAGCTGCTGGAGTAATGGGTGTGGCCATCATGTCAGATAGAGCTGCAACACCTTCTTGTTGTTCCTCCTGCCCTGCCATAGGTGTGGAGGTATGAGATGGGGGAGGGAATCTTGCTGCTATCTTACTCCTTTCCTTAGGAGTAGATGGAGGTCGGAGCGTCTCATCTAATGGCGTGTCAACTACCTTCACCGTAGCAATTGGCTCCTGAAAATACAAAGAAAATATTTTGAAGTAGAAACAAATAGGAGTACATTAACATCTAAAAAATTTGATGATGATGATGGATTAGTATTAAATGTCCAGTGGCAAATATCACATGCATATCAGAACATGTTAAAGAAAGATGAAAATATGAACTGCTTTGTGCATCACCGACTTTGTCTTTGCTCTCTTAAATGCTGCTTTCTTGGAGTAGAAGCAGCAAATATGGATATGGATTGACTAGCCTGGGGATCGAAACCCATGACTTCATGCATTTGAAGTGAGCATGCAACCAGGAAACCACTGAGGCGGTTATTTTTTAAAATTTTTTGTTTGAATAAAGGGCTGTCAGATGCAGAATGTTCTGTGTAGACATCTTTAAAGGGCCCTTCTATCATGTGATACTCACCTCTTTCTGAGGAAGGCCACCTTTAGGAGGTAGATAGGTCTCTTGGAATCGGACATCAACCTCCATAGTTCCATTGACAGTACCTCTGGGACCTTTCAGTTCAAACACACCCTGTACTCCTTTGTTATGACATAGGGGTAACAAAGGTATCTCAGCAAAGCCAAGATATGATGCCTGTTCTGGGTCAGTATCATCAAACACAAATATTGTCAGTTGCTGAAATGTATAGAGAAGATATCTAAGCAGAGTCAATGTTACCAGTTAAGATTCTTGAGAAACAGTAATATTAAACTAGTTGCTGAAATAAGGCCAAGGCCATATGATGACCTATAATTGCTTACATACACGTCATTTAGATTCTGTTGGATAGGTGTATCATTGGCAATCATACCATATCTATTTATTTTTATATGTCAACTTCTTTCAATCAAACTATGAAAATTCTAGTGTTTTGTATAATAACATCTATTTTTACATAAGGAAACTCTTGTGACCAGGGGCCTTTTATAGCTGACTATGCAGTATGGGTTTTACTCAATGTTGAAGGCCATATAGAGACCTATAGTTGCTAATTTCTGTGTCATTTGGTCTCTTGTGGAGATTTGTCTCATTGACAATCATACCACATCTTTTTATTTTTATATTGTGTTGAGGATGTAGTTCATTCTAATTCTTTAGAAATAACTTCTCTATAAGAAAACCTTTTTAAAAATATTGTCTTCATGTTTTAAAGTTATAAATTAATCAATGTGGAGACAAAATAAACATTTAAAGAAGTAATCCAACTTCATTACAATACATGTACAAAATTCTACAGTGAAAGGTGTAGAGTCAAAATCATTTTCTCATTCACCAATCAATATTTTATATACATGATTCTTTTCCTTGACATAACATTTACTGAATATTGCCATTCTAATTACAAGCAAAAACTGTAGGGCTCAAAGCTCCTGTCACACGAAAAACAACTTATAGACAAATACCTTTGTTTTCATGTACTGATCAAGGTCTGATGTCATGGCAACAGGATATGTTTTATGATCATTGAATTCTGGGTTGTTACTGGCATGTATTATAGGTGTATCATGGTCATTGTTGTCATAAAACTGGTATACACAATACGGTGACGGCTGAACTCCTGTAAATAACAAAAGCCATAAGTAATCAGGTTTAAACTTCATCAATATGGTTAGCTTAAATAAATGTCACTGATCATACAATTAGAACTTTTAGAAAAACAACAATTCTGAACAACATGAAAACATTATCTTTATATTCATAGCAACCAAATACAATGATTAAATTGTACATATTATGAGTCTTCCAAGACTATCACAAATACTTAGTCAGAAATTTTTGCAAAAACTGCAACAGTATAGGTTTTAAATTAATTAAATCTCACATTTTGATAGCATTAATTGTATGCATCATTTTCTAAAATCACAATAATTAATATTGCTTTTTCGTCCATTATTAAGCAATAGCAATAATAAATGCATGCAATATTTTCTGAATTCACAGTATTTTGTCATAAATTCTTTTACCTCTCCTCCTGGACTGTAGTCCATTACAGCGTATAATTTTGATATGCATCTGGTTAATGTTATCTATCTGCTGACGTTTCATGGCGACCTCATCAGTAGCTTCAATAGCAATCTCAGCAGCTCTCTTGTTTGTTGTTATGTAACCTAAAGCTTTCGTTCTCTCCTGCAGATAAAGAACATTATTTCTTATGCAGGAAAAATACTGCAATCTGATTGGTTAATTAACCCGGTGTAAATAACACCCCACCCTTGTTCACCCCGGGATCAATAAAATTTTGCCAAAAAATAAAAAAAATTGCCAAAATAAAGAAAAAAAATTAAAATGTCAAAAAATAAAAATAAAACAAAAATAAATAAAATGTCAAAAAAAAAATATATATAAAAAATGAAAAATAAATAAATTTGAGGACAAAAAATTGTAAAAAATTAACAAATTAAAATTAAAAAAAATTTTCCCCCTAAAATTCAAAAGAACAAAATTTTTTTTCTGAATCCCCAAAATAAAGATAAAAAGTATTTGACAATGAGCAGCAACATCGACATTGAAAAAATGTAACACTGGAAATTTTTAATTAGCATTTTTCAATTTTACATCCCGGTTTAAAAATGAGTAAAGGAATTGTTCATAAGAAATAAATTTGTTATCTTGGTGTAATCAGGGGTGTACGGACTTTTACACCGTTGTTGAAAATTCATACACCCATTCGGCTGCGCTTCAGGGTGTATGAATTTTCAACAACGGTGTGAAATTCTGTACACCCCTGTTTACACCAAGATAACTAATATTATTATTTGGCTTGGGGCATTAATAATAATATACAATAAATTTGATAGTAACAGGAACTGCTTGGATAATATAAAATAAATCTCTTATCGTTCTGTTACCAAATTGACCAATGACAGTAGTCTCCAAAATTAAAAATTATCATTCTTTTGCCTAGTGCATTTTTAATAATTCACAATAAATTCAACAGTAGCTAGTTTTCCTGTTGACCAGTTGACAATGACTGTTGTCTCCAGAGTTAAAGAACAGTCATTCTGTATAGGTTCCTTTGTGCATTATCTGTGGCAAGTCTTTTAATAAATGTTTAAAAAATTCATCTCTACATGTTCGTGTTGTGTCCTTGTTTTTATTATGTTAATACATTTATTGAAGTTACTCAAGTCTTGGCAAACAAATCATCAACCAGTAAATATCATTGATTTTACATGTAAAAGATGGTTTGATGGAAAACAAGTCTTCATCTAAAACAATTTGTCCATTCATCTACAATCAATCTGTGTTCTGTCAATGATACCTGTATATATGCTAAAATCTTCAGTTTCAAAATGGTTCAGCTTTGAAGATCATTCCATGGTATCATTTCAAAGACATTTGTTATTCAATTTATCAAAATAAATATTTCAATTTGTGTTTGTTATACATGTAATGGAAAAAAATATGGAAGTTTTACAACTGACAGCAATATGAATGAAGTTCTTACCTTGTAGAGTCTGAGTTCTTACCTTGTAGTCTCTGAGTTCTTACCTTGTAGAGTCTGAGAGCCTGTTCCATGGGTACACGTAACCTGATCCAGTATTCTACCATACCCAAACTAATGCCAGATCCTGTAGAATCTACACCTGTTTATAAAACATATCTGTTTGTAAAATAGGATTTAAAAATAATTCTTACATATATTTCATACCTTAATTTGAAAGACCTGTCAGAAAACCTTTCATGTTATCAAGTTAAACATTTATAAAACTGTATATATGAAGTCTGAAATTTACTGATACCTGGAAAACATGCTCTTGAAGGTACATTACATAAATAACTAAATAACTGGGGAGAGATTTCTTAAAATACTGTAATTCATTGCCAGTCACATACAAATCTAGTCATACAATAAAAAAAATGTGGTCACACAGCACTTACAAGATAATTGCAAGAACCTAAACAATGGTTAATATCTGTTAGTGTTGTTTTTCCTTAAGCTTTTATATACACAGAAAATTGTATAAGAAAAATTTGTCAGAAATTATAAATAGTCCTCAAAACATATGTGATGCTGCCTTGGATCATTTTTTTTTCATTTTACATCTGAAACAAGTGAAGTCAATTACATGTATCGTTTCATATCAATGCATATTTTTTTTACCAATTATCTATTTAACACATATTTTTGTAGAAAACCCTACCTATTAGTGTAGCAGTACCATGTATTCTACCATGTGGTTTATCAAATATATCTTTAAATACCATCTGACAAGCTGCCACTGTTTTGTAGTCCTGTCCAAAGGACTGATGAAGCTCCATGGTACATGATTCCTAGAGAAGTACAATTACGTTGTTATTTTTGTATTGTTTCATTTTTCTCTCATTAACCCTGTATCAGATGACACATAATCCCAGAATGTTTTAGCCTCAGTTTTATTCCATACTTAGACACTCTTATTTGATGCATTATTTTTCAATTTCTTTTTTTAATTCTGCCAAGAATATTCTTTTAAAAGGTAAGAAAAAAAATAAGCTTAGGTAAATTACCAACTGAATACATTAGATATTTGTGCTCAATAAAATACAAATATTCTGACATTTATTAAAATATATAATTTATATGAATTTTACCTACCTTTTGCAAGTAATGCAAGAAAAAGTCATCCACTTTAACGATGTACTGTGATGTGAAATCAAATTCTGGTCTGAAAATGTAATAAATAATATTTCTTATGTCAGCATAAAGCTCTTAGAACCTGTGTTTGTATGTATCATTATAGGTCTTATATATAATTTTATCTAATAATATCGAAATAAAAGAAAATGAAAAATATTCTGAATTTTCTGAAGTTATTTAGTTTTGTTACATAAGATTTGTGTTGTTTTCTTTCAAAATGCCTCTAAATCAATGTCAAAAATAATTCTCTCGGACGAAAACTGCCGGAACAAATTGCAACGGTACAAAGATATAACAAAGAGACAAAAAATCAAACATAATTTTATTAGAATTATAAAAGACAATAACATACAGATACATTGATCTGACCAGAATATTGATCCCAACCCATATATATGGTTTTATTTTAGCCTCACCAAGCTAAGCAAAAGTTTTGTCCCTGTGTCTATCAAACTTCCGGTATTCTTTTGAGTCGAACTATGGGTATCTCAAAATATTTCTCTGGTCCGACTGACTTCGAGACAATGAGAGTCAAATGTATATATATATTTGGCTTAATCATAAAAAAAAATTAAAACCACACTTTAGCGTAGAGTAATTACAGACCTATCTTCATAAAGAGAGCTTTTAACCTATTAAATTTTAAACCTCTGAATATTTGATGTTGATATCAAAGCATAAATCATTCTTGTGTTGTCCAATTTTTGGCCAAAAACTTTTGTTATAAACTGTTTCTAAGAATTATAATTATAGTGTCTATTATAACAATCTAAACAAAATGCACAACTTGCTAGAAAATTGGATAAACGATAAATGGTTTATGTTGTAACATTTACATACCTTGCTCCTCTAAGTACAGGGGTGGACTGAATCTCATATTCAAAGAATTCCCATGTACAAAACAATAATGGTTCATCATCTCCCAGAATCTTCAATCCATCATCTGACAGGCTTATCTGAAGAAAATACAATTAAAATTCTAAAGTTGGTAAAAACTCAAATAAATCATATTTTACTTTCATGATGATGACTCATTTACTCCAGACTTTACATGTACATTTAATAATTTCTACAAAGTAAACTATTTTTCTGACACATGAATCTATTCCAACCTACCTTGTGTATATGTTATGACACATGAATCTATTCCAACCTACCTTGTGTATATGTTACGACACATGAATCTATTCCAACCTACCTTGTGTATATGTTATAAACATCAATGAATCTATTCCAAACTACCTTATGTATATGTTATGACACATGAATCTATTCCAACCTACCTTGTGTATATGTTATGACACATGAATCTATTCCAACCTACCTTGTGTATATGTTATGACACATGAATCTATTCCAACCTACCTATTGTATATGTTACGACACATGAATCTATACAAACTTACCTTGTGTACATGTTACAACTCATGAATCTATACCAACCTACCTTATGTATATGTTACGACACATGAATCTATACCAACCTACCTTGTGTATATGTTATGACACATGAATCTATACCAACCTACCTATTGTATATGTTACGACACATGAATCTATACAAACTTACCTTGTGTACATGTTACAACTCATGAATCTATACCAACCTACCTTATGTATATGTTACGACACATGAATCTATTCCAACCTACCTTGTGTATATGTTATGACACATGAATCTATTCCAACCTACCTATTGTATATGTTACGACACATGAATCTATACAAACTTACCTTGTGTACATGTTACAACTCATGAATCTATACCAACCTACCTTATGTATATGTTACGACACATGAATCTATACCAACCTACCTTGTGTATATGTTATGACACATGAATCTATACCAACCTACCTTGTGTATATGTTACAACACATGAATCTATACAAACTTACCTTGTGTACATGTTATGACGCATGAATCTATACCAACCTACCTTGTGTATATGAATCTCAAACAGATTCTGTCCTCTTTCCAGGTGGATAGTTTCATCAAAATCTAGAGTTGGCTCTTCCAACTGAAAAAAGAATAAATATAACTTATCTGTTTGAGGAAATCTTGTAGCATAACTACTTTCAAAGATTTGTTATATATCATGTGTATTTGGAATTCATGGGCTATTGTCACCCAATCTGTTTGGTTAATTTGTGTTAAATGCAGAAAATTAAGACACTGGGATAAAATTTGATCACAAAGTTTGTCTCATTTCCATAATTGCCTCTATTAAGCCAATTTAGTCATTTAAGCTGTAGCTATGGTAGCATTTAATTTTGACATGATGCCTTCATTAACTCCAACATGATTATATTCTATAAGGTGCATCAAATACTCTCATGCATAGTAATCAGACTTCTTATTTTCACTGTTTTATACTCACAACGAACCAAAGAATTTCAAATGTTTCAAAGAATAAATAAGTCATATCTTTACAGATAGCTTTACAGACGACTTTCACATACATGCAATTTCCCTAACATTTCAAATGTTACAATGCTTATGTTATTACATTACAGTAAGAGTCGAAATGAACCTGTGTAACCCATTCTTAATAAAAAGAACTTTAAATTGGTCTATTGAGCCTTACCTCATCAGTAGGTGCTGTAATCTTAAACTGCTTTGTACCATAAGCCACATCTCTCATTTGACTTTCTAATTTCTACAAAATACAACACACTATATTGTTAATTTACCGTTTGGAAAAAAAAAATACATTGTCTAATAGTATCATTAAGAATCAAGAATAAGGTAACCTTTATAGCAGGTTTGACTGTATGACCAAATCATGAATATTGCTTACCTTAATTCTAGCAGCTCTGATGTCCAACAGTCTGGCATATTCATCTAACTTAGTCTCATATTCTTTCTTTATTTCATCTATCTTAGTACTACTTATTTCAACCTATAACAAAACAAATCAATACTGAAAACAAATACTGGCTATAAACTTTAAACATATAAGTATGGATTAGTTTTATGCAGACTGGACAGGTGTATTCACAGAAAATGTCTTTAAAAAATAGTTCCAATACCCTTGGTGGCTTAAGAACAAAGAATGACAACTTAAATGTAAATCTTTTTTTACCATTATTCATTTGTTTCAATAAATTGATGGAAAGAAAAAAAACTGTAATTATAAATTTCCATGAATTAAACCTTTCCTCTAAATAAAGTTAAAAATTACCCTGAATCAATATATTGAGAAAGGCCTTATAAAAAAGACAGTATACTGTATTGATCTCACTGAACCAAAAATACTAATTCTCCTTGGATTAAATGGATATAATAAAACAACAGATCAACATTAATTTTGAGATTCTGAATCTAATGCATTCTGGGTAATATTTTCAAAAGCGTTCACCAAAACATTGTGATTGGTTGAAATTGTCCTAAACAATTGAAATTCAATCAATGACGTGACGTTATTATAAATTTAGGGTACAAACAATGAAATTACCCTTAGTCCATAAGATTATGAAACGGCCAAATTTTACAACAGGAGGAGCTGTAAGATCATTCATGTTCAATGGTTACTACATATGATACATTCATACCTCATGTTGGTAATCTTTGTTAATCTTATGTTGTATGACCAAAAGATTTCTGGTCTTCTCTAATTCATGGACTGTCTCAGCATACTCTGCCTGTATTTCTAACAACTGCTTATGCTCATCTACAAGTAATAAGTTCTTCAAGTTAAATACTACTGTTTGCTTAGTGTTGAGTAAGGTTACTACTAACAAAACTTCAAACCCACTGATTATATTTTGTAAAGATAAAGTTAATTCAATATCTAATTTAAATATGTCTTTAATAAAGTTCTGACAAAAAAATTTACAACTCTTGTTGTTTTTTAAACCTAGAGTCAACTTATACCCTTCATTCCCTTGTAAACATTTCATATAATATTGCTTTCACACATGGTTTTTTTTTCTCATATGCTTATGTTTCAAGCACACCGAGTTACCTTTTTTCACTTTTCTTAATTTCTTTATAATTTATCGTTACATTGTATATCATCTTTGAAAATATATTATACATAAGAATAGACGTCATAGTGAACTTTTTTTTTACAAATCTTCTGAACCATTGATTATATGCAAACCATAATATGTAACAAATTTGCCAATAAAATGAATAAAACAGCTTGCTGTACATTAACAACAAACTCTCTTGTATCATTTAAGAAATGATGTGGTGAGGAAGAACATATTACTCTGATTCAGTAGTAAGGACAAATTTTTAGTTTCTTGTGTATAATTTGGAGTTTAGTATGACGTCCATTATCACTGAACTAGTATACATATTTGTTTAGGGGCCAGCTGAAGGACGCCTCCAGGTGCGGGAGTTTCTCCCTGCATTGAAGACCCATTGGTGGCCTTGGGCTGTTGTCTACTCTATGGTCGGGTTGTTGTCTCTTTGACACATTCCCCATTTCCATTCTCAATTTTATTGAATCTGACCTTTGGAGACTTCTACATCCACTTTATGTAGGAAGTCAGGATCTGGAATAGCTTTCTGTTTCTTCTGTTTAACTAGCACCAAAGCTTCTTCAATTTCACTAAAATCTATGGCACTCTCCTGTAATATTCAGTATTCATATAACAATAGAGGGTGTGAGAACAGTTTTATTTTAAATGTTTGGACTTGAAACACTCATTTTTATACCCTAATCTATTAAATTAATTCTTAAGAAGAAACTCATAAAGACTTTGAATAATACTTTTATGGAACAATTTACGCTTTTTTTTTTAATTGAAATTAAATTTTTTTTCTAACTATAGCGTTTAAATAAAATAAGATTATTGATCAAAACACTCATCTCTAATGGTAATTAATCAAATTGTATTGTTGAAGATTTTTTTTCAAATGAGATTTGTGTAGTACCATTTAATTTTATAAAGGCAAAAAAAATTAATAAGACTATTGTACAAAACACTCCTCTCTATTTAGTTATGCCAGTTACAGTCAGGCATTTCAAATACTGTAACAAGGGGGAAATCTTCATGAGGGGTTTATTTTTGCTAATTTCGTGATTACTTTAAAATAATTCCCTTTCTTAAATCTGATCTTTCAGGCACATCATAATAAAAGACAAGAAAAGACTTAAAAAAATTGGTAAACAGGTTTGGCCTTTTCAATCGCAAAATATAAACAGTCCTAAAATAGACGACTTTACAGTATTCAAACTCTTTTCACTAAATGTTAAAAATCTGACCTTAGTAAAGAATCTCATCTTCTCCTTCAGATCATCGTACTCTTCCTTTAACTGGTAATGTTCTACCTGCATGGATCTGTAATCTTGTTGTAACTTCTCAAACTGATCTGTAAAAAGAAAAAAAAATGTTTGTGAATTGTTACAGGGCAAAAGGAAACTTAGCAATAACTAGAAAATAACTATTGTTCTTTAGTCTTTGTAAGATAGATGTCTTATTGACAGTACTACTGTATTTTCTTATTTCATCTGAAACCCTAAAATGCATAGATATACAATTCATTCCTATAAGTCTGTTTGTTCATTTGATGTTGCATCAATGAAATGCAAGCATACCAGACAAATGATGTTACCACACTGTATGGAAAATTTAATTATAAATACTACGATGATAACAATTTTTTCCATTAACTTGCCTATCACTACACTGTGTGTCGATAAAAAAATGTTCCCATGCCTTCCATTTTTAGACAGAAAGTATAATTCTGCTAATTTCTATTACTCAGATTTTCTTGGCAAATATATTTAAGATGTCATCCTTCTTCTCTCACTGATTCTTTGTCAGTGTGGCTCCTTATATAATCATACCTGATTCTCTGGCAAGTTTATCTAGGATGCCACCCTTTTCTCCCAGATCAGCCTTTAGTGTGGCCTCTAGTTGAGCTATTTGAACTTTCAATGCATTTTCTCTCTGTCTCCATTCTCTTTCTCTCTCCAAGTCAAAAGCACTGTAAAATAAATACAATAATAACTTGCACATTACAAATAATTATAACTGACATTTTTTAAATTTTTTATCTATAAAATAAACTGTTAACACAGAGATATGTCCCTACTTTTTGTTATTTAGACAATGCAAATGTTGAAATCAAAATAGCAATACTTTTAACATGTAAGTTATGCATAAATTCAAAGTCAATGAACCATGACTGAGGGTAAAGGGTCATACAATCTGCAGGGAAATGAGATGTGCCAATACTAATACAACTGCATACCAAATAACATTGACTTATCATAAATTGTTCCCTATAAACAAACCTAAACACAAACATTAACTTGTAAACTATGTTAAAGTTTCAAAGTCAATGAACCAAGATGAGGGGGTGGGGCGATATAATCTCCATGGAAATGAGACTTGCAAATGCCTATACGTTTGCATACCAAATATCATTGACTTAACATTAGTGGTTCATCTTAGATTGATCTAATCACAAACTAATACATGTAAACTAAGCAAAAGTTTCAAAGTCAATAGACCATGACTGAGGGGTAAGGACCAAATATTCTCCATGGGAATGAAATGTGAAAATGCTTATACAACTGCATACCAATTACCACTGACCTACTACAAATGGTTCCCCTTAAATTGACCTAATCACAAACTAATACATGTAAACTAAGCAAAAGTTTTGAAGTCAATAGACCATGACTGAGGGGGCAGAGCCAAATTATCTCCATGGGAATGAGATTAGCTAATGATAATACAACTGCATACCAAACACCGTTGACCTACCACTAGTGGTTCACCTTAAACTAGACCTTATCACAAACTAATACACTGTTGACGCCGTCGTTACCGACGACATATGGAAACAGCATACCTATGTCTCACTTTTTGACTCTGTCAAGAGGAGACAACAATATATAAGTAACTAACATTAATGTAATGTTCAATTTACACACATCTTGAATTTTTGATCAGTTCAGTGTTTCAGAGACTTACAGTGTTTCATGTCAAATCAAAGTTGTTCGATTGAAAAAAGCATACATCTGAAACAACACACTAAATAACTGTTAAAGAGTTAAATGTTCTTGGACTTTTTTTGCTTAAAACTTTCATAATCATGAATATCAACACTGCTTTGAATAAGACTGAAACACTGAGTCAGATTTAATTTGCCAGTTCACCCATGTCAACCTACCCCAACACATTATTCTGACTCATTGCTGACCAGTATTTGCTCTTACTCCTAAATGCCCCATCAATTTTTTCACGTTTGACCCAGAAGGGCATTGAACCCACACCCTCCAGCCCTCAGGGTTTGCATGCTAACAAAAGATCACCAAGGTGGTTAAGGATGCTATTACAAAAATCAGGAAAATTCTGGTAATGTATAAACACTGTCCCCAAGTTGTCTCATATAACTTCCAGCTTTTTTTTTTGAATAAAAAATCAATGAAAAGCTTCCAAAATGTTTTCATAATGTGTTCAAGTTTGCAAGTTTTTATTTGTGCATCATACAAGTAAAGTTTTAGTTGCAATACTAAAAGATCAGATAATTTACAATTCGTACCTGTTAACAAATTTCTCATTAGCTTCCTTTAATATCTGGTTCTCCTTTTCTAAGCATGAAGTCTGTTCTTGAAGCTACAAGAGTAAAGATGAAAGATTTATCAGTAATTGCAAAAAGTAAACAATCCTTTGATTTTTAGCAATTTGGGTTGGGTAACTAGCTAAATTACAATTCTTTTATTCAGATGTTAATATCAACCTCGATTTGATTTAGATTATTACCAAAACTCACTTCATGCTGTGAGGTTAGTGGGACCCTGCCACTTATATCAGTTTTCATTTATTACAAATATAAGCTTATTATCAACGATCAATACTTCACTTGATTGTCTCCCTTGTAAGCTAATTAACTTTTTCTATAAAAGATGTTTAGCAAGCAATTACAATCAATACTACCAGATTGTGCTGAAGTTCAGTAGCTCTGTTTTGAAATGCAATTCTAAGAGGAATATTTAGGTATACTTTCTGAAAAGGGATACCCTAGAAATTCCAACTGAAACTCATGTCAAGTTAGAAACAGCAATGACAGCAACACATCATGCACACTTTTCTAAGAAAGTGATAAAAGAAGGAGAAAGTAATTGAATACCCCATTGTAATACCTGTAAAAGCAAAATAAATAAAGGATAGTAATCTCAGACGGCAAGACAGTTCTAGGTCTAGATCAATAAATCACCTCATTAAGCTTTTGGTTATAATTTGAATCAAACTTTAGTTGCTAATATGCATATCAAGTCAAACTCATCTCCATTAGTTTTTGGTGTTGAACTGTACCAAACTTTATTTCTTTCCATAAGGTAGGTTCTCATGTCTATTAGTTTTTGGTGTTGAACTGTACCAAACTTTATTTCTTTCCATAAGGTAGGTTCTCATGTCTATTAGTTTTTGGTGTTGAACTGTACCAAACTTTATTTCTTTCCGTAAGGTAGGTTCTCACGTCTATTAGTTTTTGGTTATAAGTTGTACCAAATTTCAGTTAATTCTTCCTTTAGGTAAGTACTCACCTCTATTAGTTTTCGGTTATTAGCTGTACCAAACTTCAGTTCATTTTGTAAGGTTAATACTCTATTTTGTTCTTCCTTCAGCTGCATGTTTAATCTTTCCATCTCCATTAACATGCTGTCATGGCCATGTTTTACTGTTGCCATGTTCTGTTAAAACATAATTTAATTCATTGTACTGTGAACAAATATCATTCCAAGGTCATCAAACTTTAAAAAGTATACATTTTGAAGGCACCTGCTTTAATCATATACAAAAAGTATAAATCAAAATCTTTATGAACCAATATACTTACAGATTCCAGGAGAGCATATTTTTCATTCAGTTCCATCAACCTAGTAGACTTTTCTTTGACTTCTCTCTGTACCTTTATCATATCTATATTCTCCTGAACTGTGAATCTGAAATTCAATTATTTAATATTTGATATACTGTAGAAATAATTGATGTTTTGAGGCTACATATTTTAATGTTGTAAAATGTTTCACTACAAAACAACTAAATGTTAGTATCTTGTTGAATATCCCATGTAAATTTCAGGCAGATGTAACAAAATATGTGACACATTAATAAGATTTATACATTTTTTTGCATGTACATAAAAAAAATATCAATTAAAAAATCTGCATTTTTGTGTTGGTTACTGTTGAACAAACTATTTCATAGTTTATATGTGATGTTACAAGTTTGTTTTTATCGTTTTAATTAGCTCCTCTTTCAATACATATTTAATAAATTCATAGTGAAATTTATGTTAAAACTTTTTATACTTTTTATATATTACCTATGCTCTGCTGTTATTTGTTGCTTAATCTTGACAAGATCCTCTTCATAGCCTGCCTCTTGTAACTTCATCTTAAAGAAAAGCAATGCATTATTATAAAGAATCATGCTTTTTTTAATATATGAACCATCATAAGGAGAGCTATTTTCCTTCACTTTACCAACTATAGGAATTGTACCGATTTCTGTAATGATAAATAAGAGTTTTACAATTGAATGCCCACACATTATACACACAATTTGACCTCTGCCCTTCCAAAGCAGTTTGTTCAGTGAATATTCCTATAATTCTATGCTCAGTGGCTGCCTTGCAGATCTGAAAATCACTGATACAGTACAACTAATCATAATACAGTTCCAGACCAAATATCAAATAATCTCTCAATACAGAAGCTTAGAATAATGTGACAAAACATTCCAAAAGTTCAGAAGGTTTCTTATTAAGATGTTGTCTTTTAAAACTAAGATACATTCAATAAAATGTTGGTGTTTCCTTTTCCCATAACACATGAACAGTTTATCCTAATCCCTGTTTTCCAACATACATTATCAACGCTGTATGCCTGACTATGCCATGTAATTAAGACCTACTCTTTGTTTGAATTCCTCCAGTTCTTGTTCACATATTTCATTCTGTTCTTGTAATTGAGCAATGATATCATCCCTAAAATAGAAGAATGAAATATTCAAGTTTTTTATGACTTTGTAATATCTCTCCCTTTTCTCCAGTTTACATACTTTCACAAATTGAAATATAAGAATAGAAAGACATACACATTGTATGAAGCAATTTACCAAACATTGTTCAATTCCAACATAATCTATAAGAGAATTTGAAAGCATAACTTTTGTGACAGACATATAATTTTGTAATTACAAAGGGCAACAAATCAAAAAAGTTTTAATCACCAAACTTGGATATGTAAAACTACATATGGTATGAAGCTGTTCAAGTTTTGTTCCATTCAAATGTTAATTATAATGACATTAATTAATGTGAACTTATCTTTTATGGATACTTTTTTTTTGTGTGATTGAGAGAAAATAAAAACTCATTTTATGGGAAATTCAAATTGCAGATTTGAAAATACTACTAAATAATGAGATGAAGAAATTTGTGGGTGTTCATAAAATGATGATGAAATACATAATATAAGTGGTTCTATAATAAAGTTTTGATACTTTTATGATGTGCTGCAAGTAAGAAGCACTGTTGATATCTTCATTTAGGTTAATCTAAATCTTGATATTCTATAGGATATCAAATAATTGCAAAACTATTGAATGAGGATGACAGGTAATAAATGTAATGCAGAGTGTCAGAGGTTTAATATTGAATCAAAATACATTTTGTATGAGGTTGTTGTCATTGTAATCACATATACTGGAAGTCATAACTGCAATTTCTTTGTAATCTTTGACAATTTAATTGAAGATTTTACATTTTTCATTTACAAAATCATCTACAAGAAAATAACTCATGAAGTATTAACCTAATCAAATTTGTGTCCATCATCAAAATTCAACTACCAACAAATATTGAATATGTTGAAAACATTTGCAAAACTACACATTTTTTTTCAAAATTTAACCTTTAAAAATGAAAATCAACTGGTTTTAGTTTAGACAACATTTAAATTCTTGGTTTGCTGGACCCCATAAAAACAATGAAAATTAAATGCCTCAAATAAAAAAAAGTTACAGTAATTAATAATAATGTTTACAGTTACAATCAATTAACAAGAACATTAAATATGATAGCAATAACGCCATCTTGATAAGTTCTTACTTCTGACGATTATCTAGTCTGAGGTTATCCAACTGATTATGTCCATATTTCTGGAATGTAGGACTAGAAACTGTCTTCCTGCAAAATAATAAAGATCAACAGTGATTACTTAATATCATCATTATTACTGTTTATCAATAGAAATCTTAACTTTTTAAACGAATGAGCTGTGTCTGATACACCTTATCGCTATTTGTCCGCCTTTACTGGACATCACACAGGTTCCCGTAAAATTTTGACGTCATAATACAAAATATCTGACGCCACAAAGGAAAAGTGATTGTTGTATGACGTCAATAGTTCAAGCGGGACTGATTCTCGGGTTAGCCGGGAATAGCGATAAGGTGTATAGAAATCCACCCTTATGCAAATGAATATCAATACATCTAATAACTTATTTCGGGTTGAAAAATCTATAGGCAAAGTCTGTTACTGTTTTAAAAATGAGTTGATATAAGAACCCTACAAAAAAGACCAAAATTCATCTTTTATTTCATATTTGAACTTTCCAAAATTAATCAAAGTCTTATACATGCACATGTATATGGGCATTTGCATATGGTCGATTTCTATCTGATGCAGCTCAAATAACGGAGACTGAAAGATTTTGAGGCAGAAATGAGTCAGCATTGCCTTTAAAGACAAATGTCCAATTCTTCCTGTTTGGTAAGAAGATTTTGTCAAGCAACATTTTCTATTAGATTATTTGGTGAGTTTTTTTAATAAGAATTTTAACTTTCTACAATTTCGGCTGATTAAAAAAATTCTTACCTCTGCAGAATGATAAATTGAATCTTTGACATTATAGACAATGAAATCATGAAGATATAAGATGCAAAGTCTTGACTTATATCTGATAGGTATTGTTATAATCTATACATATTAATGACATCCTCATGCTATTGATATATAGGGCTATTCTAATCATTAAAACCAAAACATATTTCTAATATATTTTTTTCTATATATTAACAATTATTCCATCTATTTTTAATTTTCAACAAAGCATGTTTTAATGGGAATAGGAACATAAATGCCCTAACTGTAATATTCTACAGGTAACAATCTATATATATTCAAAATTTCAATAAGAAAAACAGCAATATGTAAAACTGTACCCTAAAAATAACTAAAATGTGAGTGAACTCAAGAAAGGATACCATGACAAACAATACTATGTTTAATTCAATTATCTCCCCTTTAACAAGTGGATCATATTATTTTATGCTCATCATCATGTAGTGTTCTACAGCTGTATAAAGTTGCATCAATATTTTTCAAGCTGTTTAGTTGTGTTACAAGGCACATGGACAGACAGGGTGAATCATATATATTCCCAACACTTTGATTGTTGGGGATGTAAAAAACCATATGAAGCACATTATTCTACTTTTGTTTTAACAATAAAACTAGGTGATGCTTTGCTTATTAAATCTACAATAAAAATAAACAAAAAAGAAGTCTGTAAGATTTGATGTATTTTCCTTTACCTCTGATATTCTCAAGACACCTTTGATCTTATTTCAATTATGTTATGGTTCCAACCAACTTTCAAAAATACATACCTGTGAGGGGCAGTTTCATAGGGACCAATAACTCTTCTGTTCTTGGCAATTCTTGTGTCTTCAGGGGGTGCATACTGTGTCTTAGCTATACCCTTAAATAAGACGAAAAAAAATCATAAAATACAATTTCTTGGTCTACCATTTTATGAATTATTAACCATTTTTCAGATCCATGATAAACGTGTAAAAAGTGTGCGCTTAAAGTTTGAGAATATGCTCAATTCAATATTATCATTGATTTTTTAAAATATAAATAATTGCAGGAAATTACAATTACATTTAATTAGGCTATGAATCATCACCAGGCGCTGCTAATTATGTGTTTTGGCATTTGTCATAAAAAAAAATATACATAAATTATATGACTTCAACTAACGAAAGCTCCACTGGAGCTAATATGCTATTCTGTTGAGAGACCTCATTTTTTTAATTACCACAGGTCTATTTTATGTTAAATATTTACTGTATGGATACTGGATTTTTATTTTTTTATCAATCTTGACTTAAAAATGCCTAAAATATTTGCCACTGGCAACAGAGTAACCAAAAGTATAAGTATACAATATGAACACAAGGTGTAGATCTTGTTACAAAAGTGCACAGTGAGTTCTTTGTGATTTACTAGGTGCAGTTTCACATGTGAAAAGTATAGAATTTGAATTATAAGTTTAAGACTTACTGTATTAATTCTAGATCCAACATGTGTATAATGTGAAGGTCTCTTACTGGCTGCTGATAATTGTTGTTTTGCCAACATCAACTGAAAAGGAATAAATGTCATAATCATTTGCTTTTCACCTTTCAGATATAAAAATGACTATGAAAAATCTCATTCATGTCAGAAATTTGAATGCAACCTAAAACATGTAGATATACAGAAGTGATTTTTCATTACTATTTCTATTTATTTTTTTATGTTATTATATTTGCCTACAAATGAGGAATATTTATAAGGCCAAACATAGAAAATATATGTGTTTGCTGTTTCCTCTATCCAAGGGTTCAGAGTTTAGGTAGGTAGGCAGGTAATTGAATGTTTTAAAATTTTCCAAGAAAATGATACTTTTGTCGACATTGCAGAAACAAATATGCAAGTGAAATAGTTTATGACTATCTGCTTTTCCTGCTGTTTCTGATCATTTGTCTTTTTTTGCTGTTGAATGAAGTAATATTTGAGGTTTGTTTGGGTGAACAATCCCCTGAAATTTACCTAGCTGACCCAGATCAAAACCTTTGACACAAAATTATTTTTTTGAAGAGGCAATAAAATAACTATAATATCATCTTGAAATTCTGTAGTCAGGGTGAAACTCCTCATATCAAATTTACAAAAGCAAATTGTGAAAAAATATCAGTTTAACAAATTTAACATCTATATAACTTTAATGAGAGTTATTACTTTAGAAACTGATGTAGGTTTTCTATTGTTTAATGTCCTATGTTGTCTCTATAAAACACATTATTTATATCCTTACAGTTTCAATTGTTAAATTTTGCAAGATCGATAATTCTAGTTGAAGGAAATATAACTGCTACCATAGTCTCATAAGAGTTTATTTTTTATGGTTATATTACTTAATTCTTACTAGTGTTTCCTGCAGCTTTTGAAAAGGGCAGGGTAATTTTTTTCTCAGAGGGCACTCTTAATGCGATTGGTACACTTTAAGGGTACCCTTTGCGAGGAGTACTACACTTTTAGGGCACTCTTTACATAGATATAAAGGCACTGTAATGGATAGGGATTTAATCGAATATACCATTGTTTCATATTTATTGGTAAGAAATAAAGATGTGAATATTAGGTTGTTAATTTAATTCCGTTTTGTAATAAGATTATCACTTCTAGACTCAGCTAATAGAATTTTGATCATGTTCATTGTGCAACTGCCTCATTTCAATCAATAACTCCAGTTATAAACTTTAATACTGGATCACTGAGATCGATTGTCTAAGGAAGTGTTGTGAAAGTGGACTTTGCATGACCAAGAGCATATGCAATGCATTGCTTTTTAGATGCACAAAAGAAGTGCCAAATACCTTTTTGTTCTCGCATGTTTATACCAATCAAAGCTACCTTGGCTCACAACTGTACAAATAGTTTAAGGATATTCAAAGATTTGTATAGCAAGACTTACTATACATAATGCAGATTTTCATCTTATTTTCCATCTGTTTTTTTTTTTTTTATTGAATTTGTACTATTCAAAACTATATCAGCTATATTCTTAACTTTAATTTTATTAAGATAACAACAGTATGAAAGCCGTTGTAAATTCACCCCAATCCGACGTCTCGATCGACCGAATAGTATAAATAGAAAATATAAACAAACATCGGATAATCAGTGGTATATGTTCATCCCATGCATCGTAAAATTATAACTCAAACGGTCGCCTGGTTCCCTTTTAAATTGTCTATATTTTAAATTCGTAGAGTTACAAATCTATGTTGTCCCTATTAGATTCAATCATGAATCGTATTTGTACTCTGTTGCTTCAAAACTGTTCAAACATTACGAAATTCAATAAAATGTCGGCCATTAAAATTTAGATTTTCGTTCCAAGGGAAATAACTCGAAATGGTCTTACTAAAAGATGAATTGCAGAACCGATATAAAATTACAGCGGGGCGTTCTAAAATACGACGGAAAAGGGGCATGGCACCATTTTTTTTCCTAAAAAGGACAGAGCGTCAAGAAAACACGACAGGGCGCCATAACACGCCAAAACATCCTGCAGGAAACACTACTTACTTTTTCATTCAGTTGATGATTCTGTTTTTCTAATTTCATGATTCTTTCTTTGAATTCTTCCATCTTTTCTGCCACTTCTATATTCATTCCCGATGTTTTCCCTAAAGTTAAAACAATCAGATGTTTGTAGAATATATTTCATAACCTAATTGACGAAAGATAAATAAAACAGTTCAATATCTTAATAATGTCAATATCATCTGGATTTTTATGCTACAAAACCCAATATGAAAGTACCATATAGTTGGTGTATATGTTTAAAAGAGTATATTTATTTTTAATATCCTGTGTATGAGGCTTTGTATGGGGTCTTCATTTTTTCTTTTGCCAATTATCATCTTTTTTATCTCTATCAATTTATTTCTTTTGCCTATTTTTCTTTATTCTTTTTGTGGCTCATTGTTCTCTATTCTGTAAACCCCATTCAGACCCTCATGTATACAGAAGGGAGTTGGTGTCAGTAGAAAAGCTACTGTTCCTACTTTGTTTCTTAAAACTTCTATAAGAAATGTGATATTCTTCTTTTCCCATTCTTTAACCAAAATTATGGAAATAAATCTAGCAAAATAACAACCACTTTTGAAAGTGGAAATCAGCAATTTTTAAAATCTCAAATCTGTAAATTGCAAATGATAATGTATGTCCAGGACCCGTCAAGTAGCAAGAAACTCCAGGACTTCAGTAAACATGAATGTCTACCTCCAACATGCTCTTTGTCTATATCCTTCTTCTTGTCATTTACCAATCGTAGCAATTTTGTGGCCATTCTGAAAGAGACAAATGAATTAATTAATAAGTTCATAATTGCATGTAGAGCAAGGTCATAATGTGAAAGAAAATTAAAAACCCAATTAAAAATACATAGAGGTACTGTGAGTAAAGCTCACAAAATGACCCTTGCAAAGTCCATTATATGCAAATGGAGACCCAAAAAATAATTTAGTTAAAAAAAACAAAATAGGAGGTGCATGAAAGCATTATATGGTTAAGATTCTGAGAATTTTCAATAAATTCTTAAAGGGATTTTGGAGAATTTACTGATACAAAATGGAAACCCCCTGATAAAGCTATTAATTGTGATGAGGAGACCAGGAGATGGAGATGACTGTAGTGTGCAGATGACAATATTACTGTCATGCCATAAAAGACCCCCGAAATGATTCTGAAAAAGAAATGAAATAGAAGTACATCATGTGAGTCAGATAATATCAGTGTTCTCCCCAGATGTTACAGATACATATCAGTATATCAGTAACAGTATCATTGACTACAAAGAATTCTAGATAGCATCTTTTCTTAAAATTATAGCATCACATTAAAAAAGGATGATAAAAGGACCTTGGGAGAACACTGAGATTTTGTATAAGTTGTTTAAAATTATGTCCAGCCGTTCTGGAGCAGTTAGGGATATAAAAGTTGGATTGAAGGACAAACCAATGAGTGGAATAACTTCCACATCATATTATACTGCGGACATCAGAAAGAGGGTTATAATCATAATAAAATAGAACATAAGTCACTATTTGCACTAATTATTTCTTACTTAACTAATTTGTAACTTACTTTTTAATTTTGTCTTCTTGTTTCCGTGCATGTTTCTTCAATATCAAGTTTTCTTCATAAATACGAAGATATTTGTCTTCCAGGGTATCCCGGTCCCATTTGGCAACCATTCTTCTTTGCTGTTCTGCTCCTTTAATTTATAAAGTATAACTTGTGATTCTGATATTTACAATATAATTTTACATGGCCTACTCTGAAAATTTTTTCTTTAATTTTCATGGACACCAATATTAACATTTGTAGTTGAAAACCCAACAGACTACATTGTAGTATGTATAATAATTTGGAAGTTAAAAATCTTAACAAAAATGAAGGTTCAAACATCATGTGATCAAAAATAATTGTTTGTGGTCCCAACAAATGTCAAAGGGAAACAATTCTATGCATATTCAGCATAGAAAATTTACTTAACATAAATTTGTAGGATCTGAAATGTGGGTAAACCAGGAGAAGGGTTAGATAATTCTGTTAACCACTACAAAGCAAGGAGAAATAGGGTAATGTCAGGAAGTATGTACACTCAGAAGAGTAGATGCAGAAATGGAGCTCTAATGATCCCTGTGATATATGTTTTGACAGTTTGCAGACCATGAAGAGTTCTTATTCAAAGTGTTATCATGGAAAGAATGTTGCATTCTCCCAACACATGTATTTGATATTATAATATTCTCAATCTGACGGTGTGTAATGATATTTACTAAATCTGAATGGCCATATTTTCAAACCAACAAAAGAACATAAACCGAAAACTCTTTTTATTTGAAGTTATGAAATATATGCAATTTAAACCCGAGTTAATAAACAAAATTGTTGTCCAAATTTCTCAACAACAAAATTTTTCCAAACTGAGGTTATATACATGTACATGTATATATATTTTCTCTCCAAAGTAGACAGTGTTTCATCTATATGAATGTGTGATATGTCCAAATACACACACAAAAATGAGAAAAAGTAAAATTGTTAACAAATTTCATTGAACATTACCTGCATCATGCCTTCCTCCACCTGGATCTCTCACAGGAATCATATCTACATCTCCCATGATGCTCTACCAGGGACTGAAAATTACATACAAAATATTAAATAATGTATGACACTCAAAGAAATGATAAAATAAGAAAGGATTCCATTTGAGGTGTGAAATGATTTACTTTGATTTCAAAATTCCCTCTCAAAGTCCAGACCGAAAAAATGGCTTCAGCTCATGATATGCTGGAATTCTAGTCAAATCGGCACCTACTAGCATGACTAGTCAAATAAGTACCTGGTTAAATCGGCACCAGATGTAGTCATTTCGGCACCCATGTTAAATATGTTGAATATATTTTTTTTCTTCAGTAATTTAAGCAAAAAGATTAAAATAAAGAAGGTGTTGTCCAGAAATATTGACTTATTGACAAATTTTTTGGGGTTTCTGTATGTATTTTTTTGTTCAACTTAATGTGTTTTTTTGTTTTTTTTTACTTTTCAAGTCCCTAGCAATATGGCCATAGATTCCATATTTGATTCCACATTTGAATCATTTTGGATCTCTTAGCTGAACCTTGTATCCTACCAAATCCAGTTGACCTTGCAAGAGGATTTTACAGGGAATTGAAAAGTTGGAGAAAAAAGTTTTTTATCTTGCCATACTGTTGAAATTTTCTATAAACTACATATGGTTTAATTTTGAAAGGCATTCCATATATCATAACACCTATGCATTCTCTTGTGTTTTTGCATTGCAAACATACAAAGGGACAGCTGCTTCAGCACACTCAAGACAGCTGTCCTCTGACATTGTGATAGTGAGGAAAGCTTTATTCTTTTATTGCTTCTAATTTTCTCATGATTAAACAACAGCTTGGGTAATGGCTTCATTGTTTTTTATTTAAGTTCATGAAGAAAAAACATCAACATGTTAAGTATCTAATTGATAAAAGTTATTAATCAATTAATTTAAAAGAAAACTTATCAAAACAGCAGTCATAGAATGTTGGGAAAACTTCAAACAATTAACTTATACATGTATATTCCAACTGCTTAATTATACAGTGTTCCCGCCTGCCCTATATAGAAGGGCGGCCCGCCCTTGGTGCCCTTACCCCCACCCTTCTGCCCTCAAAAAGTAAAAGAATGCACCCCTCTGCCTTTTCAAAAAAATAAAATTTCAAAATTTTATGCCTACCGGCCTTTCCAGTAAAATTGTTACCTGATTGTGTAACACTAATTAACTGACAATGGGATTAAGTTAAATACCTAATGCTTTGGCAGTTTTATCACCTTTGTTAATGATTGTTTACTGCTAATTAGTGGATTTAAGATAATTGAACAAATACTAGATATTTAATACAGAATGAAATGTCCACATGTTATCCATTTGTAATGTTTATGTACAGCATGTACACCTGAAAAAATTTATTTCAGAAGGCATAACATAAAAAATAAAATCTTAAACAATTTTAAATGCATACATAGTTTTGACTGAATTGGTAAAAGATGTTTTGTTTCATAACCATGAGTATGAAATTTAAAGAGGAATCAAAGAAATTTGTACTTTGAACATAACAAGATTCACTTCCTGTTTTAAATACTTCTTGTATTTTATAATCCTCCTGACATGGAGCACTCAACAAATTTATTTTAACAATGATGGAGAAAAAAGTAACTGTTTATACTTTCTGCAATATATTATTGCATCAATATAAATATGATCATCTCCTGTCTCACCTGTTATATTTATAAAACTCCTTACTGAGGAGCACTTTGGTGTGCACTTAAAAATACTTTTTTGTAACAATTTAAAAGATAATAAATAACTCTCAATAACATATATACTATATGTTTGAACAAGTAATTTAAATGTAGATAATTTAATTACATTCAACATTCAATTTTGCATGTATAACTCCATCTTTCAAAACTACTTGTTTATTTTGGTATAAGTTATAAAACATTGAAATTTCTGATGATTATTTTCCATACCAAATGTACAAGTTTGTTTAGATTAACATCAGAATGATATGCTTTGCTTCATGGTATGATAATTTGATGAAAAAAATTCTTACTGGAACCAACATCAGGAACACATTAATTTCTGAATATGGTTTAAATACAACTAATGTTCTCCAGCTGAGCCTAGCAATATTCAAGGTAATTTATACACTGTCCAACATTGCCCTTAAAATCTGGGTTATAACGCTAAAGTGCCCTTTCAGACAACTAGCACCCTTCTGCCCTGAGATTCAAGCTGGAACACTGTTATATGTGATGATTTTTAACGAAAAATTTAGAACTATTTACATATTATATCAAATATTTATACATATTTAGAATTATTTATATATATTATATCAAATATTATTGGATGCCGAATTGACTTTAAATAGGTGCTGATTTAACCAGGTGCTGATTTGACTTTTTCTATGGGTGCCGATTTATATGCTGTGGGAAGGTGTCACAGAAAAATATTAAAATAGCCTTCCAAGACGTGTAATTATTTTGACTCAATATATTCTGATTTGTCTGTACAAAGATGTGATATTATATAATAAAATTTCCTAACTTGGCAAATGATCAAAAAAATATCAGGAATAAAAGCTTATACTATATAGTACAAACATGTACCAGCCTAGCTTGCCATCAGTTGATTGTCAGTTACATGTTGCAACATGTTATCTGCATAGTATTACAGTGAATATTAAATATATAACACACAATTCACTTCATTCAACATCAGAAAGTCTTGTTACATAAAACCTCATTTAAACAGAGAACTGCTTATGTCATCTATATTTTTATTTTCAATCTGTATAAAACGTGATAAAAGAGAGAAAAAGATGGTGTCCAATGTAAACAACTGGTTTCTAATGTGAGTGTGGCATATTTAAGACAGGTTTCAATGCTTAAGTTTGACGTACTGTTAGGTTAAATCTTCAAAGATAAATCCTCGGCATTTAAGCACAAAGAATTATTTGGAGAATAAAAATAATCAACTTCTAGTGCTTTGCTTTTTTTCTCAAAATCCAAACATTCCACGGACATGCGCACTAAACCGGAAGAGCTATGTAGCTACAGTAAAATGTTAATTCGATATTTATTTCTAATTATATAGTGTTCATTAACTTCAAAAGGACAACCATTTCAAAGAAAAACAAAAAAGGACATAGTATACAGCCATCGGTGGTTTAAAATTAGTTAATAAATCTCTGAAAAAGGTGATATGGTTGAGATTAAACCCCACTTACTTTGGACCTAACTGACATGATTTTGATATGTTTTGTGTACAAACATCATCACCCACTAATAGTCTTCATATACAGTAAGAACTGGTAAGGATAAATAAATATCAGAAACTGATATTGTTTAAATATGTCTTTACAGATGATTATTGTATCCGTAGTAATTCATTCCTAATATGAGGAAGGCGCTACCTTGAATGCCAGCTTACCAAGACTATGTCCTACATATTGATTGATTGTTGGTTTGCTTAACGTCCAGTGGCAAATATGTCATGCATGTTCAGGACGAATGTTATAGTTTTTGTCTAAAATAAAATAATAAGTTCAGATGGAAACTGTTAAGGGAACGATCATTGAACTTCAAAAGGCAGAAAGGAGTATGTTTTTTTTTTTCTTCAAAAATATTCTGATTCCCAAATTGATGAAAAAAAAAATTCTAATCAAGCAGAGGACAAAAAAAATATTCTGAATCCAGATTATCCCCATACCTTCTAGTGTTATTTTTTGACCAAGTAATTTTGATTGATAGCATTGAAGCCCTTTGCGTGAAAAAAAATCTTAACTCAAACAAAAAATCATACCCCCGCCCTTTTGAAGCTAAATGGTTGCACCCTTATTGTCCATATTGTTTTCTGCTGAAAATAAATTTATTGGTGATTTATCTAAAAAACAATGCTTAAATTCATTATCTTGTGCCATTTTAAATCCATTTTTCTTTCTTCGCAAATTTTACAAAATCTAAAACAATAAGACATTTGTTTAATTTCAAAACTATTAATACTGTTATACAATCCATAACTTTATTAAATTAATTTTTTGTTGGTTTTCATGAAAAGTTGGAGGATTTGGAATATCTTTTTCATCAATATCTAAAAGTTGTAGCTGTTTTTTTTTTTATTTAGTATTGCAAACAACACTTTCTCTTTGTTGAATTATTTTTACTTTCTAAATTAGCTGGATGTTTATATTGTATTCCCAGTTTCCTGCATCTCATATATATGTGATCAGCAAGAGGATCATTTTGATTGTTAAAAGAAGAGTTTGAATTTACAGTGAGCCTGTTTAGAATAATGATTTGATCAGGGTTTTCATTTTGATCTAAGCATAAGGAACCATAAATAGGATTGTTAAGTTGATAATCTAAAGATTTTGCTATTTTCTAGGATGCTATTTAAAATTTGAGGGGAGAACACTGCTCAGCAGTATAAATGTATTCCTGATCATCTTCTGTTTGTGGGTTTCTACATCAATTTCATGTACTAATTCAGAGTCAGTTTTATGTCATTTTTGCATTTTGTTTTATTAGCTTACTTTTCAAGTTTTTATACTACAGCAAAATAAAATTCAGAATGGAAATGGGGAATAAGTAAAAAATTTGCTTTCCAGTAATGCAATCATGTCGCTGTTGTTGTCCGAAGACACATTTGGTTTCCGGACAATAACTTTAGTTTAAGTATCTCTATGACAATGGATGAAATTGTACCAGAAGGTTCAACTTCAATACACAAAAGGAAGGTTAGAATTGATTTTGGGGGTTATCATATGGTACCAACAGTTTAGGAGTCAGTGGTCAAAAACAACATTTTTGGGTTCTTTTTCCATAATTTTGGGTTTTTTTCTCCAAAAATTTACCATTTTTACATTGATTATTTCTCATTTATATATAAATGCAACAAATACTGATATGACAGGAGATACACACGAAACAGGGTGTGTAAAATATTTTATCGGTAATTTGTGCATTTTTCATTTGATGTGTACTTCTTGATAATGTTGACGTCAGTATCAGTGAACTGGTCATGATAAAGAAAATATATTGGGTCAGTTCGAAATTGACATGTGCGAGTGCACGGCAAAAGGATCTTCTTTCCCTTTAATTCACAAAATTGTACATGATTTTTTTCGCAGAAACGCACAAGTTATTTCATGAATGAAACACTTGTCATTGTTTGAAACTTTCAGTAATAAAAAGTTAGTTTAGCTTTTTTGAACGATTCACTGATTGTGTGAAAATTTAAACAGAAAATGTACGATAAACCTGATAAAATTGCGTTATCTGCAGAATTATCGATAGCTTTCCTTACTATTCACAAGGACATATAACTAACATGTTACTTGGATGGAGAGTTGTCTCATTGGCACTCAGACCACATCTTCCTATATCTATAGTCTGGCATGGCTGGTGCTGTTCCAAGTTGTCTTCTTTCTCTGCATATTTCTTGAGAAGTATTTGTTTGACCTGGTCAGTCACTATAAAGTGTTACAATTTATATTTAGACGCAACACGTAAATAGTGACCAAAAAGGTACCGCTTTCACATGTATGACATGAGAGAATCTAGAAAAAAAATTAAATGTACACATAATTTTTCAACATTTTTGTGGGACTATCACATAAAATTAAGGAGATATGTAGTTGGAGACTGCTGCTGAATAGAAATGTTCGGGCTCACCTGATACCTGTTTTCAAATTAGTCCATATTAAAGTTTGAAGAGTCCAAAATTAAAATATGTTTGATTTCAACTGACAAAAAATTTGGTGTTTTTTATATGCTAAATCTACATCTGCGGTTGTATTATGCTGTGCTTGGCGAAGCATTTTATTGCTTTTTTGTTTGTACTTTATTTTATTTTGTTCATGAAAATTAACTTGTAGTTGTGAAGTTGCTTACATTTTAAAAGATGATAATTAGATAACTTCGCATGGTGACAACACTGACGTTTTCGTAGATTTACTTTTTTCCGGGAATGCTTCATCTGTTGATATATTCTCATTGTGAACGATTTGTGTATATTTAAATATATTAACCAAAGTTAAAAGACATGTATAATGTCAAATCATAACAATACAAATTGTTTAGTCTCAAAGAAAACTTGTAAGATTTCCGCAGTTATTTTTGTTGAATAGGTGCAAATTGGGAACTGTGACGTTATAGCCATAAGTATTTATTGCTTGAATAGTTTGAAATGTGCACCTGATAAAAGTATTCAGTAGAGGGAAAATGTTTTGATCAGGTTTAAACTGACGCATGAAATATACAGGCGACTGCGGGAGGCAATTATTTATAAGGCATCCAAATAATGTGTCGGCAGCTTGATTTCAAAGGATGTAGCCCACATACTTCCAAGTAACATGCTCTATACCTATTAAAAGTCATGGTATTATCATGGGTTATCATAACTCCATCTTCCCATAAAATCCTATTTTGGACAATATGGGTGCATACAATATATATGTACCTTTAAACATGATAAATGTATCACTCAGACTCAAGTCTCCTTTTACAGCTGTTTTATGATTAAACTTAGAGAGTGAAAAAAAAACAGTCTCCATCTCCTGGGACTGTTTAAGGTAGATATGTGTCATAATTAATGACAAGATTTGTTGAGAGTTTGTCAAAGGAAGTACAGTCTACAGATAGTGAATTTGAATATATATTTTTTGTTGAAAACTTTTGTTAAATTAAGTTTTGAATTTCACCTGCATTTGTCTGTGAGCTACAGGAATAACCGTGATCACATTCAACAGTATAACCAACTTCATTATCACTGTAACTTGATATGGGAAATTCTGTAGCAGATGAATAATAGTAGTGACTAGTCATTGTCAACCAGAGGTAGAGCACCAGATTTTACTACCTCCGGCTAAGTTTCTCCCGAAATTTATTGCTTGCAGAGGGTTTTTCTATGTTCCCATGGCTGGACGGAACTTTTACACAACAAATGTTATCATAAATTATGATATTGTAACTTTTAAATGGAGTACCTGTGGTTATTTAGGAAATTTGTCACTGATAATGGAAAGATGAAGCAGACGATAAAACATGGCGTAAGTTGTTGTTGTCCAAACTTCGGTTATTTCCGTGGTACAATAAAATTAAAATAAACTACACAAGTTACTAAAATTTCTAAATCTTGTTTTTGTAAACAAATAAAAATTCATGTCGTATTTAAAATCGAGTTATTCCGTTTTGTCCCGTTTTTTCAAGATCGCGATTAAACGAGAATCTGGCAGCCATTAAAAATATAAGGGTAAACTACAAACTCCGAAACAGTGGTGACATCTGGCTACGCTTCTTTAATTTCGTTTTCATTATTTGAAGAATTGACTTTATATTTGGAGCCAAGCAAGAATACAATATTAATTTAAAAAATATAAGGAAAAAAAAGAAAAAAAATATTTTTAAGAGTTACTTAGACAACTTGACTTAATCAGAGACGTATAATACGTTGTATTATATGTCTCTGACTTAATCAACTTCGAAATTTAAAAAAAAAATCGTACGAGATTTAACGAGAGTGACGAAACTTTTTAGATTGGTCATGTAGAGAGAGTTATCGTTCTTTATTCCAATTCGATGCTTCTACCATAAGTGCCAGCTAAAGCTGGCATATCAAATATAATGAACTTCAGAATTGAAGACCTTTCAGGATTCTTATACCTCAGATCACTGTCAAATGACCGTACACATTTTTTGTAGTAACTTTAGTAAATTGGGTCCTTTCTAACAGGATATATGCAATCTTCGAAAATTGCCATCAGCATTAAGATGGTCTTTAATACGAGAACAAAAATTTATTGAATTCTTAAATCATGATAGTTTTGAATAATGTTTACACAAAAACCGAAAACGGCTATAGTAGCGATTGAGAATACTGATGATAGGACAGCAGAAGTGGATGACGTGGTATCTGATTTAATAGTTTATAAGAGAGCAGCAACCTTAGATAGCAAATTTGAATCAAAATTTTATAATGAACAAAAACGGAGGAACAGTTCGATAAAAACATGGGATGACCAAGACCGTACGTGATGCTAAATATAGCCGTTAGTTTTCTCGTTTGAATTGTTTTACATTTGTCATTTCGGGGCCTTTTATAGCTGACTATGCGGTATGGGTTTTGCTCATTGTTAAAGGCCGGACGGTGACATATAGTTGTTAATTTCTGTGTCATTTGGCCCATTGTGGAGAGTTGTCTCATTGGCAATCATACCACATCTTCTTTTTTATATATCAGTATAAGCTTTCGGTAGAACTTAGGTAAAAATCCTTTGGAATCTAGGTTGAGAGTAAAAAAAAAACAAAGATAAAAAACTTCAACAAGTTTGTACGCAAAAAAATCGGATTTTAAAAACGAAATGCAAAAGAAATACACTTGACCTATCTGAGAAAAATCCTTTGGAGTTTTGGAAATCTGTAAACTAATTGAAAGACAACGCGAAGGAAGACCCTAGCTCCAACATTTCACATGATGAACATTTAAATGAACTTGTTGATAAGTTTGACTACAAATGTGATCCTGCATGGCTAGATGATAAACAAATGTCTTGTCTTTTTTATGCAGACGATTTAGTGGTTTTATTTAGTGTTGAAAGGAGAAGGTACGTTTTTTCCAATGATTTGCTTGTTATGAGGTTGATTCCAGTGTTGTATAGCCTGGAAGCTTACTATCAGCTTTGTTGTCAATTCATTTTTCTGATTTTGGTAGCTGCTGTTTTTGTGTTGCATGCTTGGTTTAGCGCAGTAGAGCTATGACTTTTGCCTTTTTGCAACGGTGAATTGGGTATACTAGAGTTTCCACTATTGCTACCCTACAATCTTCAAATTGTTTTATCAATTATATGCATTTACGACAGATTAAAAGCCTTTACTTCGTTTTTCATTAACAAGCAAAAACGGAACAATTAGTGTATCATAAAAATTAAAATAGCAAAAATACCGAATTCCAAGGAAAATCAAAACGGAAAGTCCCTTATCAAATGGCAAAATCAAAAGCTCGAACACATAAAACGAGTGGAAAACAACTATCATATTCCTGGCTTGGTACAGGAATTTTCTTATGTAGAAAATGATGGAGTAAACCTTGTTTTATAGCTAGCTAAACCTCTCACTTGTATGACAGTCGAATAGAATTCCATTAAATTGACAACAATGTGTGAGTAAAAAAAATAGACATAATGAGTAAAATTGTCAAGCATTTGAGTACAGCAGTCAACATTGTGTTATAATCTTAATCACTATAAAAAACAAAGAACTACTTCATGTTTCCAACGGTTAAGTAGCAATTTGTTTTGGTTATTTTTGCAGGATTTTCCAAAAACATATAATTTTGAACTTCAAAAATGATGGCGGCCGTTTACAACGACAGTTGGGATCTCCATTCATAATTCATAAAGAAAGCCATACATGTAGCATTGTTGTATTAGCTTTTACTTTCTAGATTTCAATGATAGGGATTGTTGCTCACAGGGAAGGTTTGGAACCAAAAGTTCTTAATGGTAAATTTGAAGTCATCCTATCGAATGTTTTATGAACGGCATACTGAGTTGCTCAGTGGATCGTTATGAAATTTCTGTGTAACAGATGTCCATATATATGTTCCAATTCTTGTTGACACAATCACCTCATTTTGGAAATCACCGAATTTGTGAACTCTGACGGGCGCCACTTTACGAATAGGATCTACGTACCCTTCCGGAGCACCCACGATCACCCTCGGTTTTAAATGGGGTCTCTGGTTTTGGCGTTGTGATTTGTAGACGGTTGTTTGTCTTTTAGTCTTTTTTTCTTGGTGTTGTCGGTTTCTCCGGCTTTTATTGATGAATTTTGATTGTCCTTTGATATCTTTTGCCTCTCTTATAATAGAAATAAGAAGATGCCCTTTATAGATTAAGAAAAACATACTTTTTATTTCTTTATTTTTAACCCTCTGTTTTAAGTACCAGTGATACATTTCTGATGGAGATTGTACTTCACCAAATTCATTAGTCTTTCATTTAAATATCCGAAGCTATTTACCCATTACGTAATTTCTCCAGGACGTTGAACACGATTTACGTTGATTTTTTTTACTATTCTCACACTAACCCGATTAAACAAGTGAGATACTACGAAACTAAATGATCGCAACTTTCAAGGTACTTCTTTGTCTCTCCACTTTGAAACCATTCGATGTTTACAACTAGGAACAATCCACGGATATTTTTTTATGCACAACATTTGGTTAAGATTAGGAAGATTCCCAAGCATATGTCTGTGGAAAAGATTTATTTATACACAATTCTTCATCTTTCCAAAATATTGAACTAATTGACATATTGTAGAGGCACCTGTCAATTGATTCCATATTTGTATTGTTGGGTTGTTGTCATCAGAAATCCATTTATCTCGAAAATCAAAAAGATCCATTTTATATCAATTGAATAAGAAATTTTAGAAGAAATATAAAAGGATAATTACGAACGTTCCAAGTCAAGATGAATAAAGGAAACCACTCTTTTGGGACCCTTTGAAATGCTCGGAAATGAAAATAACACTTTATAAGTTCGTGCGTCCGAAGCGCTTTTCTGAATTTACTCACAAGCCAAACCATTTGAAAGCCAAAGATGAGTTCTTCTTCGAACATGTTGGCCTAAATTTTCATAAACAATCACAATCTTCCTTTAACCTTTGCGTAAAAATCAGAACAACATATGAGGGTCTTGATTTGGTTTACAGAATAGAGAATAATCGAGTGCTAAAATATAAAGAACAGAGAATAATCGGTAAAAAATAAAGATAGAGAAAAATGTCCTAAAATATGAAAGATGACAGAAATAAACACCCTTCTATTCCGACAGCGACACAATCAAAATATTTGTATACGACTGCAAATGTGGATGTTCATCGGTCGTCAAACTGTCTATATCACTCTGCTCAGCTCTTAATTGAATTGCATATCACAGCTTAGTGACGTCAAATACGTTGACCCGGCCTTAAAAAATTTGACCCGGACATATCAGAGACGTCATAATGTTTGAACCGACGGATAAGTTTGACCCGAACTTATCAAGTCATCTTCCGGTTTGCTGCATGGTGAAACAAAGAAAACACTTCCAAAGGACGCAAATACAGCCCGATAAATCGATTATCAGGTAATCTGCATATTGATATTGTAAAATATCAACTGCTCGACACAATATGAAGGCTTTTTGATCTCGTTCGCTGCGCTCACTCAACAATAAGCTTCATATTGTGACTCGAAGCTGATATTTTACAATATCAATATGCAGACAACCTGATAATCGGTACATAAAAGGTAACGATTTTCATTTATTTGTCGTATTTTCCTTTAATCACAATCATGTTTATATATATAATCTTGAATCTTTAACACGAATTAAAAAAACACAGATTCACTCAAAAAGTAAATTAGCAGTAAATATCAAAACGCTATTCATATTATTGGGAACTGTGTTAATAAAATACATGAATCCCTGAAATTCTTCCGTACGACAGAAGGGGATATACACATCAACGTCTGGTCGGAATTGGGACTTGAAATCCGAGGCACCATGATGGACTAGTACCACGCTCTCTGAACGTTAAAGAAATCTTGCAATAACTCTCATAGGGGTCCGTAGTTGGCCTCTAAAGGCAAAAGGTCTTTCCCTATCAAACATACCACAATTTTCTGGTAGCAAGGTATAAATTTCCCGACCTTCATGCGGGTCGACCTTCCTGGCAGACTCTACCTATTGTATAAATTGTTAATTTGTTCTCGTCCAGAATATCAATGTAACATTTGCCACTGGATGTCAAGCATGCGACAATCACACAATACACCAATACATCATTAGATCTTAACGATTGAATCTATACAAAAACAACTATTAAAAAACAAACAACAACAAAAAAAACCCGATAAAATACTAACTATAAGAATAAATCTAAGTGTACTATACACAGGGACAGGACAGGAGTTTTGTGTAAAAAAAAAAAAGGCAGGATGAACAACTTTGCAAAAAAAAAGGCAGGACAGGAGTTTTGAGTAAAAAAAAGGCAGGATGAGCAACTTTGCCAAAAAAAAAAGGCAGGATGACAATTTATGTAAAAAAAAGTCGGGATAAACTAATAAAAAAGAAATGCAGGACGGAAAAGAGTGAAAAATAAAAAGGCAGGACATAGATTACAACTAAAAAAAAATGCAGGACAAAATTTTTCATCATAGCCCCCCATAAAAATCAAATGGAAGCTCCCTAAATATGAAACACTTTCATAATCATGTGCAAACGACACGCATAACAAATTAATTTTAGATATATATATAAAGCCATCCTATAAGGTTTCGGATATATCAATTAAAAGAGAAGCAGAAGATACAAAGGGGATAATCAGAACTCATAAATTGAAGGGAAACAGACAAACACAAGACAAACAAGTACACAAAACACCACATACAAAACTATAAAGAGTCAGACTGAACAACACGAACTCCACCAAAAACTGGGAGAGACCTCCGTTTTTCCGGAAGGCTAAGCAGATTCTGCTCCAATTGTGGCACCCGTCATGTTGCTCAGGTACAAATTCGAGGATGTCTCATTCGGTAATTAACTTTGATATATATATTTGTTTTCCTGTGAATATTGCATGTAGTGGAAATCGACTAGCCAAAATTGCGACGGATAAACTAAACTATTGACAAAATATGTAAAACTCACAATTTTGTATGAAACACATTGGTCCTACCTCTTTCTCGTTAAACTACAAGTATAAACGACAAATTCAATATAACAGATCATTGACAGACTCCAATATGTCAAAACTGGCGGACTGTTTTTTTTTTAAACGTTACGGTACTGGGTCGTGAGTTAACAAGTGCATAAGTATCGGATGAGAAGTGAGTAGGTGCCTAAAGTACTGAGTCATGAAAAAATTAGGTACACGGAGTACTGGGTCGTGAGTAGGTGCATGGAGTATTTGGTCGGAAATGAGTAGGTGCCTTGTGTACTGGTTCGTGAATGCGTAGGTGCTTAAAGTACTGGACTAGGTTTCACAAAGAAACGGCTTACGACTAAGATTGATCGTAAGTATACCGAATTGTTCATAACTTACGATCAATCTAAGTTGTAAGTTTTTTTGTTAAAAGGAATCCTGGTTCTTGAGTGATAAGGTGCTGGGTCGAAAGTGGTAGGTGCCTGGAGTACTAGGTGGTGAGTGAGTAGGTACTTGGAGTGCAGGGCCGCGAGTAAGAAGGTGTCTGAAGTACTTGGTTGGAAGTGAGTAGATGACTGGAGTACTGATTAATGGAGATCACCCACAGTTTTTAGTGGGATTCTTGTTGCTCAGTCTTTAGTTTCCTATGTTGTGTTATGTAGACTGTTGTCTGTCTTCGTCGTTTTTCGTTTTTGCCATGGTAATGCCCTTTTTTTTTAAATCAATTAAGCATGTCTCAGCACATCAATTGAATTAATCGGTTTTGGATCTTTATATTTTTTTGTCATCTTAACATGCATTGAATATGTGTCCGGTTGTTTACAAGAATCAACGTAAAACCCTTTAAAACGACCATAATTTGATTCCTTTAACAGTGACGTATACTACACAAAATTTTCGGTTTTATATCAAGTTATTGTAATGAATTAAATAGAATAGCTTTAAAGAACAGTATGTATAGAATAATGGTACAATGATTATTTTTAGTAGCCACAGAAGAGATATCATCATTGGATATACAAACAGGAAGTTGTGTAGTAGATGGACGTGACGTAGTAGTTGTCGACGCATGCGCAGTAGTTTGTCCGACGTCGATCAATGGATACACTTCAGACCATAGTTTTACTGTGTCTGGCTTCAAGAAAACTTTCATCATTATTTCAGCATTTAAATCTAGATATTCTCTTTCTTTTATATCGAATGGAATCCATACTACAGAATCCGTGTATCCGTTTGGTGACCTACAAGAAAAAAATGTAATTCTTTTAAAAAACTTTTTACCTTTATGAAAAATAATACACATGCTGCAAGATAAGCATGTGAATTAACAGTCAGTCTTCAAATCATCTGGATTGCCTCGGTGGTTTAATAGAAGCGTGTTCGCCTCGATTGCGGGAGGTCGTAGGTTTGAACCCCGGCCAGGTCAAACCAAATACTTTAACATAGGTATTTGTTGCTTTTCCGCTTAAAACGCAGCAATAAGTAATAAGATCAAAGACTGTTGGGCTCGGACTCATAATAATGTGTTTGGGTAGATTTGTCTTCTGTGGACTGACTACCAAGTGTGAACTAGCACGTTAAAAGACCGACTCAGCGTGTCGTGCTAGTCCACAGCAATGTTAATATTCATAAAATTGAGAATGGAAATGGAGAATGTGTCAAAGAGACAACAACCCGACCATAGAGCAGACAACAGCCGAAGGCCACCAACGGGTCTTCAATGCAGAGAGAAACTCTCGCACCCGGAGGCGTCCTTCAGCTGGCCCCTAAACAAATATGTATACTAGTTCAGTGATAATGGACGTCATACTAAACTCCAAATTATACACAAGAAACTAAAATTAAAAATGATACAAGACTAACAAAGGCCAGAGGCTCCTGACTTGGGACAGGCGCAAAAATGCGGCGGGGTTAAACATGTTTTTTGAGATCTCAACCCTCCCCCTATACCTCTAGCCAATGTAGAAAAATAAAACGTACAACAGTACGCACAGTAAAACTCAGTTTAAGAGAAGTCCGAGTCCGATGTCAGAATAGGAAACAAAAGAAAATAAACAAAATGACAATAATACATAAATAACAACAGACTACTAGCAGTTACTGACATGCCAGCTCCAGACCTCAATTAAACTGATTGAAAGATTATGTCTTCATCATATGAATATCAGGCACAATCCCTCCTGTTAGGGGTTTAGTATTATACCATCATAAAATTTATGAGAAGAACTTAACCCGTGTCCTGCCAACAACTGGTTTTAGAATAAATATGTTTAATTCCGATGCAAAGACCCTATAAGTGAATCAATATTAAAGCCAAAATATGCAATCTTTAATGACCTGACAACATTATCGTAATTATATCCCTTCTTAATAACTAAAGTCTGTTTAAAGGTTTTGTTAGCTTTTGAGGTGAATACTGACATTTTTGTGCTTTGTAAAGAATATTACCACAAAAAATTGGATGTGAAATACCCGAACGTATAAGATGTCTGCATGTTGAGTTATATTTACGAATGATGTCCTTATAGTTCAGTTTCATGTTCTCGTCTTGAATATACTCTTAACTTGCCGCTGGGCGTCAAACAGCCATCAATCCATCCATCATATCATCTGGAGGCTTCAGTATCGGGGTTTCTCGGAGGTCTGACTTTGGCGACAAATGATACACAGAATAATATTTAATACATATAGAAATCGATTATAATTACATATTTTCAATGCAAAAACACTTCATCAAAGATACCAGGCATTAATTGTGTACGTCAGAAACGCGTTTCGCCTGCTAAAGACTCATCATGTATGCTCGAATAAAAAAGTTAAAAGACCAAATCAAAAACAAAGTTGATGAGCACTGACGACCCAAAATTCCGAAAGGTTTTGCTAAATACAAATAAGTCAATTTATTCCTGGGTCTGAGTCTTTAATCTGTCTCCATACTATCCTATATGTTATACCAGGGTAATTCATGACACATCATGCAACATAAACAAATGAAACTAGACACACACATATTTAATCGGCTTGAAAAATAGATATAACATGGAGGACAGTGTTTCAGACACAAATTTAACAACTCTAAAAGTCAGCTGTCGATCTTTTCTGGATTTTGCAGAAGAAATTCTAACCTTTTTGACGAAACTTTAAAAGAAAAAAAAGAACTTATTCTAATGTATTTTACGTACCCTGTTCTTGCAAATGTTGTCCAATACTGGATGAGATTTCTAGACAGTTTCATACCGTCAGTGGATACAACTTCAGGTCTGAACATGTAAATAAGTTCGTCTGCATGACCACTACCATTGAACCAAGATGGGAAAGGTCCACCCCACGGCTCTGGACTTGGCATGGAAAATTGATAATGATATGTCGTCGCTCCATACATAGAATGCAATTCCAACATCCTTATTGTTGGATAAACAAACATGATATCTGCTAATAGATGTGTAGCAAGATTGCTCTGTTCATTTGGAGAGTTTGCTACAAAGTAAAAATCACACAATTGACGTTTTACTTCCTCATTTTGTTTCAGATATGTTTTGACATATTCGGCTATAACTTCTTCACAAGCCACTCTGTGTGGTATACCTTCATTCAGTGAAAAATTAAATCGCTCCTGAATTTGTGGAAATAAAGTGACGACTAATATTGAGCCTTCGTTAGAAGTTGTTCCAGCAATCATGTCCAGAGAACGAAAGAATGTAGCTACGGCAGAAGTAGGGTCCTCCAGAGAAAGTATTGGATTTTCTGGAAACAATTCACCGTCCACTACTGGGTAATTGTCCGACATGTAGTGTACTTTATCGAGTTGAGCAGTGGCATAAAAATCTGTATAACTTAATAGATCTTGGACTGATAAATTCCTCAGACAATCAACAAACGCATATTCATCATCAATTGAACAGCCAGTTCTATTTGCTAGGCCTGTAGCATATTCCCTGATAGCCTCCGATTTACGCATTAGAATTTTGCTATGAACACCACTCTGACATATAACTCTCTGAAACAAACCTTTGTTCGCAGGAATCAAGGATTGCAGCGATGTACTCATTGCACCTGCTGATTCTCCGAAAATCGTTACGGAATCTGGATTGCCACCGAAAGCTTTAATATTATCATGCACCCATTGTATTGCTAGTTTTTGATCCCATAAACCAAAATTTCCTCTAGCGGCCGGATGGTCCATAGCAAAAAATCCAAACACACCAAATCTATAATTAAGAGTAACGACGATAACATTTCCTGTCATGGCAAATTCTGTAACATCGTCCTGATGTCCATAGCCAAGTTCAAATCCACCGCCATGAATCCATATCATAACGGAATATAGTTTCGTTTTACTGATCACTTTTGGTATGTGGATGTTAAGGAATAGACAGTCCTCTGAAATACCAGATGTAAACGATGTCTTCTCGAATTCTGGTACGTTTTGAGAGCACGCGGCACCGAATAACGTAGCATTTAGCGTATGTATCCAGTTTCCTATAGGTTGTGGTTTCTGGAATCTCCGTTGTCCTACTGGGGGCTTAGCATATGGTATGCCAAGGAATTCGAATACACTTTCTCCACGTTTTGGATCGGTTCTTTTCAAACCTCTTATAGGTCCTGATGGTGTAGTAATGGTTATCTGATTAGGAATACCTTCTGCAACTTCTATTAAGGGATATATTTCAGACCAAAGCTTGATTGTCTCGGGCTTCATTGACCTTTTTAATGTTATTTGTGTGTTAAGGTCCAGATACATGTTTGTCTCATCAAATTGTTCCCAGTAAACACTTTCTCCAAACTGATTAGGAGAGCTGAAACAAACAGGAAAAGCAAATGAAGAAATCTTAAATAAACTGGACATACTGTTTCAATGGTTACAAATAAAAAACACACAGTCTCTACATCTGCGTAATCATCGAATAAAAGAGAACAAAAATGTTCAAAAACATTCAAATGAAGAACCATAAAATAAAGAACTGGGAGGGTAAAGAAAAATATCTTAGAATTTAAATGGTTAGATGTATATCAACTTATGCAATAAAGTTTTTTTTTAAAAGACAGTTAACTTTTTAAATGAATTAGTGGATGTGACACTGCATATAAATGAAACTTAGGATGTGCAATTATTTTTCAAGGTTCTTTGTTATCAATTGATTGTTAAATGTGTTACTTTACGTCCAGTTGAAAGTGTTTATTTTACATTTAAGTCGAAAACAATTAAACAATTACTCTTTCTAGAAGGTTCTGCTAAGTTATTCTACCGGGTTAAATGATTGGAAAAACTAGTTATCAGCAGAAAAAAGGTAACCTTTGGTAGAAACTGACATTTTCCTTGCATCAGCTAGCTATATATCGAATTCCTCAAAGACTTTTATTTGATAATTATTTAGCAAGTTGAAAGAGCGTCACTTCCCTAATACGGGCACCATATTTAACAACCTAATTATGACCACTTTTGACTTGAATGTTTTACATAAGAAAATGCCTGTACCAATTCAGGAATATGACAGTTGTTATCCATTCGTTTGATTTGTTTGAACTTTTGATTTTGCCATTTGATTGGGGACTTTCCTTTTTGAATTTTCCTCGGAGTTCAGTATTTTTGTGATTTTACTTTTTATATAGTGTACAGTCACAGTCAAATCACTGGTTGTTTGGGGAGGCCCAGTCGACCAAATTTCTATATCGCAGTCATTCCGTTGGTTATATTCAAGGGGTAACGTCTTCGAGATCGGGGCCTCGATGGCCGAGTGGTCGAAGTAGTTCAACTACTCTAATCAATAGCCAGTCAACACTGAGGTTGTGAGTTCGAACCCCGCTCATGCAAAGGCACTCGAATCTAATCTTAATTCTTTTGAGGTTTTAGATAAAATACATGATTTTGATGGTCCTTTTAATTCTGTTGTAAGATATGATTTTTCTACTCTCTATACTACACTTCCGCACAATCTTATCAAGAAAAAGTTTTCATATTTAATTAAATGGTCTTTTGAAAAATCTCATTACAAATTTATTTGCTGTAACTCGTTTAAAGCCTTTTTTGTAACGAAAAAGGAAAGTAAGCTAGATACACTTACTGGAAATGTGAAGATATGATTGAATCTTTAAATTTTCTCCTGGACAACATATATGTACGTTTTGGCGATAAAGTGTGTCGACAAGTAGTAGGTATTCCTATGGGCACTAACTGCGCCCCTTTAATAGCAGATTTATTCCTGTATTGCTATGAATCTCAGTTTATGACCAAACTCAGTAAATACACGTCATTTTTACATTTGGTTGATACATTCAACAATACCTTCCGTTATCTAGATGATATTTTTTCGTTAAATAATCCAGAGTTCTCTAAATATACTACCAAAAAATTACCCAATAGAACTTACTTTAACTAAATCTAACATAAACAGCAGTAGTTGTCCTTTTATGGATTTGGACATTTCAATCTCTAAAGGAAAACTCCATACGAAAATTTACGACAAAAGAGACGATTTTTCATTCCCTATTGTTAATTTTCCTTTTTTAGACGGCGATGTTCCTTTGGCTCCATCATACGGTGTTTATATATCCCAACTCGTTCGTTATGCCCGTGTGTGTAGTGATGTCATAGATTTTAACGAACGTAATCAATGCATCACTGGTAAATTATTAAGTCAGGGATTTCGTTACCATAAATTACGTAAAACTTTTGCTAAGTTTTTTCATAGATACAAAGATTTGATTAGTAAATTTGGCTGTACCTGTAGAAAACTGATTAAAAACGGTATTTCACATCCTAAATTTTACGGTAATATTGTACTTAAAGCGCAGAAATCACTATGTAATCCGTGTAAACTCATCGAACCCTTAAACAAACTTATTAGTAAAGGTTATCTTACCAATGTTGTAATTAGATCTTTGAATATAGTTTACATTGGCACTAATATCGATTTTGTCATCAGCAAATTAAAACATAACTAAATTTGCATTTTTTTCAAACGGGATGTATAAAGACACACCCACGTTCATTTTGATCTATAAAGCGGTTAAACTCCTAACTGTCCAACTGTCTGTCGATACATTTATTTTTGGCATTGCACAAGTCATGTCTTCTTTGACTGTCCATGACGTAAAAAAACTAAATCCCTGGGATGTGTTTTAGTTGATTTTAGTCTCTGATGCATGATTTTTTTTATTATTAATTGTTTTGGCTTTTAACTAGCTGTCAGTAACTGCGAGTACTCTCAAATCGTACTTTCTTGTTTATTTTACCTGTTGATACTAATTGTAATGCTTTTTTGTTATTTAATGTTTTTCAGGGTTATATCTGGTCAATATACCAGCTTTAATAAGTGTTTGGTATTACTATAAATTTTCACTTCGTACTATGAACATCAAAATTTTTTATTTTGTAAAAATATTTCCTTTCTCTATTGGAACTGTACACGTATACCTAACAACAAAATTATTTTCATTTACCTGTGTTTAAAGTAACTGCAAATGGCTGATATTTTTGTTCGAGCATATTGTTTTTCTTAAATTGTTTAACATTTCATACCGATATAACATGTTACTTTTATTATTCTTCCCTTAGTTTATTTATTTTGTATTTCATTGTATCATAGGTCAAATGTATTTGTTCAGTGTATGTTCACTGGTGTTAAGATGTCCTTTAATTGAGTTAAGCTATTTCAGTTGATATTTTATAGTGTGTCTTTCTATGTTGTGATGTTACACTATTGTTTCAGAAAAAAGGTGAAGGTTTGGTACCATTGAAACGTTTAAACCCGTTGCATTTGTTTGCACCTGTCCTAAGTCAGGAATCTGATGTTCAGTAGTTGTCGTTTGTTGATGTGGTTCATAAGTGTTTCTCGTTTCTCGTTTTTTATATAGATAAGACCGTTGGTTTTCCCGTTTGAATGGTTTTACACTAGTAATTTTTAAGGCCTTTTATAGCTTACTGTTCGGTGTGAGCCAAGGCTCCGTGTTGAAGACCGTACTTTGACCTATAATGGTTTACTTTTATAAATTTTGACTTAGATGGAGAGTTTTCTCATTGGCACTCATACCACATCTTCTTATATCTATTGAATTGTCAGTTTTCCTACCGAAGGTCCGTTGTTTTTTTATCCGGGAACTTCGGCTTCCTCCAACAATAAAAACTAACCGCCATGAAATAGCACAATAGTGTTGAAAGCGGTGTTAAACACCAATCAATCAATCAATCAATCAATCTTCGAAATCAGACGCATAAATATGCTTTAGTTGAATTATGAGTCCAAAGTCAATGACAGAACTTGATAGAATAACGCATATCGACCTCAATAGTCAAACGTCAAGGGAAATAAGTACCACTTTTTCGACAAATCATGGAAATCTGCTAAACATCTGGTATACATATAAAAATCGCTTTAAGGATAACTAGTGTGTGTCGCTTTCTCTTAATTTATGACATAAATATATCATGAACTAAATTCCCAACTATCAAAAAATTTGAATTTAAACTGTCACGTTTAACATGAATATTTACAAGTATTTATATCATTAGCCTTTAAAATTTAAAATATCAATCTACATGCATATTTAATTTGCCAACACTGTCCATGATATTTATATTTTGATATAATTCGCTATTCAAAGCTGCAATAATTTTCCATTATCAATGCTCATTCTGCATAATGAATGGAAGTAATTTGCATACCGCTGATGTCATTCTTGAGGAAATGCCCCTTGTTTTTTTGTGCGAAACTGTCAACAATCTAGCTTTCCATAATCTTTGTTAGAACTAATTTCAGCAAAATTACATTTACGCAAATTTAGCAACAAGTTTGCAAATTTTCAATATATTTACAACGACCATACATACAGTGTTTTTATGCTATGGTTCTTATTTTCCAGAATAACTACGTTAGATGCAAATAAACTGATGTAAAGAACCTTAATGTAAGTAGAAATTCTATTATATTCAATATTATAACAAATAACAAGCTGTGTTACATACCCTGTTTTTGCAAATGATGTCCAATACTGGATGAGATTTCTAGACAGTTTCATACCGTCGGTGGATACCGCTTCAGGTCTGAACATGTAAATAAGTTCGTCTGCATGACCACTACCATTGAACCAAGACGGGAAAGGTCCACCCCACGGCTCTGGACTTGGCATGGAAAATTGATAATAATATGTCGTCGCTCCATACATAGAATGTAATTCCAACATCTTTATTGTTGGGTAAACAAACATGATATCTGCATAAAAATGTGTAGCAAGAAGGCTCTGTTCATTTGGAGAGTTTGCTACAAAGTAAAAATCACACAATTGACGTTTTACTTCCTCATTTTGTTTCAGATATGTTTTGACATATTCGGCTATAACTTCTTCACAAGCCACTCTGTGTGGTATACCTTCATTCAGTGAAAAATTAAATCGCTCCTGAATTTGTGGAAATAAATAGATGACTAATATCGAGCCTTCGTTAGAAGTTGTTCCAGCAATCATGTCCAGAGAACGAAAGAATGTAGCTACGGCAGAAGAAGGGTCCTCCAGAGAAAGTATTGGATTTTCTGGAAACAGTTCACCGTCTACTACTGGGTAATTGTCCGACGCGTAGTATACTTTATCGAGTTGAGCAGTGGCATAAAAATCTGTATAACTTAATAGATCTTGGACTGATAAATTCCTCAGACAATCAACAAACGCATATTCATCATCAATTGAACAGCCAGTTCTATTTGCTAGACCTGTAGCATATTCCCTGATAGCCTCCGGTTTACGCATTAGAATTTTGCTATGAACACCACTCTGACATATAACTCTCTGAAACAAGCCTTTGTTCGAAGAAATCAGGGACTGCAGTGATGTACTCATTGCACCTGCTGATTCTCCGAATATCGTTACGGAATCTGGATTGCCACCGAACGCTTCAATATTATCGTGCACCCATTGTATTGCTAGTTTTTGATCCCATAAACCAAAATTTCCTCTAGCGGCCGGATGGTCCATAGCTAAAAATCCAAACACACCCAATCTATAATTAAGAGTAACGACAATAACATTTCCTGTCATGGCAAATTCTGTAACATCGTCCTGATGTCCATAGCCAAGTTCAAATCCACCGCCATGAATCCATACCATAACGGAATATAGTTTCGTTTTACTGATCACTTTTGGTATGTGGATGTTAAGAAATAGACAGTCCTCTGAAATACCAGATTTATACGATGTCATCTCGGATTCTGGTACGTTTTGAGAGCACGCGGCACCGAATGACATAGCATTTAGCGTGTGTATCCAGTTACCCATAGGTTGTGGTTTCTGGAATCTCCGTTGGCCTACTGGGGGCTTAGCATATGGTATGCCAAGGAATTCGAATACACTTTCTCCACGTTTTGGATCGGTTCTTTTCAAACCTCTTATAGGTCCTGATGGTGTAGTAATGGTTATGTGATTAGGAATACCTTCTGCAACTTCGATTAAGGGATATATTTCAGACCAAAGCTTGATTGTCTCGGGCTTCATTGACCTTTTTAATGTTATTTGTGTGTTAAGGTCCAGATACATGTTTGTCTCGTCAAATTGTTCCCAGTAAACACTTTCTCCAAACTGATTAGGAGAGCTGAAACAAACAGGAAAAGCAAATGAAGAAATCTTAAATAAACTGGACATACTGTTTCTATGGTTACAAATAAAAAACACACAGTCTCTACATCTGCGTTATCATCGAATAGAAGAGAACAAAAATGTTCAAAAACATTCAAATGAAGAACCATAAAATAAAGAACTGGGAGGGTGAAGAAAAATATCTTAGAATTTAAATGGTTAGATGTATATCAACTTATGCAATAAAGTTTTGTTTTAAAAAGATAGTTAACTTTTTAAATGAATTAGTGGATGTGACACTGCATATAAATAAAACTTAGGATGTGCAATTATTTCTTAGGTTCTTTGTTATCAATTGATTGTTAAATGTGTTACTTTACGTCCAGTTGAAAGTGTTTATTTTACATTTAAGTCGAAAACAATTAAACAATTACTCTTTCTAGAAGGTTCTGCTAAGTTATTCTACCGGGTTAAATGATTGGAAAAACTAGCTATCAGCAGAAAAAAAGGTAACCTTTGGTAGAAACTGACATTTTCCTTGCATCAGCTAGCTATATATCGAATTCCTCAAAGACTTTTATTTGATAATTATTTAGCAAGTTGAAAGAGCGTCACTTCCCTAATACGGGCACCGTATTTAACAACCTAATTATGACCACTTTTGACTTGAATGTTTTATATAGTGTACAGTCACAGTCAAATCACTGGTTGTTTGGGGAGGCCCAGTCGACCAAATTTCTATATCGCAGTCATTCCGTTGGTTATATTCAAGGGGTAACGTCTTCAAGATCGGGGCCTCGATGGCCGAGTGGTCGAAGTAGTTCAACTACTCTAATCAATAGCCAGTCAACACTGAGGTTGTGAGTTCGAACCCCGCTCATGCAAAGGCACTCGAATCTAACCTTAATTGGCTTGAATTGTCAGTTTTCCTACCGAAGGTCCGTTGTTTTTTTTATCCGGGGAATTCGGCTTCCTCCAACAATAAAAACTAACCGCCATGAAATAGCACAATAGTGTTGAAAGCGATGTTAAACACCAATCAATCAATCAATCAATCAATCAATCTTCGAAATCAGACGCATAAATATGCTTTAGTTGAATTATGAGTCCAAAGTCAATGACAGAACTTGATAGAATAACGCATATCGACCTCAATAGTCAAACGTCAAGGGAAATAAGTACCACTTTTTCGACAAATCATGGAAATCTGCTAAACATCTGGTATACATATAAAAATCGCTTTAAGGATAACTAGTGTGTGTCGCTTTCTCTTAATTTATGACATAAATATATCATGAACTAAATTCCAAACTATCAAAAAATTTGAATTTAAACTGTCACGTTTAACATGAATATTTACAAGTATTTATATCATTAGCCTTTAAAATTTAAAATATCAATCTACATGCATATTTAATTTGCCAACAATGTCCATGATATTTATATTTTGATATAATTCGCTATTCAAAGCTGCAATAATTTTCCATTATCAATTCTCATTCTGCATAATGAATGGAAGTAATTTGCATACCGCTGATGTCATTCTTGAGGAAATGCCCCTTGTTTTTTTGTGCGAAACTGTCAACAATCTAGCTTTCCATAATCTTTGTTAGAACTAATTTCAGCAAAATTACATTTACGCAAATTTAGCAACAAGTTTGCAAATTTTAAATATATTTACAACGACCATACATAGAGTGTTTTTATGCTATGGTTCTTATTTTCCAGAATGACTACGTTAGATGCAAATAAACTGATGTAAAGAACCTTAATGTAAGTAGAAATTCTATTATATTCAATATTATAACAAATAACAAGCTGTGTTACATACCCTGTTTTTGCAAATGATGTCCAATACTGGATGAGATTTCTAGACAGTTTCATACCGTCGGTGGATACCGCTTCAGGTCTGAACATGTAAATAAGTTCGTCTGCATGACCACTACCATTGAACCAAGACGGGAAAGGTCCACCCCACGGCTCTGGACTTGGCATGGAAAATTGATAATAATATGTCGTCGCTCCATACATAGAATGTAATTCCAACATCTTTATTGTTGGGTAAACAAACATGATATCTGCATAAAAATGTGTAGCAAGAAGGCTCTGTTCATTTGGAGAGTTTGCAACAAAGTAAAAATCACACAATTGACGTTTTACTTCCTCATTTTGTTTCAGATATGTTTTGACATATTCGGCTATAACTTCTTCACAAGCCACTCTGTGTGGTATACCTTCATTCAGTGAAAAATTAAATCGCTCCTGAATTTGTGGAAATAAATAGATGACTAATATCGAGCCTTCGTTAGAAGTTGTTCCAGCAATCATGTCCAGAGAACGAAAGAATGTAGCTACGGCAGAAGAAGGGTCCTCCAGAGAAAGTATTGGATTTTCTGGAAACAGTTCACCGTCTACTACTGGGTAATTGTCCGACGCGTAGTATACTTTATCGAGTTGAGCAGTGGCATAAAAATCTGTATAACTTAATAGATCTTGGACTGATAAATTCCTCAGACAATCAACAAACGCATATTCATCATCAATTGAACAGCCAGTTCTATTTGCTAGACCTGTAGCATATTCCCTGATAGCCTCCGGTTTACGCATTAGAATTTTGCTATGAACACCACTCTGACATATAACTCTCTGAAACAAGCCTTTGTTCGAAGAAATCAGGGACTGCAGTGATGTACTCATTGCACCTGCTGATTCTCCGAATATCGTTACGGAATCTGGATTGCCACCGAAAGCTTCAATATTATCGTGCACCCATTGTATTGCTAGTTTTTGATCCCATAAACCAAAATTTCCTCTAGCGGCCGGATGGTCCATAGCTAAAAATCCAAACACACCCAATCTATAATTAAGAGTAACGACAATAACATTTCCTGTCATGGCAAATTCTGTAACATCGTCCTGATGTCCATAGCCAAGTTCAAATCCACCGCCATGAATCCATACCATAACGGAATATAGTTTCGTTTTACTGATCACTTTTGGTATGTGGATGTTAAGAAATAGACAGTCCTCTGAAATACCAGATGTATACGATGTCATTTCGGATTCTGGTACGTTTTGAGAGCACGCGGCACCGAATGACGTAGCATTTAGCGTGTGTATCCAGTTACCCATAGGTTGTGGTTTCTGGAATCTCCGTTGGCCTACTGGGGGTTTAGCATATGGTATGCCAAGGAATTCGAATATAGTATCACCAGTCGTATTAAATGTTCTTTGTATACCTCGAACTTGTCCTGACGGTGTTGGTATAGATACATAATCTACTTTGTCAAGGCAGTTGGATAACGATAGCACAGGAAGCAAAATCAGTATATAGCATAACATTTGCATAGTGTTAAAACAAACCAACGAAAATCCGAATTTATGTTCTTGCTTGATACAGGTTAGTTGTTTGAAACATGAACTGGATGTCCTTTTAATAACAGAACTGCACAGTTGAAGTTGTGTTTTGATCCTCAATTATCACTTTTTAACGGTTTAATTATTATCACTAAATTTAAATAATTTAAAAGCAATCAGTTTGAGAACAGATATTTTGGGATTTAATTCGTTCTTAAGTGGCGTGTTCAATATCTGTGTCAGCCACTCACCAAACTGTTCAATTTCTCACTTCGTTCTAGAGTATAACCATCACTCTGAAAAGAATTGAATGTTTGTCCAGTTTACTAAAATAAAGGCGATAAAATATGACAGAATTGAGATTGGAAACGGGGGAATATGTCAAAAAGACAACAACCCGACCAAAGAGCAGAAAATGTCTTATTTAAAACAACATATTGATCTACTATCGTCTGTGTCAAAGATCCTTAAGAAAATCATCTTTTTAAAGGCTATACAATTTGTGTGCGTTTTGTTAAATGCATGATGCACGTATCACTGCAAATTTTGGCTTTAAGAAAAACGATTCAACAGGATGAACTTATTTATATTACTGACGATACAAGTCATTTTAACAGTAAAGATAGATAAACAATCTTTTTTATATGTGTTTAAGTCCTTTATGGTTTTATTAAAGTTTGGCACAAAGGCCTTGTTTCACACATAATAAAATTGGCAGATGTGGTTCTCTATTGTCTCTTTCAGAAAGTAACCGTGTGGTTCGTAGTCAAAGAGTGGCCAGACATCATCGAGTTAACTCACTCCTACTGGTTTACCCCATAATTCTATATTCGGTCCACTTTTTTTTCCTTATTTATGTTAATGATATTAAAGAAGGCATAATCAGCAATACACAATTGTTTGTTGATAATACTTCCCTCGTCAAAAAAAAATGAAGACAATCTCGGAGGGAACGGGGTTTATTGATCTTCTTAATTAAATAAAATCTTTTAATAGATTATGTCTGTAATTTCCGTCCATTATTCCATCATACCACTGAAAACTCCAACTTAAGATGTCATGCCTAGTTGATACCCATCAGATCGAAAACAAAAGTATGATACAATTTTTTTTTCTTCTAGCTACGATAAGAAACTGGAATAGCTTGTCAGCTGAACAGAAGTAATTTTGGTATGTTTTAAAAGGTTATTAAAGAAGAATCTGAATTTGTGTAGTAAAAAATATATTCACGTGGGCATGGTTATATGAGATGTTATCAGATTATTACATGTGATTTTTCATATCAGATGTATTATCAGCCCAAGGTTAAATATAAGCCATATATAAAATCTTTCTATCAAATGCCTAAACAGAGGAGAAAAACAACAGTATAATGTATCTTTATATTGACGGTAAAAAAAAATCAACAAAACATAATGAACACTGTTTGGAAAAGTTAACATTTGTAAAGTAACTTGCTATATTATGCTGGAAACTTTGAAAAATGCATTTATTGTATCATTTGTTTTGCAATTTGCATAATATATATTTTCCTGTTTCCTTATATTTGTTTTGTACCCTATTTTGTTATGTTTTTCACTGAAAACGCACCATTGAGGTGTATTTTCCGGAATTTCCCGAGTAACGTTGGATGGGTAAATTCAGTAAAATATCTCCCATTGACTTTAATGCAAATCTATGTTTTGAATGAAATTTAAACCAGATTTACCTTTACAAATCAGAAGCTTTCATATTTCATTCATTAAAGTACAAATGTAGCCCCATCTTTTGCAACAATAAAAACATATAGGGTCATGCGGCATTTTTGGGCATTCACATGGCCTTGTTTACAAACACTGTAGATTCGCATTTAATTCCTATACTGACCCCCATTACTTTTCAACCCTGTAGTAAAAAAAAAATAAGTGCATTCAACATTCATTGTTTTATTTTTTTAACTTTAGTTTTGATCCATCTATCAAAAAATAATTATTACAATACATTATCTACCAATCAGAAGAGTGTAGGACTTCAGTGTTTTACAGAAAGCTCTCCCCCAAATTGGCGGTCCCTGATGACGTATATTTATTTACTGAATTTACCCCTGGAATGCCATGCGATAACGTTACGGAAAGGCATGCGATAATAACCGGAAGCAGTTGATAAATTTTTCATATCAGACCGCTAAGCACCATTTTGGAAAATATGGAATTCACGTAAATTTAATGCTATTATCATACTGTAAAGATTATAAGTTATTTACTCTAAGTACATGATGATATCAGATTATTAAATGGTATTTTTCATATCAGATGTATTCAGCCCAAGAGACGAAGGCTCGAGGGTTGATATTAACCGAGGGCTGATAATACATCTGATTTAAAAAAAATGACATATTATATATGATCTTTTTATCATATGCTTCAACAATTGAGAAAAATAGCAGTTCAAAGATATCGATCCTTTACGTGGTTCTCAAGTAGAAGTTCAAAAAATTAAAAGTTTATGGACGACGGACGCCAAATGTAATACACCCGATATGAAATATTTCTATCATATGCCTCAACAGAGGAGAAAAACAACAGTATAATATTTTTTTATATTGACGATAAAAAAAACCATCAAAACAAAATGAAAAATGACATGTAATGATCTTTTAATCATATACTTCAGCAGAAGAAATACAGACAAGAACTATTTTTAAAACTTTGAAAAATGCATTTATTGTATCATTTGTTTTGCATTTTACATTTTATATTTTCCTGTTTCCTTATATTTGTTTTGAACCCTACTTTATTGTTATGTTTTTCACTGAAAACGTACATTTAAAGTGTATTTTCCGGAATTTGCCGAGTGACGCCGGAATGCCATGCGATAATAACCGGAAGCAGTTGATAATGTTTTCATATCAGCCCGCTAAGCACCATTTCGGAAAATATGGAATTCACGTAAATTTAATGCTATTATCATACTGTAAAATTAAAAGTTACTAGAACACACCCGCGAAAGCGCAGTCTTTTAGAGCATGGTTGAAAGTATGTAAACTGTTGTAGGATGAATTTTTGTAAAAGATTTTATGACTGGAGAATTTCAGGAAATGTATCAAAAGTCATTAAGGTACTTTGGGACACTATAGTATTTTTTTTCGCCCTCCCCTTTTTTCCAAAGTCCGTTATTTTTTGTTTTCTGTTAATTTCAATTATGTTTGCGTTTTTCTGTATACTATGAACATACACATACTATAAATAAAGTGCATTTGCTATTTACTATCAATTCCAAGTTTACTATCCACGGTCGGGTGGTCACTGATATATTATATATAGACTCTCTATAGACTACCTATAGGACACAGAGGCGTGATGATTAATTTATTGTGAAAGGAAGAGAAGCGACACACAAAATGAGGTCTTCTCATTTAATAGTATAGATTTACTCTAAGAACATGATGATATATAGATTATAACATGGCATTTTTCATATCAGACCCCTTATCAGCCCGAGAGCCGACAGGCTCGAGGGATGATTTTGACCATGGGCTGATAAGGGGTCTGATATGAAAAATGACATGTTATGTTCTTTTTATCATATACTTCAGCAGAAGACATACAGACAAAAACTATTTTTAAAACTTTGTTGTAATATTTGTTTTGCATTTTTTAATAATATATTTTCTTGATTCCTAATATTTTTTTCATCCAACTATGTTTATTTTACACAAAATATGTACCATTGAGGTGTATTTTCCGGAATTTGCCGAATGACGTCGAATTGTCATGCGATAACGTTACAGAAAATCATGCTCTTATAACCGGAAGCAGTTAATATAAAACGGAAGCAGTTGATATAAACCGGAAGCAGTTGATAACAAAAGTCATATCACACGGCTAAAGCAATTCTTCAAATTTAATGAATAAATATATGTACAAATTAGTTTTATCATGGGGTACAATTATACCATTATTTTCTATAAGTATATAATAAATCAGATTATCATATACTTGTATAAAACATTACTTAAATTTTACATTTCAATTACATTTAAAAATATTAAAAGGCTATGAAGAGATTACTATGTTTATTAACCAGATTGCTAAGAATTTCCTCGGCGGGCTGATAAACTAACCTTTATTGACTGCTTCCGGAATATTATCACATGCCTTTCCGGTAACGTCCGTGACGTTTATCACACGCAACTTCGTGCATTTCCGGAAATTTGTTTGAAAAACGACAACACAGTGCGGAAATCCGCAAGTGATTTAAGACTTTTCACAAAATGGTTGAGGAGCAACAATGAATAAAGATTAAACATGTTTTAAAAGACATATCAAACTTTGAGTCCAACTCTAGACAGGTTCCAGCCCCAACAACTTCAGGCATAAATGAGATGCCAGAAATCGTCCATGACAATTATAAAGGAAAAACTATGCACATATTTTCGGGGGCAACCATCACAGGAAAGGTGACAATAAATGTTTCAAACTAAGAACATGATAATTGTTGTGACAAGATAAATAAAATGCTTGTAATATCAATAAAAGCAATTAAGGTTAAGAAATTTGTATTTGGTTGTCTGTAAATTATTATCTAAAAGTTCAAAGAAAGACAAAATTTTAATAATTCTTGTCTGTATTTCTTCTGCTGAAGTATATGATAAAAAGATCACTACAT